TAATGCATAGAAGGTGGGAGCATAGCTAGAACTTTTAGAAGCGTGGCCAGGTTGGACCCAGAGATATTACTGGGGGGGCACACTGCTAAAAAAAAGTAAACAGAATAGCGCTGTTGTGTTAAAGTGATGTCGCCAGAGCCGGTTTATGAGGAGCCTGGCCACTTCCTATTTCCCTCGTTATATCAAAAACAGGACTGTTAAACAGCAGAGAGAGTCCTAAATGAATAGGGCTAAATTAAGCTCAATAGCTAAAAACTAAAAGTTTAAATGGTTTCTAATCACTAATACAGAACTTTCCTTTAATTTTAGAAAGTAGGAGGATGTATTTTACTAAAAAAGCACAGAAAACTCACCTGTATGTTTCCTTTTTTCTGCTACTAAGTGCTGAGTGGTTGGCGGGTGTTGCAGCTCATTGGCTGTTCCTGCTCACTGACGTCATGAACGTACATGAGGTGCTGTTTTAAACTCCTATAACTCGAGTTTGAAAGCTCTTAAAAACATAACAGCAGTGTTAAAATGTTTTATGCTGTTCTGTGATCAGGAAATTGATGTATTTTTTATATTAAAAATGTTTAAGCATTCGCTGTCGCCTCATAGCAAGGAGGGCCTGGGTTCGATTCCCTGCCGGGTGAGCAGGGTCGTTTCTGTGTGGAGTTTGCCTGTTCTCCCCGTGTCTGCGTGGGTTTCCTCTGGGTACTCCGGTTTCTTCCCACCGTCCAAAGACATGCAGTCAGGCTGATTGGACATGCTGAATTGCCCCTAGGGGTGTGTGTGTGTGAATGTGTATGTCTGTCTGTCTGCCCTGCGATGGACTGGCGACCTGTCCAGGGTGTATCCTGCCTTCCGCCCAATGACAGCTGGGATAGGGTTTAGATGATGTATGTATGCATGTATGTTTAAGCATTTATAAACTATGATTTTGCTCAAATGTTCCATCTTAATCCTTGCATTTTGGACTTGCTCTGGAGCGCCCTCTAGTGTTTGAGAAACCCAGAAGAGTGCAGAGCGGTAATTCTCCTCTCTACAAGTTCTCTGACGTTGCGTCACATCAAGTAGGGCCTGGGTTCAGTTCCCTGGCCGGGCGACCAGGGTTCGTTCTGTGTGGAGTCTACATGTTCTCCAATCCAAAGATGTGCAGTCAGGCTAACTGGAGATACTAAATTGCCCCTTGGTGTGAATGTGTATGAAATAATTAAGTACAAAGGCCATAAAAGCTGCTCCTTTAGGCTTTAGCACACACTTATCCCACAGATGGAATACAGCCTACACCATGTGCGTGTATTCAGCTGTAAAACGTAATTAGCATAATAAAGGATCACAGCTGACTAATTTTGGCTAGTTAACTCATCCTTCCTTCACACAGCCATCTTCATAGTGTACCATACACTCACTTCACTTGCCTGTTTCTCAGCTAAATTTCCATAACTGACCACAAAGGGGGCTATACTTCATGCTTGGATGGCACTGGCCACCTCTGGCCACCCCTTGGCTACACCTCTGATAGGAGACACCGGGGATGGTTGTAACACTGCGTAAAGTGTAACAGCACCACATCCCCCAAATCCACCAAACAGATCCACCAGATCAGATTCTGACAGTCATTTATTGGACCAGGTTCGTATTTTGAATACCACTAATAGTATTTAATACTATTTTTTAAAAGTTATCAATAATTAAATGGTTAAAATGCAAACAAACTCATTCAGAGTGGTTTGGTGCGAAATGCCCCGTTCTAGAGAGACGTAATGACTCAGAATTGTTCACCGTGGTGGTGACGGGGACCAGGCGTCTGAAGAGTTTAATGCCTCTAGACATACAGTGCTGTGAAAAAGTATTTGCCCCTCACCTGATTTCTTCTATTTTGCACATCTAAATGTTTTGGATCATCCAGCCAGTTTTAACGTAAGATGAAGACAACACAAGTCGACACAAAATGCAGCTTTAAATGATCACTCCATTTATGGAAAATGAAGATTTATTCAAAACCTATATCACCCATGTGAAAAAGTAATTGCCCCCCATAAGCCTAATAACTGGTTGTGCCACTCTTGGCAGTAACTTGTGATGAGTCTTTCACATCGCTGTGGAAGAATTTTGGCCCACTGTTCTTTGAAGGACTGTTTTAATTTGGCGGCATTGGAGGGTTTTCGAGCATAAACATGTTGAAGGTCTTGCCACAGCATATCAAAGGGGTTTATATCTGACTCGGCCACTCCAAAACCTTCATTTTATTTCTTTTGAGCCATTCAGAGATGGACCTTGTGTGTTTTAGATCATTGTCCTGCTGTATAACCCAACTGCCCTTGAGCTTTAGGTCACGAACTGATGGGTGGATATTCTCCTTCGGGATTTTCTGATGGAGATCAGAAATCATGGTTCCATCAATTACGACAAGTCAAATTGTCCAGGTCCTGCAGAAGAAAAGCAGCCCCAGACCATCACACTACCTCCACCATGTTAGACTGTTGGTATGATGTTCTTATGGTGGAATGCTGTGTTAGCTTTATGCCAGATCTAATGAGACCCATGCCTTCCAAAAAGTTCCACCTTTGACTCATCAGTCCACAGAATATTATCCCTAAAGTCTTGGGGGTCTAGATGTTTTGACCAAAGCGAGACAAACCCTCTAATTCTTTTTGGTCAGCAGTGGTTTGCGCCTCGCAGCTCTCTCTCAGAATGCTTTTTTGCCCAAAGTCTTTCTTATAGTGGAATCGTGTACATTGACCTTAATTGAGGCAAGCAAGGCCTTCAGTTCCTTAGATGTTCGCCTGGGTTCTTTTGTGACCTCCTGGATGAGTCGTCGAGGCACTCTTGGTGAAATTTTTTTTGTAAAATCTGTGGAATTCCACTTAAAATTACAGAATATTAGATTAGATCAGATCAGATTAGATTAAACAGTAGTATTTCGAATTAACTATGATGGGTTGCATCTGCGCTAATCTCGGACTAACGTTTTACAGCAACTAGAGACATAATGGCTGACTGGGGTGGGGACAGTTATAACATATTTGAAAAAAGAAGGTCCAAGATAAAAGATCCAGAGGATTCAGACACGTCTGAAGATTCAAGATTTGATGTGTGCATGAAACATCTGAAAATTCAAGGCCCAAAGAAGTGTGGATCTCATCCATATGTAGTTTGATGCAGACAGCTATTTATTTATTTGCTGGTTTTAACATATCATTTTCCCAATATCATACAGTATAAAAAGTGCCTTAACTTCTGCACAGGTCACATTTCAGTTTTAATGTGACTGATTAAGCGGTCATGTGATGCATTAGTGCAGTGAGTTCAGTGAGTTTTATTTAAATTGATTTAAATTTGAGATTTAACCTGATTCAGCTGAAAAGACATTATAGGTGTTCAAATTACTACAATTTGTAGTAAACAAACGTGGGTACCTTATGTTAAAATTTAAGATTTAGCACCAAGACTGCTAGTGGAAGTTTTGCAGACGTGGATTAAGCCTAATCTAATGGAGAATGACCAAATATAGTCGTACGCAAATGTCTGAACATGACGTTTTAAGTTCCTCCACAGAGAACACACCTGTTCATGCCTAATGATAAGGAATAATGCCACCGAACGTGTTCTAATTCAGTGGTCACCAACCGTCCTCCTGGAGATCTACTCTCCTGCAGTTTAGTTCCAGCCTGCAGCTAAAATGCTGCACCTCCTCTCACCTCACGCCAAAGCGTGTGATCCAGCCAATCAAGACCTTCTTAAGAAGTTAATTACCTGGAGCAGGAGTGGCAGAGGAGTGCAGTCCGATCTAGACTGGTGATGAAATATTATGTAGTTACACAGTGGAGGAGTATCTAACAGACATCACATTTGATTTGTGATCACATGTAATTTTAATACTTTGATCTACAATCAAATTAGGATTTTTTAGTGTTTTTGTAATTCTGTAGTCTAAAGACTAAGTTTAGTGTGTAAATTCAGTGTGATCAATTATGTGATCAACTCACTTTTGATCATGCAGCTTGATCGATTTGAAAAACCTTACGCTCAGGTAAGCACAGAGAACAAAGCAAAGACCAAAGAAAATGTGATGTTTTAGATATGGACATTAACAGGGTAATTATGGCATTTTTCTGCAAATTTTTGTGCACAACTTCTCTTTATTTGCTGAGTTTAACATACCGTAAAATATAAAAATATAAAATGTGCCGTGACTTTGGCTCCGGCCACATTTTAGGTTTTATTTCAAAGGTTAAATTTCATGATGAATGGACTGAATGAAAAGGCTCAAAATGACTTGAAAAAAAGTCTGGTTCCATTGACTCACATTAAAAGTAAAGTATGTTTTTTCTTTCTCCTGTAAAGTTACCATTTTGGAGATACGAGGTTTTGATCCGACAGCAGCGATATATAGGTAGTAAAAATACATTAAAAAAATAATCTATTACTTTACTGAGTTCACTGAATGAGAACATGGTGGCCTAATTAAGATATGAATTGATGGAAAGGGACCAGCATTAACCAAACTGAATGAAACGGGTCTTCAGTGGAAAAGTCCCAGTCAGACATGTAATTAAGATCATGTAAAGGCTTAGTCTGTGACCAGGTCACCAGCGGAACAAGAAAAACTGTATTTTCTGCTTAATAATCTGCATAGATCATTTTACTGCGCCAGTGTCTTGAACTCCTGTTTTTAATGCAGGAAATACTCATACAGTACCAGGTACAGTCTGCAGATTTTAACAGCATTGACTCATATAAGGATATTTTCTATTTGTATTAACAAATGTCAGCTGTTAAAATATGCACAAGTCCCACAAAATGGACTTTTTTTTTTTTTTGCATTAATGCACTGTACACCACACACACCCACACACACAATCATCTAAACCGCTTATCCTTCTGGGTCACGGTGGGGTGCTGGAGCCTATCCCAGCTGTCATTGGGCAGAAGGCAGGATACACCCTGGAGGGGTCTGTACAGCATACAACAACCCATAATACAAGAGAATTCAAGAAATGCACAAAAGGGGCTTTTTTTTTGTAAAAATATCCAACTTTATGTTCCCATAGTACTAAGACAGCGTTATAAACAGGACGATATGAACAAACCCTTCATCACCGTTGGCGAGCCTGTCTAGAACCCACTCCTTCCAACCAAACTGCGGCATGAAATTAGTACAGAGTCGCCTCCCCTAACATACTGCTTTAAAAAACAAAATCAAATATAACATGAGCCCCAAACAAAACTGTGGACAAAATCAAGGAAAACCAAAACAAAAAGAGCAGCATCTTTCATGACTGATCCTCAACAGACACATTCGTTTGCTGTGGTTTAAAGAGGGGGGAAAAGAAAAAGCCTAGAGGCCACACAGCAAAATGACACATTACTAGTTAAGAGAAAACGACTTCTCTTTCTCTCTGTGGGGCGTTCATCTTCCTTACTTCTCTTTACTGGGTTGCTGTAATATATTTTACAAATTAACATACAGATGAGAAGAGTTGAAGGGTGGAGGTGAAGTTAAAATGCTCAAATTTTGTCATCAACTTCATGCTTTTCCCGTAGAGGAAAAAGAAACCCAACCCAAACAGTAATTCTGAATTGATTAACGTGGGGATTGTAACCGTACAACAGTTCTCTCCATACAAAATGAATGTAGGTTCACATAAAAATGACGGGTGGGCGGGGACTGCATGTGAAGTGGGCGGGGTCAAAGAAGGTTACAGACGGTTTCATTTACACATTGGCATTGGTTTGGTCAAAATTTACACTCCTCTTCCATCTTCTGCCTACTGCTATCTCGCTGTACACACACACTCACACACACGCACACAGAGCTTCGCCAGCTCCCGATTCCGTTCTTTCCTGTATGAAAAACTGTACAAGTGCGCGAAAGCTCAGTCGCACATTTCCTCTGGGAGTTCGTGCGGGTTGAGTATTCCTGGCACAGACATTTGGAGTTTGTGTTTCTCCTCCTGGGCCTGACGCAACACCGCCTCGCGCTCCTCCAGAAACAGGTCACTAGTGTCCTCACCTGCATACTCCTGCACACACATACATAAACAGCATTAAACACTATTTTTTAGAAAATTAACAAAGATTAAACAATATAGCAGAACAGATTGGGATAAAACAGAATAAAACAGATTAAAAGCACCGAAAAAACAGCATCATACAACAGAACGGACACCCAGGCAAGGAAATAAGTAGCGATTTGTCCTCATTAACTGAAATTCAGGGCATCTTGTATACAAACGGAGGCACTATGCAAAATACACAGAACATTTTAACTCATGAAAGTATTATATAAATGTAATATATATAATATTTATAGTATATAATACACAGTTGAGTCACATTGTTATGACCACTTCATGTCCACAAGCTGGTGGCGGCAGCGTTATGGTCTGGGGAATGTTTTTGTGGCATTCTGTGGGCCCACTCATCCATGTGGAAGGCACTCTCAACCGATTTGGGTATGAATCCATCCTTGCAGATCACGTACACCCATACATGCTGATTGTCTTCCCTGGGGCGGATGGAATCTTCCAGCAAGACAACGCGACACGTCCAACGGCTAGAAATGTCTGACATTGGTTGGAAGAGCATGACCAAGACTTCTAAGTACTACCCTGGCCCCCTAATTCCCCAGACTTGAACCCAACTGAGCATCTGTGGGACCACCTCGATCACTGCATTCACTCTATGGATCCTCCCCCACGCACCCTCCAGCAGCTGTGGGATGCACTGCAGTCAGCATGGCTCCAGATACCTGTGACAACCTACCAGGACCTTACTGAGTCACTCCCAGCCCGTCTAGCTGCTGTCCGTGCTGCACACGGCGGTTATAGCTGGTGGTCATAATAACGTGACTTGACTGTATATATGTATAGCATTAATTTTGTATCACACTTAACATTATTTTCTTAAGACACAATAAGGTGACTGACCGTATGTTATCAGAGGAGTGTGAGGAGAACATACCTTTATCTGCACAAGGAAGTCCCTAAGATGCTCTTTGAAGGCAGGTATGTCCTGATTCAAGCTGAACAGACCTGTTACAAACACCTTCACCTGGGCACTGTTAATAAAATCAACACAGATACATCACATATGGACTCTGCTACTGCCCACAGGCTATAGGGACTGCCATTATGGGACACATACTTAAAGGGGAATTACACCGATTTTTCAAAATATCTGCATAATTCAGTGGCTGAGATGTAAACAGTCATTAACGGTGGTTTGATGTGAATGACGTGAAATGAAATTAAATGATCTGATTTCTTTACAGTGGTGCTGATAGAAACCAGGGATTACCATGTCTACAACACAAACACAGCCATTTTATTTACTATCCAAAACCATCAGTGAGCCAACATGTGCCTTCTGCGTTTTTATATGTAATGTTGGATGATAAAATGGTCATGAACCGGAAAAAAAATACGTTTTCGTTGGGGACTATTTTGCCTTGGAACACTCTTCATGTATCCCTCCACTACTAATAGATTTATGAAATACATTTCAGGCCAAAACTTTCACAAAATGACTATAAAACAACGTCTCAGAGTAGTCATAACCACTTCATGTAACATACTAACTTTCTATGAGGGAGCTTTTAGAGGTGGACGTCTGGTTCCTATCACCACCACTGTAAGCGATTCGGAAACAGAGCATTTTTACATCAAACCACTCTGATTGACTGAAACTTATCCATTTAATTATGCAGAAATGTTGAAAAATCGGTGAAGCTCCCCTTTAAATGTCTGCAACTGAAACGCTGAAAGCAGAAATGTGAATCCGAATCAAAATAAAACATTTCTATAACAACATCCAAAGGAGAGAAACTCATCATTCAAGCTTTACGTGCGGCCAATAATTAATTAATTATTAATTAATAATTTTTCAGAGATCAATCAGTAATTAACATGACGTCCACCGTATACTGCTAACTGTGCTTGGTCAATTTATTCACAAAATCCACGAGTAAATACTGGAGGTTGTTCTTACTCTTGTAAGTGTGAGAAGGCTGTCTTCAGCAGGCTTGCCACATATTCCTGCACGTAAGCCTGGTTGCTCATAGGGGCACCAGTGCTCAGGGCTACGCTGATCTTTCCCTCCTCGACTAGGTTGAACATGTAGGCCAGGATAGAGGCGTGCATCGTCAAACCTGTCCGTTAAAAAGGGGGGTGGGGGGTGGGGGGGATACAGGTTTAACAAGAACTGTGTAGATTGTTCAGAGGGATGGCTCCAGATGTGCTAATTTGGGTAACCGAATAAAAGCTAAAATGTTGGCAACCTGCAATGGTTACTTGTATTCATTAACTGTTTGGTTGAACCATCACTTAAAATATTTAAATCAACTATTCAAATACAGCTATTCCTATCAATTGCAAAGACTAGTTGTGCAAACGGCACATTATAACATTTAAACTTAACACTTATATTGGTGTCTTTTTGAAAACAATAATGTAATAATTCCTTAAACATCAGCAACAATATATACACAATACAATAAATGATATATTTAAATAAAATAAAAAAAACAAAAAAACAAACAACACCACTCTATTCCAAAGATGGCCAAGCCCTGCAGTAAAGGATCAAATTTACAGAAAGACAAGCAAGTCTCTGCACATCAACTAACCAGCTGTGTGAGACGTATCCGTGACAACAGAGAAGATATGCTGAAGTATGTCACAGAAGTACGTCTGATAGAAGCTTTGAGCAGCAGCCTCCTCCTGGGCCACATTCTGCAGCAGTGTGTACAGGATCTGCAGACCTGAGAAGGCAGGAGGGAGACAGAGAAAGTGTTGTGTTACTGTGGGTAGTATTATTGGTATTCTTGGTAGCCTCACATTGTAATTGTGTCCCTAAAACAGGCAAGAGATGGAACAACTTCACTCAAAAATTACTCAAAAAGATTCTGCACCAAATAATTTCCTTGTAAAACACACAGGAACAAGTCTGGCCTGTTATGTACACGATGATGAAATGCAAACAAACAAAATCATTCTCCCTCTCACATCTTCGGCCATTATTATGGAACAGATGACACTTGCAGCTTGTGAAGGCTCATGAAGGACTGTACACTCACCTGTGTCAGCCACGTTCCTCATGGTGTGCTTGAAAGCCCAGATGATGGAGTCCAACACCAGCTTGAACTGGACTGGTGGAATAGACAAGAAAGCAGGGAAACACTGCGAATTCACCGCCTGCAGCAGGTAGAAAAAGTGTGTCCTGTGCTCTGGGAACTCCTCGAAGTCCTGGACAGAATAAGGTAGAAACAACAGTTAAAAATATTACTTTGTATTTTTCATGTTTTATTCAATGAAAACAGTCTTTGTATCCAGTTTCTATTCTTTAAGTAATATTCTTAAATAATTTGTGATTGACACTAATCACCTAATTTACCAGGAGAGTTCTGATACATGATATAAACCATTAAAAAGACAACTAATATGATGGTGTGACAGTGATTTTCCAAAAATCTTAACCGAGCGCTTCAAACCCATTTCTTTAAATCAGCTTAATTTATAGCTTGTGGGCCAACAATTTAGCAAGCATCACATATTACGGCATAAATCAAGCTCTTAATTTCTTCAGGCATATTTCAAAATAACGGCCAATATAATTCACTGAAGGTCAATGGGAATATAAAGTAATCTCTAACCTTGTTGATCATGTTAAGAGTGCACTCAAAAACGGCATCGAAAATCTGGGGGATTTCTCCAGTGATGTGAGCCCCAAGCTTATTCACGATGGTAGCCATGGTGCTGAGCACTTCTGGTTCTCGAGCAGCAGGAACGTTCCTTTGATAGTCAATCAGGACGGCCTCTAGCAGAGGAGGAACGAAGTTCTCCCCAACCTTAAAACACAAGAAAAGAAGGAGAGTCAACCACACCGGTGCAAAGCTTGCAATTAAATAGAAAACTTGACTCAGCAATGCAAACTTGGACAACGGTGAATGAAAGTATGGAAGTGAGACAAACATGACGGTTGATTTTTCTTCAGTGACATGAAATGTTGTAACCACTCACATTTAAATGGTTCACACTGCCCAGAAATTTTAAATAAATCAGGCATCAATACAGCTCTCAAACTACAAGGAAAAAACTCTTTATATCTTTAACCTGAGCTGTAAAGAGAGTTACAGCCTTATTCTTGTCTCTCTAATTTAAAATGGAGCCTGTCCATTCGTGGACATACCATTTGAGGATCATTGGAACGGCTGACCCAGCCCGAAATGAGCTTCAGAGTTTCTCTCTTCACCGTGCGCATGCTCCTGATCAGAGGCTGCTTTGTCACCATCTCACCTAGAGAAGACAGAGAAAGACAAAGGACATGAAAATGAATATTATTCTATGTATAACGGACAGAAAACTAAGTAGAAAAGCTAAGTATGTGCAACAGTGTTGAACAAAAAATTTTAAACAATTTCTTACAAATATACTGAACATGGGTGAAGACAACAGCTAGGCCTATGAGTGCAGTTGCCTACACAAGAAAAATTACACAACACAATTACGATCCTAATAGTGATCCTCAACATTAATGTTTATTTTGTAACACCAACAAAGCATGCTATGAAATTTGTGCTTCAGTTGCGTTTCTCACCATTGGTCTGGATGGCAGAGGAGATGTTCTCACTCAGGCACTTGTAGACATTTAGCATGTCCAGGTAGATACGTCCTAACTGCACCACAAACGGGTGACCTACGGCCTTACACGCCCTCACGTTGGTCTTCAGGATGCTGCCGAGCTGACGCACCGTTTCTGGGTCCTTCAGGATGTCCACGTTCTGACAGAGGACAAAGACGCAAGCAAATATTTAACAGACAACATTAGAGCTACACAGCACTGCAATGGCCTTCAGCAGCTGATTGTGGCAGTAATGATAATCAATCATATGTATAGGAAACTGAATAATGTTTAATGAGATTGTTTCGAAAGTTGTCCTCTATTCACAAAACGACAGGCATTAATATGGAGTTATATCAGCCTCCACTGTTTTGGGAAGGCCTTCCATGACATTTTGGAGTGTCTGTGGGAACGTGGCCACGTGCTTCACACCACTCCAGATGACACTTGGCATTGCACATTTTGATCTTAGTCTTGTGTGCAGCTGCTTAGCCATGGAAGCCCATTTCATAAAGTTGCTGATGTTGCTTCCAGAGGTAGTTTGGAACTCAGCGGAGAGTAATGCAACAGAGGACATGCGCTTCACCAATTGCTGGCACCACTCTGTGAGTCTGTGTGGTCTACTGCTTCGTGGTTCAGCTCCTACTCACTTCTATTTCACAATTATAGCACTTAATGTTGACAGAGCCGGACCTAGCAGGACAGAAATTTCACAAACTGACTTGTGGCAAAGGTGGCACCCTATGACAGTGCCACGTTTGAAGTCACTGAGCTCTTCAGTATGACTTATTCTACTGCCAATGTTTGCCTATAGAGATTGCAAGGTTATGTGCTTAGTTTAATCCACCTGTTAGCAATGGGTGTGGCTGAAATATCAGAATTCAGTCATTTGGAGGAACGTCCATATATACATATTTATACAACAGTTAGTTCCGGCCGCGCAAGCTGATTGGTTGAGAAGTGTTCTAACTGTGCTGTTATTTCACCATAACATCACAGGTTTTTCACAAACACTATCACTCCGCTAAGATGCCGTTGCTAAGCAACAAGTTTGACAGCTGTTGGAGACGCTCAAGCCATTTGAACGTTTTTACTTCTTACTTTGCCACAAACAGAAAATGGACACTTTTAAGATCACATTTGACCGACAGCCGATTTGGTCAGACTGAAGATGAGACGACACTAAATTCCCAAACTGTCATCACCACTGAGCAGCTTTTCAGTCGTTAGCTGTGACAGAAGAACAGCTGAACAACCTGGAATCAGGCAGAAATGAACCCAATACCATTCGCCAAACGTGTAGTCTGATCTTCAGAGTCTGACCAGATCGGACTGAGCCATAAAACTGCTGCAATAAAAAAGAAAAAAGCTGCTCAGTGGTGATGACAGTTTCGGAGTTTAGTATAAGGAGCTGGAGAACGAACTGCCGGCTGTGCAGCTCGTTAAGGAACTATAATGTGGCTGAAGGAACTGCGAACATAAAAGCATATTAAACGCCGCGTTCACGGCCCAGTTTATTAATTTATTACTTCATTTATTTAACTGTTGTATAAAAGCAATAAAACACTCGAGGTCAGGTGTTCAGATGATCTGTGACCAAATCACTGCTGTGATGTTACTGCGCGGTAACACGCTCCCTCTCTTGTTCTACTGCTTAAATATAGGCCACAAGTATTATAACAATTATAGCAACCACAGTCTTACAGTCTGTTCATTACATTTTTATTACATTGCCTTACTACTGCCACAAGCACGTCTACTAGAACTGAACACTGAAAATTTCATTAAACACGGATGAAGGAAATCAAAAACGTGTTCCTACATGATTCAATAGACTTCCCAATACTCACCTTGGTGGCCTGCTGGATGATACTGTCCCACACCTGGTTGGGGAGCAGCATGTACTTCTCTATCAGGTGCTCCTGTACTGCTTGGTCCGTTTGAGCGCCAATCATGTAACCCACAGCTTCATAGAACGTATGCACCTGCAGAGAGTCAGACAAAACAGTTAATGCACTGTATATTCAGCTTAGTGTCTACGACCAAACTGAAATAAAAAACTAAACTACTTTATAGCTTTACAGCTCCTTTTATTTATTTATTTATTTCAGATCAGCATCCAAGCCAAGTCTTGGAGAGGGAAAAAAACAAAACAAAACAACTCTCACACTAATACTAGACTGAATCATGGCAAAGAGCCTTAACACAAGTAAAAACAGAGAGCCAGAGGAATCCATAAAAGATTCTGACCTGCTGTGGCTGCAGATCACAAATGATAGTGTTGATGTTGTTGAGAATTTCATCAATGAAGGGCATCACTTCCCCAACCTGCACCTGCACAAAATGCCTCCTGCATTTCTGAGCAATCTTGATGAATGTGTCACATGCCATGTCTTGAACTCCATCATGGGTCTCTGAGTAAGAGAGAGAGAGATATTAATCAGTTAAATAATTAATGAATTAATTAGCTATGATACAAACATTCAGCATATATCATCAGTCCTGTCCATTGTGTAAACACTTCACATCCAGCTGATCAATACAGATGATCTAAAATTACATAGTTACAAAATGATTCCTCTCCTTCTGCGTTCATGTTATGGAGTTTCAGCTTCACTGCTCTCACTCACCATGCATGAACTCAAAGAGCTTGTTGACAACCGTCTTCAGGAACTTCCAGTGAGCACGGAGGAATCGTGGGTACTGGCCTACAATGTACATGATGTTGGAGGCGATGATGGCCTTGTTGTCTTTCCCTCTCTTCTGCTCACACAGTCCCAGCAGGTCCTGGAGTTCAGACACACACACAGGAGACACAAAGGAAGATGTAGTTACACATACGCAGCCCTGTCTCACTACAGAAAACATAGAGGAACAGAATCTTAATGTTTAGGAATCAGCACTTTCAACGAAAGGCTTTTCATGTATGTAATCACCTTGATAACAGTAACAAGGAACCTCTTCTCATCCTCCTCGTGCATGGCTCCGCTGATTGAGCCAATAGCCCAGCACAACGTGTTCAGGTTCCTCCAGGACCATTCCGTACCATTCACCTGGTTATGGAGCTTTTCCGTCATGATCCGCTCTGTATCCGCATAGTCCAGATGAGTCAAGTACACTACAGGAAACGAAGGAAAAGTGAAAATTAGATCTTTGAACTTAAAGACCATCTTTACTGCATTTGAAACCTTCAACGTGTAACTAATGGTCACACAGCATCTTCAAACGACTAACTCTGCTAAAAGGCGATAAAGCTGAATGACGTGCAGTGCTACTAACCAAGAGTCTCTCTCATGTTCTTGTAGAGGTTGATGGAGTCTGTGTCCTTCATGAACTCTCGTACAACCTCTCCCTGGTCGTTCTCTACAACCAGCACCTCCTCGGGCTTAGCCATGCGGCTCACCATTAGCAAACGAACCTGAGACACAGGTAAAGCAGTGTTACTACCACACTTAGACCCACACGCGCCATGACTGACCTCCACCTGCTGTTGTCTGACCTTCAGCAGATGCACCTGATGAACAGCTAAAATTAGGATAACACTTTTTTCCCCTTTCACATTGATACCTGATCCTTGAGTATTGGCTGGTAGAGAAACAGATGAAGCTTGAACCTCATACATATACATATATATATATAGTTTGTCTCATATGTGGATCCTGTTCGCCTGTGTGTACTGAGTGTCAGACTCTTTACTAGAGTTTCGTAAATATTACTGTCATTCATACTTTCAGCAGTAGTGGGTGAGCAGCAGATTTCTCAGCTTAGTTGAAGAAAAAGGCCACAAGACCCCGCTGCTGCGTGATACAGCTGGCTGATGGAAGTGCACCATGGGCAGGGCTAGTGGGGACACAGGCATGACTAGCAGGCTGCTATGCTAAAGGCTAAACCTAGGCTAAAGGTTATCATTACCTCAAAACAACTAGCGATTACTTCCATGTTTTTCTCCAATGTTCACTCCCTGAATAACACTCTGGACTATCATTTACTCAGACAGTAACTGACTACAGAGCAGACGATTACTGAAAGAAGCTCAGTCGCTGGGGTAAGCTGCTATGGTTAGCGTGTTTTACGCTGTTGTGTTATCTGGTGCATTCGTGACATATCGTTGAAACCAACAGCTCAGGAAGAATTCCAACCAGTACATCACCCACTACTATTGCCTTTCCACAAAATACTGGTGTTACAGATTTCGCCATGAGACTTTTTACTGCCACTTGCTGACCTGATGCGCTGTGTTTAAAAGCCAGAATTGGTGCCAATACTGATACAGCATCAGTGCAACCCCAGCTAAAACACCAATATGTTTGACATTACAACATTAGCAGCACCAGAAATAACCAGGAGCACATTCAACGTTAAAACATAAGTACACAGGCAAAAAACATCCTTTTAATTTAACTTGTGTTCTTTTACAGCAGTGTTATTACCACACTTACACCCACATGAGCCATGGCAGTCCTGCATCTGCTGCTGACCTTCAGCAGATTTTAGTATTTTAACTATTCATCAGATGCATCTGACCTTCAGTAGATGTACCAGCTGAATAGCTAAAATACCAATGCTTTTGACATACGAAGCCCTAGAAATATCAAGGGGCATATCCAACATTAGGGCAGGAGAACGGGAGCAAAAAAATGCCCTTTTAATTTATCTAGTGACCTTTTATTAAAAATGGGTCAATAAAAATGCCCTTTTATTTATTTAGTGACCACAGCAAAGTTTTTCTCTTCCAGCATGTGCAAGGAATTTTCACCTTTGCCGGTCTGTCATGGTAAATCAGAAACAATTTCTATTTTCACACAATAAATCTTGATCAGTGCTAAACAATTTTTTAAGATTCACCATTTCTGACAGCTCTTTTCCTCTCTTCCTAGTCAAAGAAGAAAAAAAATGCTGTTCAAAAATTCTTCCTACCCTGAGTGTGAGATGTGTACGACACTCACCTTCGACAGCACGAACAGGAAAACGTGTACATGTGTAAAACCCTAACCTTGGATAGCACAGGCAGGTAGAGGTGTCTGCGTGGGGGCACGTCAAAGTGCTGGCTTCCAGAGAGCAGGGGAGAGGTGGAGGTGCTAAAGGGGCTCTCTCTATACAGCTCTGCTGCCAAGTGGTTCCAGTACTCCAAACAAATCTTAAAGATCTCTGTCTCCTCCACTTCAGACACCAACAGCATGTAGTGGAGGGCCTAGATAGAGAGAAACGTATTCAGAGAGAACTATTACAGTAAATGGCAAAGAAAGAAAGAAAGAACATTAAAAAGAAAGAAAGAAAAACAACATACCTCCATTAGCGTCTCACGCAGGTTGAGTCTCTTTTCAATTAGCTGGCCGTGCTCTTTGAGGAAGGTGCAGAGGAACAGGCTGAGGTTCTGGATGAAGTTCTGCTCGTCATCTTTACCGTTTGCATAAGCCAGACGGATATTTGTGTTCAAAGGCAGCATCTGTGAATCAAATAACGTGCCATTTATCTAGTGACCACAGCAAAGGGTTTTTAACCCAAAGAAAAACGTCTCTTGGGTACAACAGCTTTAACTGAATCAGTAGTGATTTTATTAAATGCCAAGTAAGACTAACTTACAATATTGAAGAATAAACAGGGTGTCCCAAAAAAATTGACATCATTTCGTCTAATAACAGACAATTCTCCCTCAAACGGTCTCAAATTTTAACAAAATGTGTGAAAACTAACCAAGTTTAATTTTAATGTTTTTTTTCCAGGTTGAAGAACGGTGTTCACTAGAAATGAAAAGGCATTTTGTGTGTTAGAATATGCTCAAACACAAGTGTGCAGCGCACATTTTTGAGAAAATTCAATAAAAATGCACCAACTGGGAAGCAGATTTGGAAGGCTGTCTGTGCAGAGCAAAGGGATCTGGGCGACCACCAGTATAAGAAGATATTACATTTGTGAAGCTGTGAAATCGGTTATAAAATCTACATCCCTCTGAATTTCTTGTTGGAATTTTGATAAATAAATCTTGTATTGTTCAACATGAAGCCTAATTTCGCCTAATGAAGTTTAATTTCTTTTGCCCAGAACATGTAGTTACTCAGATATTCACATCTCAAAAAATGTCAATTTTTTTGGGACACGCTGTACATTGCTATGTGGTTTTGGCATCCACATCTGTTACCTGTTTGAGCTGCATCATGGTCAGGGTGAAGAGGCTGACAAACTGCTCCTCGTACTGATTGACACTGACACCTGCGATCTCCGTCAGGCACTTCAGAGTCACGTTCCGGAACATAGGTACATTCAGAAACTGAGAGAGACAGAATCAGAGACATTAGAGCAGCTCGGAATAATCAGAACGCCACTAGTCCTGTTCGCATTCCTGCCTTCTTACACCTTGTCCTAACATCAGACAAGTGTTCAAAAGGAGAACCGCATCTAGTCACGAAGGGATGTCTACACTGGAAACACACTCAAAGACATATTACAAGTCTCTGAGCTTTTAATATATTTATATATTTAAAACAAAGGTTTCAGTGCTAATAGCTCAAGAAAACAACTACAAACAGGTAGACACTTTTTTTTAACCTCAATCAAAAACCATTTTTAGATTAGGATATATTTAGCTTCATATGTTGCAGCCGAGCAACACATTTCAATGCAATATCAATACAACATAGCAGGGAACATCGCAAATGGTTACGTGATTACCTAACTTACTCTACATGGAATGACTGAGCTAACTTATCTGGTGATAGATAAAAAGCAGATAAATGTTCTTAAAATTTGAGTTCCCTTTTTTTTGTCACCCTCATGGATGACTGGCTCCTCATTTACTTGTTGAAGTGCAACATCAGCATGATGTGTCAAAAACAGAAAAGGGCTCCCATCCAAAAGCTGCAACGCATTGTTTCGTATCGCTGTCTGATGCTCGTGGCTGCTGTAAACACCTTTCATTATTATAATGTAAGCATTCTGCCTCTGTTGTTTACTTGCTGCAAGGACAAGATGTAATGCTTCTAAAGCAGACCATATACATTAAGTAAAGTCTGTGTTGGAGTGCCAGCTTAGCCATAATGCAAGTTGCAGAAGGCCATAAGAATAGCCAGAACTCTGCATGATCTTCCTCTTTTTCTTACGCAGTTGCAAGCAATACCAATGCAAATGCGCCTTTGTGAGAGGGTCCGGCCACTACATCACTGATACTGCACACTGAAGGACACTAACGTATTGAAAGATATATTACCTTGTAAACCAGTGTGCTGATCAGTTTGGTCTCAAAAATGTAGCCAAGCGGAATCCAGTTAAGGAAGCGCAGAAGCGTTTCCAATGTGGCGTTGACCAGTGGAGCGTTCTGGGAATTCTCCTAAATAAGACAAAGACAAGAGCAATGTTAGACACGGTCAATCAAAAAATGTATGATGATCAGGATTTATCATAAGACAACAAAATTGTTCATGACTTACCATGACAAACTGGCAAAGCTGGAAAATCTGTGAAAATTCATTGCACATGCTGGAAGAGAAAGAAGAAAAAATTGTAAATGCCTTTAAATTTGACACCTGTGACAGCTGTGTAACATCAGCACTGTCGGCTTTAACACCGCAATGGGGTTAAAGATAACGTACACAAACAAACTAACAAGTAAATAACAACTGTAACAATAACAACTACAATGATAATAAAATATGAACTGTATCACTTACAAAGCAAAACATAAAGAGTCTTCTTTGTGACTCTTGTAGTCTTTGTGTACTGTACCTGTCCTTCAGGTGCTTTGCTTTGACCTGGGTCATCTGTCCACTGGAGAAATCGAACACCTCCTCACTGAGCAGCTTCAGGATGATCATGTTGTTCTGGCAGAGGCTCTCGCTGGTGCGACTCGCTCCCACGATGTCGCTGATAAATGTGGGCCAATGCTTCGGCCACTCCTGCTTCAGAATCTGAGAACATCACAGCGAGAAGAAGGGTATTAAACACAACAGTCACTAATTCGTATTCAGTGTCTGGAAGCACACCTCAACAGTGAGGTACAGAGATATACACAAAGCCCTGTCTGAGGTACTACAGAGGCAGCTTGCCTAAAGTTGGGACTCCAGGGGCCGCATTACAGAAACAGTCTAAACTCTGAAATCTTGTCTTATCCGTTTAGTCCCCAAGACAACTAGGGTTGGGCTGACAGGCAACGCCATCGTCCGTGGCTGACAAACATCTCAATGTTGAGACAGCACCATGACGCAACACCAACCACCATCACTGCAGCGGTCCGCACCGAAGCGGGGATGCTTTAGTCAGAGCATGCTGTACACAGCCTAAAGCAGGGGTCATTTTGACAGGGTGGCCCTACTGTAATTGGCCTAACTTTTCTAGCCATTACGTTACCACTTTATCGGCCCGGGAAACTTAGACCAATCGCATGCGTTGTAAATATCACACGTGACGCTACTCAGCTAATCAGATCTGTGCACTACGATGAGCACTGAGACTCAAGTGAGTGACGCACACAAAGGGGACGGACAAGGCAAGAAACAGCAGTCAGAGAAGAAAGTGAGTCAGAGGGAAGTTGTTTCACATGGCGGCTCTAGAAAGAGAAAACTGACAAATGTTGTTGAAATTTTACTGAATTGTATTTGATTTGACCTTCAGTTGTTGTCTACATAAGATGTTGATATACCTACTAGGCTACTTCAGTATACATGGCAGTGAATCATAAAGCAAGTTAGACGTTATGATGAAGTTCCACCAATTATTCAGGCTAATAAAGTAATTTAATTTAAAATCGTGTTTAGACTGAGAGTCCGGTACAGGCAGAGAACCATAAAGCAACGTCTAATGTAGAAATCTGTTGTTAAACCAGTGCTCCAGTAGTGTTCCTTGTATTTTCACTATGGCAGCGAGCTATGTTAGCATTAAGATAGCGGGGATAGCTTGGTGCTATGTGATTTTTATGTCAGCTCTAGCTGAAATCTGGACATTTGGAGCTCATAACAGGCACAAAAACATTCTTTACTTGGTATGAGTCTGTTTTTAAGTAGCACTTTATTTAAAGACTTAAAATCTGTTTTATTACTGCAGCGTTAGCCTGACAGGCAGTTAGCTTTATGCTACCTGTCCAGCCTGATAGTGAAGGCAGAATCCAGTTTTAAGGAGAATATAACATAACTCGGTGCTGTTTATGCTTGGAGCTTTGCTGTTCTTGCCGTAATTTCATCTTCACTCGTCTGTACTGACAGCTGCCTTTTAGGTAGACATCGTGCAAACCAAATAACATCCATACTCTTATCCCAACTCCAGGTAAGAAAATAGCATTACAGAATCATCCTTACTAGACAAAATTTCCTAAATATACTTCTGTTTCAGCCACCGGTTTCTATCGTTTTATTAGGCAAATGTGACGGGAAGCAAAGTTCACCACAAGTATAATGACATTACATTTACCCAAACTGCAAATGATGGTTTCAATTGTGAGAGGTTTTTATTTTCTCTCTCATTTTAAAAATCGCAGACACAGCAGACACGATCTCCACCATCCCCTCTTGTTACCTTTGTGTGTTAATGTTGATGAAAACTCGCCAAATACACTACAGTGACGGTGGTGGATAATGAGGGGACTGAGTTGAACTTGCAGCTGTTTATTATGAAGAATAACATTAGTGCAGCTCACATGCCAGCTAAAGCTTTGGGGAAATGGAAACTGAAACTGTGGCAGCAGGCGCTGTCAATATATTTCTAATTTTCAGTTTATCGCACTTTAGTCCTGTTTTGACCTTTTTACATTGATAATGGTAGCTGTCTTGCTAACTTAGATTTTTAGCATTGTTTTGATTATGTGCTTATGTTTCAGCTGTGCACGTATTGTTGGTTGCTTGGAAGTGGATTGTCGACTGTGAGTAGTTTAGGATTTTCTAACCTGAGATAAGACGCTGTAAGATAAGATTTGATTATGTACTGCAAATTTGTGAAAAATCTTATCTTGACCTTGTCAGATCTTAAATCAGGACAAAAAATAGAAAATTTCTGTAAAACAGCCTCTGGTCAAACTGTGGGGAAAACAGGAAAGAAAAATTTTTATTTTCTTACTAAGTAGCATCCTTAGGCTGCCTCAGGTAATTCATTTTGACAGACATGCTCAATTGAGAACTAATTTATCACTACATCCTCTAATTTTTATTCCACTTCACCTAAACATTTAGCACACAGTATAAATGTCTGCACCTGCACAAAAACCGTATGTGCCTTTTGGATACGGCCTCATGTGTCTGTCACATGTAGCAGTAACTGATATAGACTGTTGTGAAGTGCCTCAGGAAAACACGGACTTTTACGTTAAGTTTTACGCTAATGCTCTACTGAGTTATGGAACGGACTGCGTACCTGGACCAAGATCATGTTCAGTTTCGCCAAGTAAACTCCCTCTTTCTGGAAGATAAAAAAAAAGACATAAATATAACATTAATATGAGCATAGAAAAATCAATCAGCAATGGTGTAAGTACCAAAACCCCCAGCAGATGGTGCTTTACCTCCACAACAGCAGGATCCGAAGATGTCTTGATAATCAGCCCCACAACATACTTCTTAATTCCTTAACAACAAACAAACAAGTAGTCAACTGGTAAATACTTCAGTCTTCAATAGTTATGGTTTTAGATGAAAAGCAAAGTTAAACTACCATCACTGAACAATTGGTGTTGAAATGCTAGTGTTACCAAAAATGTCTGGGTTACAAACAGGTACCAAGATTGCTAGCATTCACATTGATTTTCCTCTCTTTCTTACGCACTCGCAAACCAAACAAATGCAAGCACGCCTTTGCAAGAGGGTGGATTTAAATTCTCCAAAACCACAAAGAAAGATATTTCATGAAATTTGAAATGAAATGATTTCATAAAGTATGCCCAATAAAAATCAGACAAGTTGCCAGAGTAACTAAATGTAAAAAAAATAATTTTTATTTCAGTAACTGAGAGAGAGAGAGAGAGAGAGAGAGAGAGAGAGAGAGAGAGAGAGAGGAGTGTGAGAAAGACTAATTGTGTATGTGTGACTTTTACCTTCACATTGGTTCCTTGGAAGAATTTTCCAGCGTGTTTTAATGACAGTCTCCAGAATCTGAAGAGCGTAGTACTGTGAACAGATCAGCAGGGCTCGTATTATTTGGAAAATCACAGCATGTGACAACAGCAGCAGCACAAACCACAACAACAACAAGCATTACATGCTACATTCATTTTTACACCAATACACACATTTATTTTCTCTCTTCTATTCGCTTATACAAAATATCACAGTGCACAACACAACAGATCTTTATGTCCAGACATACTTTAGTCTTCATGTTCTGGGAGAACTCCAAGATAGTGTCCACTCTGGTCCAAGCGTCCGGGTGATCCTTCAAGCTGGTAAGGACTTCTTGTGCCACTCGTTGCTGAGAAACATGGAGAGACGACAAATATAATGATTCATATTCTCCGAAAAACAAGCAGTCATTTACTATATACGGCTGCCTAATATGTGCTCTTTATATATTGCTCTTGAAGAAAACCAAAAAGGTTCATCTCAACTCATCATATTATATATGTACAAAACACACATGGAAGTTTTACATCAAAACGGGTTTACCCATTAATGTCAATATCTTATTTTTTTATGTTCTCTGAGCTAAATCTGAAGATTTTTTCCAAATTCACCAATATGACTAGGTGGAGCTGCTATTTAATTCATCATATCGCTGCTATTGGAACAAAACCTCATATCTCCAAAATGGTAACTTTACAGAAAAAGGAAAAAACATAATTTACGTTTAACGTAAGTCAATGGAACCAGACTTTTTTCCACAGTAATTTTGGGCCGTTTCTTTTGTTCTATTCATTATGAAATTTACACACAATGTAAAGGCCAACAGGTATTTTCTAATTATGCCAAAAACTGAAAAACGTCAAAAATGGAGGTTTTGGTCCGACAGAAGTGATATTAAAATTCAGTTTAATCATCTGGGACTTTTAAAAAAAACAACAGAAAGTTCCAATTTGATGTGAATAAAAGGATGAAAATTAAAAAAAACAACAAAACAAAACACAATGGGCACTGTAAAATGTTCATTCAACATATAACTAGGGCTGGGCGATAAGTATCGCAATATAAATATATATAATAAAATCTATATAACTTTTCCTCGATAGAGCGATAAGACAGGTTCGATAAATGTTGGATATAATACACCATTCTCACACTTCCACGTTCAGCGAAAGCCCTGGTGGCGTTTTCTACTGCAAGGAAAGCGACACTACTCTGCTGTCGCCAGGAGAGGGCGCACTTCCGAATTTTTTATTGATTAGAGAGGGAGGGGGCCACGAGTAAAAAAGGGTCGCCAAATATACTTTAGCAACGGCTGAAACGCGGAGTTATACAGTCCCTGTCTGAGTGGATGTTATCGGCGATCTGTTCTCCTGTGACCGAGTGTGAGTGACGAGGTCAGTGGTGTAACTGTACTGTCCTACAGCGATCTCACCTCTTTCTGTACATCCTAACAACTTCAGCGGTGTTAAATCACGTCTGCAGCGCCGTGTTTCAGCGCCAAACCGTCATATTTTAGTATTAGTGCATTCTCGAGCAACGAAAGTGAAAGAAAGAAGTGAGTTCATGTTCGACAGTAAACTGAGGAAGCTGTGAGGCGTTGGAGAGCGGGAGAGCGCTGTCTGTCCAGGCTAGCTGTTTTTAACTTGAAGCAGCGCTTCGGCACAACACGGTGAATTGATGATACGGTAGATCAAACAAGACACAAAATCACCGCTTTCAGTTTAAACATGCCTAAAAGGAGGACTCTGTGTCTGGTGTGAGAGATTCACACTGCAGATAATGCTTTTACACAGCGAGCGTCAGATATACTGCGGTTCACCCCTTAAACTACTACGATAGCATAGAGAAACCCAGTCGTCGCTAGCTGGTGTCTGAATACTGTGATCTGCTCTGACACGGATGGAGGAGTGACAGCAGTGACCTACCGAACCGAGCTGACGTTGTTGAGAAACTGAAGAGTTCAGCACTGTTGTTGGCCACTTGTTTAGCATTTGTAACGGGGTAGCCGAGCGCTCGACACCAGACAGCTAAAAATAATCTGTTTTCTTTCTTAAATCATGACTATTACAAAAAATGCAGCTGTGCTTTTCAAGCTGATAAAAACAGCTCAGAAACCTTCTCCCACTGCCCCAAGACAGATTAGTGAAATGTTCCACTGTTTGCCGAGTGTTTGTCATGATCGGACCATAAGTGATAGTATAAAACCACAGTTAACCACCCAGGAGCAAAATCAGCCTTCAAACGTGAAAGAAATCATGATTTGACATTTATCGCGATATGTATCGATATCGAACGATATGAGTTTTGTTTATCGTGATAACGTTTTTGGCCATATCGCCCAGCTCTACATATAACTATACAAATCACTCCATACTAGGGCTGGGCAACATGACAATATTTCTCATTGTGATAAAATGTGTCACTATATGCTTTTATGGGCATATTGTAGACATTGTCAGTACTGAAATCTTCCCAATTGCACGTCTGATTACAAAGGAAACATAATTAGTCATGTTTTATTAGATTTAGCGCAGCACAGTATGTAAAATGTTGAATATAAATGTATTCATAGTATTTGGTAATACTTTTAAGCAGGGCACTACTTTGTCTTCCTCGGTGTGTTTCAATTCATCAGACGTCAGAAAAACTCTACATATCGGGATATCATTTATGGTGACAAAGCGTGTATCGTGGAAACTTCTTAAAAGTATTGTAATATTATATTTTTGATTTTTCGTCCACCTCTACTTTTAAGTTCTGAGGAAGTTTTTATTACCACACTAAATTTAAGACATGAATGGTTTAATACCCAGTAGGTGGTAAAAAGTACTGCATAGCCCCTGCACTTCATTTATCCAGCCATATGATAAAGGTGGGATAGGTTATCACCATAACTCTCTCTCACCTGGGACCCAACATCGTAGTACATGGAGTTGACCACATTGTCAAGTAGGTTGATATCCAGCTTCTGACTGAAGTCCAGCAGCTGCCGGGCTGTATGGTCCGCTAACATTGTCATTTCTGCTGGCATAGAGCTTTGGAGAAGGGCATGACAAAGAATTAGCTTTTTAAAACTCAAACAGAGAACTAAATCACAACACAATGAGCTGTTTGTCAACAGACTTCTAAACAGAATGAGAGTCTGTTTAACACTCACAATTGTGAACATTTTTCCCCCTAAAACCCATACAGCAGCTTCCAAACCAGACCACGTGAGTTGGGGTTATTATTTGTGGCTGAAAAGCCAGAGGCTTTTGTAAATGTTTTTTTGTCAGGAAGTTCACAGAATTAGGTAACTGGATTACAACTATAAAACATCTAAAATACGTAAGCGCTGCTTCTGCATGGTTATTCTGCTGGATATAGGACTGGATCTGCCATTAGGATGGACTACACATCAATCCCTCCTTCCAAAGCTGCTGACCCCAAATTCAATTAAAGTCAAGCAAATTTATGTGTGTGAAACAATGACTTAAGTAAAAGTACTTTTTTCTCAAAAACAACCTAAGCAGAAGTACAAAATTAGCAGTTAAAAACCTGAGCCCTGAATGACTTGGCATGTCCCAGCATATATTAGCACAGAAGGTGAAGTGTGTTATACTTAGTCATTTTTGGCCTAAAATAAAATGCGAAAGCTACAAAATCAGAGTAAATAAACACACAAAAAGGAATCTGTTGGTTATTAAATGACTGATTAAATGATGATTAAAATGGCACTGGAAAAAAAAGACATTTTCTCACAAATACACCCAATTAAAACTTTCGGTTTCATTCATCTAAAACTGTACAAAAGCACCAAAAATTGCCTGCCTGCAACTGAGCAAGATAAACTAGTTCCTATACTAGGATGAAACTATTTTGGAGGAAACATCCAACTGCGGTCTAAATGCAACTGTTTTCTCTAAATTAAGCTCCAGGCCTTTTATTTCCTCAAAAAGACAAGCACATCCATTTTTTGGAGGCCTGAATGCTGAACACAGTGTGCCAGATGTTAGATTTCCCCGATTAAAAACTTTAAAATTGAATAATGTAGGATATAATTAAAACCGCAGCTCTTGTGATCTGAATATCGCCCTCTTTTCAAATCGGTTTCGATATTACCGATGAATCGTTCAGCCTTACACTACACGCCTCTGCTGGTTAGCTTAGCAGCATGCTGCTACCATGTTTTTATCCAGGACCTAAGCAGTTTGAGACAACACTATGAATTAAACAGACATTATGAATATGATATTAAAGACATCAGTGTCCACATTTCACACCTTTCTCCTTTTATTTTCTACTGGTACAAAAAGAGCCTCTCGTGTTGAACTACGGCGTCCGACAGAGGACAAAACGTGCACAGGAAAAAAACCCCGTTGAAATGATTCAGTTAGTTCAGCCAAAGCTCACGATGTTATTCTAAGCCCGAGCAAGTAAGCAGTGAAAACCACGAGGCTGAAGTTGGCTTCCTATTCGCCTGTGTCTGGCTCGAATTTTCCCGTTCCACCTTAAATGCTGCAGCTTTGGGCACCAGAACGTCACTGCCGCACCATTTTAAGGTGGAACGGGACAATTGGAACGGGAGGCTGGCGAGTAAGCGCTCTCAGAAAACCGGACAGCGTTTGAACTTTAAGACAGACATTTTAGCTGCATGGATGACAGGAGCCAGTCTTCAAAAACTCACCTGATTTTTTAAAAAACACTCTTTTCGATGAAATGCCACTTTACGCTTTCGGGGGACGCTACGCTTAGCTTAGCGGTTAGCTAAACTCGTAAATCTGAAGAAGCCGAGACGACAAGAGTAATAAGTTAACGTTAAAAGGTAAATAAACTCGCGAACACGGATCCGTTTATCTCATGATCACGCGATAGCGAGGTGCTAACGTTAGCTAGCAGATGCACTTGCTTTGGACAGCTCGCTAACTAGCCTAGCCACCTAAACAGCTAACCCAACTATCTGCAAGTAAGTTAGGTTACTAAACTGAAGCGAAGCGCCGAGTAATTAATGCTCATACAAAAAAAGAAAAGAAAGAGTAGTAACGTTAAGTGCGAGTCCGAGTCCAGAGATAACGCTGAGCTTGACCCCCCCTTTAGCAAAGTTAGCTTAGCTGTCACTGATTTACGTTGTATGTCTTTGAGTTTCTAGGCTAGCTCGCTAGCAGTGTCTCACGGAGCCATGGCTAACACGACATCCCGGCTTCATAAACACAAAGCAAAAGCAGACGTTTAGTTTATTGTTTGCATCTATTCCCCCCCAAAAACGTAGTTTTAAAGCAGGAGTCTGCAAAAGAGTCTGTAAGCCAGCTCTTCTCTCATCTAGTGCATCAAACCCAAGACCGGTTGAAACCGGTTCAGACTGGGATATTCCATCTCGGTTTAGTTTTCAGCCCGTGGCGCCGCGTAAAATTTGGACTGTGGACACGCCCCCGGCGCCACGCGATTGGCCGGCCGCGTCAGCGCCGAGTGGACCCCTGCGGCTCCCATTGGACGGCGGCCCTGCCACTCAAAGCTTCGTACCTCTCGCAGGGCCCAAGCACGGGCTGCATTCAAGACCCATGCATTTCAATGCCATGTGGGCTGGACTGTGTTGGGGATGGAAAATTACTGAGATGCCTACGATGATGTTCTGCAACTTGCGGGGTTTGTTGTTGTTGTTATTCGCCACTAAATGATAAAAATGTGCTTAAATCTGTTGAAATCGGGAAATTATTGTACTATTCTTGCAGCATGCTGTACATTATACAACAAGAGAACCATAACGTGTAGCCTAATCAAAAGTAAAAAAAAACATGCTGACACACCCAGTTATGAACCATAGCAGAGCATTATTGTGTCAAGATCTAGATCAAGAATAACATATTTATAAACATGTAGGCATGGTCAAAACTAATGTAAAGTCAAGAAACATGCTGACACACCCAGCTGTGAACCATATCAGTGCTTTATTGTATCAAGATCTAGATCAAGATTAACTTTCATGTTTATATTTATGTATATTTAGGCCTAATCAAAACTGATGTAGGGTCAAAAACATCCTGACACACCCAGCTGTGAACAATATCAGTGCTTTTTGTAATAAGATCTAGATTAAGATTAACTTTCATGTTTATATTTATGTATATTTAGGCCTAATCAAAACTGATGTAGGGTCAAAAACATGCTGACACACCCAGCTGTGAGCCATAGCAGAGCTTTATTGTAGATAGATCTAGATCAAGAATAAGCTTCATATTTATATTTATATTTATATTTATATACATGTCCAATTTATGCACACATCCTATCCAAATGCTACACATCTGCAAACATCATGTGTCACTGAGGCTTTCATCTTTAAAAAGTCTCTTCTTTCTTTCACTATCAAATGAAACTGAGTAAAAATCCCATCCTTTTCCACAGGGGGCGCTAAAGAAGCATTAAATAAAACTCAATCCTCCTCTTCATCACTCTGTCCATTCCCCGCTCTCTCCTCACCGCTGGCGGAGGCCCGACTGTTTCGCCCACTGTTCCCATCCTCTCTCCTCCCTCTGTCCCTCGAAGAACTAAGACATCTTCCTCCCTCTTCGCGTTCCCTGCTGTTGTTGCTATGGCGACTGATGTCACTCCCCTCATCGCTGTTGTCCTGATCATCGTCTGCATAGTCGAAATCAAGATCATCCTCATAATGATCTAGATCATCCTCATAATGATCTAGATCATCCTCATAATGATGGACGTCTCCCTCCTTGTCAGGGTCACTCTCGTTGTCCTCTTTTTCTTCTTCTTCATCGTACTCTCCATCCAGCAGTTCACCCTCAACGTCTTGCTCGTAGTCTTCATAATCAGCGGGATAATCACCGGGCAGAGAGTCTTCATCGCTAGCAACACCTGCCAGGTCGGCCTCCTGGTGCTCTCTAGAAAAATAAATAAAAGAGTCATGAGGCAGTGGTGTAACTAGGATGTGAACCTAGTGTGAAAAGAGAAAATGGAAGGTCTGCTATATGAAAATTACAGTTACTGTATTAAAAGTGTGTAGAGGACGTGTTCACTTATTTTTACTTAGAAAATCAGGTAAACGTCATTTGACCAGGGGTGCCCCAACTTTTGCATACAACTGTATGTATTTCCAATCACCTAATTTATTCAGCAATTTCTATTAGGCACAAAAATACATGGGGACTATTCCACAGACTACACAAGAACCACTTTATATCCGTCCAGATATATCAGATTTACAAAAAAGTATTACAGGAAACTTTTCCTAAATCAGCACCAGGTTTCCCAAAAGTCTCCCAAAAGTTTTGATACTTTACAGAAATCCAGAAAATAAAAAGTAATATACTGAAAACATGTTAAAATGTACTTTATGTACTGTTTATATGCTGGAATATCCTGACAGCATGTAACAGTATGCTTCATTTTCACAGGGGAAAAAGAGAAAAGACAGTGTGTATGTAATGTGGTTAATCTGAGGTGGTCAGTTCTTACTGATGCTGACCTGTAAGCAGGTGGAGTGTATCTGTCTGACAGAGCGGTTGGCGCGGAGTCATGTGTGTGTTTTAGGTTTTTGGGAGCTTTACTGCTGATGAAGGCTTCATTCAGACCACAGCCACGCAAAGCTTCAGCATAGCGCTTCTCTGCTGCCTTCTTAGCATTCATCTGCAGCATAAACACAAACATCATCATCATCATCATCACAGAAGGATAGATAGACAGATAGTTAGACAGAGAGATAGACAGGTTGGTAGACAGACAGACAATGTTTTCAGTTTATTAGAGAATTCAACTTCATCATGGTACAGTATTTGAAACAAAAGTTGTGCTGTATGGTTTATATCGTGATCTGAAGCTCTATCCACAAGCTAACATAGTACCATGATACAGCCATACAGTTTGATACAACACAATATGTTGAATTGTTACATTCCTAATAGATAGATAGACAGGTAGATGTATAGATAGATATATAGAAATATATATAGTGCTGTTGTCAGAAGAAAACCTCGTATCTTTACAGGAGAAGGAAAAAATCTATGTTACTTTTAATGTAAGTCAATAGAACCAGACATCCAAGTCATTTTGGGCCATGTTTTTTGGCCATTCAATTCATCAAATTTGTCAAGGGCAACAGGCATTTTCAAATTATGTCAAAAACTGAAAAATGACAAAAACGGAGATACAAGGTTTTCTTCCGACAGCAGTGAGAGATAGATAGATAGTTGGATAGACACAAAAGTGTATAGACAGATAGCAAAGATAGGAGCAGATAGGTAGACGGTTAGACACAGATGGACAGGCAGACGGACAGATAGGTAGGTAGATGAGAATGATAACTCACCTGTGCTACCTGTTCCAGTAATAACGGTCTGCTTTTCACTCTCTCCTGAATTTCTTTCATCTCCTCTCTGTATTCCCTGCGTCTCTGCAGATCCTGCTTCCTGACCCCACACACACACACATACACACACACACACACACATACACACACACACACACACACACACACAGTCAAACGTTTGTGGATGCCTCACTTTTCAAAATAAAAGTATGCATGTATTACATTAGAGCCAGGCAGTTATTACTGAAGCTAATATAATTACTGATTAGCTCGCTTGTTTGGCGGTTCATTTATTTACTTTGCATGTTTACATGTTTTATTGATTTTCTAAGTGAAAATAATAAAATAATATACTATTCTTTTATTTGTATTTGTATTTATATGTATTTTTCTGAAAGAACACATCCTCCATAGAGAACACACTCCTGTATATTTTTATACAGAATTACTGTTACTGAATTTAACATATCAGAGGTAAAATAAACCATGAAATGTGGTCTGTGCAAAAAAACACAGACGTGTGTTCTCTGTAGAGCATGTGTTTCCTTGTTTTCACCTAGAAAATCAACAAAACATGTAATTCAAAGGTGTTAACACGTAACGCATCCTGGTTTGACTCCTCAAAACATCTGTAGCAGTGCAGACTGATTGTGTTCACTCTGTGGAAAACACATGATGTTCAGGTTCATGTGAACACAGGATTTATTAAAAAGTAATAAATACATTGTAATGAAGCTTATTTTGTCCAATCATATAGTTACGACAAAATGCACTGCTTTTTGAATTGAAAACAAACAGGGCCCAAATTGAACAAATAAGACAAATGAGATTTATCACTATTAGCTCCATAAAATGATGTAATAACTTGTGATGAGTTATTTCTATTGTTTGACGTATTTATATATAGAATGAGAAAAAACGGCCTCTTGGTTGCAATTTAACAGTGATTTGACACATCAGGATGGCACATTTAGAGCTGTCTTTAAGGCGTTCAGTCAGCTGTGTGCATTTTAATCAGAACAAACTTGACATCTGACTAAATTTTCTACACTGAGGGCTGTAAACTTAGGATACTATGAGCATGTACCTTTTTGTCAGAGGTACATGGTGCAGGCAGAGAACTTGCAGAGAGGAGAATTACCACTCTGTAATGTCTCCCGGTTTTCTCAAACGCTAGAGGGCGCTCTGAGTGAGTCCAAAATGAATGGGTTGATATGGAGCATTTGAGCAAAATATGTTTAATATATATAAATATATAATATATATAATATAATATATATAAATATATATAAAATATATATATTTTATAAATGCTTAAACCTTTTTAATGTAAAAGAACTCAGTCATTTCCTGAACACAGAGCAGCATAAAACATTTTAACACTGCTGTTATATTTTTATACTCGAGTTAAAGGAGTTTATAACAGCGTCTCGTATACATTCATGACGTCAGTGAGCACGAACAGCCAATGAGCTGCTTCATTCGCCAACCAATGAGCACTCAGTAGCAGTAATGCCAGCGTTCTGCTGCCCAAAACCCGTTTGCTGTAGAAAAAAAGAAGCATAAAGGTTTTCTTCAGTTTTCTTCGCTTTTTTAGTGCAATACATCCTTCTACTTTCTAAAATTAAAGGAAAGTGATTAGAAACTATTTTAACTTTTCATTTTTAGCCGTTGAGCTCCATTCACTCCCATTCTTTGAGGATTTGCTTGTGGGCGCCCTCTGCCGTTTTGCAGTCATGTTTTTGATATAATGGGGGAAATAGGAAGTGGCCTGGCCACCTCATAAACCTCCTCATAAACCAGCTCTGGAGCAGGTTCCTTTGTTGGACCTTGTTTAGGATCAGCACTTTCTACAGTATTATTAATCAGTTCTGATGTAATCTGTGAAAGATGTACAGAACATTCTGGTAGCTCATTTAAAGGGTTTATCTGATGGAAAACTAAACTTTTCAACTTTTTTTGAAATAAGAATTTGAAGTAGTATGCAAACAATGTTAGTTCCAAAACAGGCCATTCGCTCCCCAGTCCAAATATGGAATTTAAGCTGCAAAAAACAGCTCATTTTGAATGAACTGTTTATTTGTGATGTCACAAAAACCATATATAACCATATATATTTACATGTATCCACTATTTCAGCCTATAGCAGTTTAGCTCCGCCCTTTCACCCTAGTGTTACAAGAAGCGTTTCAGCCCAGACTGCTTTTGAATGAGGCAGCCCACCAGAAAAGAAGGAGCTTACATGCATCAGTCTTAAAGGCACAGAAACAAATACAGCCTGTTTTATTATAACGAGTAGAGATGCTGGAAAACAGTCACATAAAAACAAATGTTTCTGGTACATAAAACCAGATGAAATTTAAGTTTAGAGTCCTTCAAATAATCAACAAAAAATCCTATTCTCACAGCAATGGCAAGTTACTACAATACCCATAATTCTCAGGCACGGGCTGAGTGTGGATACCTGAACTCTTTGAGCTTGGACTGGCATGTCTGTGCCAGGGTCACATGTGGGTCGTTAGCCTGAGCACGCTTCGTTATCACCTTCTGCAGCTTCTTCTCCCTCTGCCTCTGTCTCTCCCTCCATCTCTCCTCCTCTTCCTCGGCCTTCTTCCTCTGCTCTAGAACTTTCCTGCTCAGAGAGGAGAGGGGCTGGTCTCAGGACTGGAGGGATGGCTTGGGTGAGGGAGAATCCAGTGAGGGGTGAAGCTACGGCAAGACAGCAGGGACACATTCGCATTGGAGTGCTGGGTTTTGAGGGGTTATTAGAAAGTGTGGAGCGGCTTATAGCTGCACAATATCGGCTGGTAATCTGTATCACGATACTGACTTCTGTGATGTGATAAGAAGGATAAGAATGCAAAATTCAAACAAGCCTCCTTGCAGGCTGTGAACATCCTTTTGTGGGTTATCTGGAAAGCACTTATATGAGTGGTCTCCAGCTTTGGTCCTGGAGATCTCCCTTCCAGACTCCTGTTAATGAACTTTGTCAGAAGTTCTTGATTGGCTGGATGAGATAAATTAGAGTTAGGTAAGGGGGGTGGAGGGGCAGCAGCAGGTTGGAGCTGTACAGGAAAGTAGATCTCTAGGAAGAGGCTTGGCGACAAATGATCTACAAGATCTAACAGGAATAAATAAACTTTATCAAAATACATACAATACAGGCTAAATTTTAAGCATGTCCCATCGAGGGCTTAGCAGTGTGTTTTAATAAATAGCAGGGTATAACACAATTGCAGTACAATATAGTCACAATATAGTGTTTTGTTTATATTGTGCAGCCATAAATCAGGTTCTACAAGAATCACATGAGATGTTATTCTAGATCAGCAGTCTTAGACCGGAAACATACTTCATGCAAGCGTGCAAAGCTACACAAACACAGTTTTGGACCCTGTTGATGACACAGTTCATAACGCAATGCAAGCTCAAGCTGCATTATGAGTGTTTTCACTATCACAGTAGTGTAAAAATGCATGTTGGGTTTGTACAGAAGGACTGTCTGTTCGCAAACCACTGGCCAGGCGTTGTCATTTGTACTTGTGCATTTGCGATGAGTATGTTTCTGTATGTATTCTAAAATACTAGCCACAAACGTGGAGCTACAAATGGATTGTAAGGCCAGAGCACATTGACCAAACACCAACAGAATGGAGAACATTTTAGATCAGGGGTGTCAAACTCAACCAGTAAAGGGGCCACAATAAAAAAATCTCATCAAATCTGTGGGCCAGAGAAAAAAACATGTTTTTATTTCATTTTTAATTAATGTTGTTCTGTAACCTGAACTGGCCACTGTTTAATGAAATAAATACATAAAATAAAATACAGGCACTTGTAGTAGACCTTGAAAATTTTTAAAAAGTTTAAAGTCCCCAGGAGTTTTTGCTTGAACTAGACACCTGGCATCTTTTCTTTGCTGCAGGTTCATTAAGACTTGGGCTCAATGTCTGAGCTGCTGACTTAATGTTAAGTGTTTATGTTGGTTAAACTGCAGCTGAAATGCAGCTTGTGCATTTGGTGATATGGCTGGTGTGGAACTGGGTAGCACTGTGTAGAATTGAGGTGTAACCGCTGTCCCATAGACTGCTGTTGAGGTAGGAGAGTCAGAGCGCATTATGTTGCAGTGCATGCTGGGGACTGTAGTGCAGTGCATGGTGAAACAGGCTAATATTAATAGAAAATTAAAATACTTGATACGGTAGCATTATGTGGTGGGCCTGATCCTTGTGTTTAACACATGGGTTCTAGATCACTATGAAGGGGAGGACATATTCTAAAACAGTGTAGATCGGAGAGAACATTCTAGAACAGTGGCCACCAACCCTACCTTCCTTCAGAGTCTAGTTCCAATCACAATCTGCCTCACCTGCTCCAGCAGTCCTTGATTGGCTGGATCAGGTGCGTGAGTGAGGTAAGGGGAGGAGGTAGCATGTAAGATGGAACTAAACTCTGCAGTAAAGTAGATTCCTTTTGGTGTTTTAGGGCACTAATAAGTACACTGGCCTTTTTTCATAGAGTCTGAATCATAAACTGGAATTCCAGAGTGATTTTAAGGGCACTATAACTTCCAACAATGCACTTGTAATTCTGAGTAAACACTCCATATGAGCTGAATCTCTACCAAACTGCGTTTTGAGTCTCGAAGGAATGTTAGCTAACTGTAGCGGTGGCCACTGCATCACTGAAAACGTAACTTTTCGACGGTGAAACACTGTAAAAATCCGCAGTTAGTCAAAGATTGTAACGTGTTTACTGCCTGTTGTTTGTCATACGGCAAAAACGCAGACTGGAAACTGCAGTCATGGACCAAATATTAAATGTGTAGCTGAATCAAGTTTTGTACTTTTCCCAGTTTACTTTCCAAAACCTGCTTATAACATTTAGAGCTACGAATAAGAAGCCAACTTCAGCCTCAGGCACCTCGTGTTGGCTTGTTTATGTGGTTGCTGAGTACTGACGCAAGCTGATGACGAAAAAGTGTCCGAATTCGTTTACTGATTTACGTGTTTTCACGATATTTTGTAAACTAAATAGTTCTCCTCTATATAGCATGATAGTGAATGAGGGGAAAGAAGAGGGAATAGGGGTCCATTTCAGTCACAGCTCTAGAGAGGTGGAGGTTCTAGAACAGTGTGGATAGGGAGGGACATTCTAGAATGGTGTGAATGGGGGACAAAACTCTAGAGTTCCCAAACATACAGGCACGGGACACTGGGGGTGAACAAGGTAGGGATCACGCACAGACATCTGCACAAGACTTGTATGCCAGCATTAAAGACAGAGCTCTAAGAAGCTTTGAGTCCAGCAGGGTTTTGTGGGGGTTTCACCAGTCACCAGAATGGGCTCGGTTACCTAACAGCCTCCTGACGTTTCTTGGCTGCATCTGTAATTTTGGCTGGCAGGCACTCCTGGCTCCCAGAGAGGGACGAGCAGACGGAGGACAAGGGTGTTCTGGGAGACAGGGCAGCCGGTGTGATGAAAGGCCAGCGGGACGTCCGGGGGCTCCTCCTCTCGGTCTCGATGTCAGCGATAACGCGCTCCTTGTGTGAGGCGATGTTAAAGGTGCGCAGTTTGAAGGGTTCACAGGCCGTTACAGGTCGCACATCTCGTTTGCTAGCAAGCTGCTTCTGGAAGCGCCTGTATCTGGCATCAAAGTCAGGCACCTGGCCGTTTATTTTGGGCCGGTGGCTGGTCTCGGCCTCCTGGTCACTCTGGGTGGCAGCTTTCTGCGCCTGTCGTTCGCTAAGCCGCCTAGCTAGCATGCTAGGTGGCATTGAAGCGCTCTGCAGCAACTCTCTTGCCCGCATCTGCATCTTGATGGACCGATACAGCTGCTCCTCTTTCTGCTGCTCACCTAACGCCGCCTCCTTGACTGCCCGGGGGACGGGCTTGGCCCGAAACGGGCGCCTCCTACGGTCCTCCTCCTCCTTGGCAGACAAGAGCGTCTGCTCTTTTAGTTGCGCCTCCTTCTGCTCCTTCTTCAGGCGCTCCCGCTCCAGAAAGCTAAAAGGTTTCTGGGTAGAGCAAAGGCGTTGCTGCTCATTGGCCCGCAGGTGGCACCGCCGCTCCTCGTCTTTCTCCTGCAGTTCCTCGTACAGAGGTAGTCGCACGTGGGCCGGCACTGGACTGGCCCGAAACTTCCGTTGGCACTCCGTCAGCTCCTCCAATTGCCGGCGAAGTTCTGCGTTCTCATGCTCGATCTGAGAGCGAGATTTAATGCCCTTCTGTTTGCGCTCCGCCTCCCGCCGCGTCATGCGGAAAGGTTTGGGCACGGTCACCCGCGGACGCCAGCCGTCCTCCTCACCTGCCTGCTTCCGTTTCTTCAACCTTTTACCTCTTACCTTGACCTTATTCCGCACTGCAGCTCGATGGTCATCTGCACGGCTCTGTATCGAGGTTGCTGAAGGGTGCCGCTGCCGTGGAGACAATCTGTCCACGCTGAAGTCCTGCCACATGTTCTTGATGCATTCTTTGGGCGAGACGAGAAGGCCTTTCTCGATGCTGAGGTTGCCACTGTCGCCACGTTTGTTGTCAGCAGCCCGGTCCTCCTCATCTGTGTCTGAGAAGGTGGAGTCTCTTCCCAGCTCGTGGGCGGAGTGGGCCTTCCTCAAGTTACCTGGCAGCAACAGGCTTGGCCCGTCCCAGTGCAGCCTACAGCCAGTCACACAACACAAATTCATTTGTTTAGCTCCTTTAGTGCTGTACATTTAGTAACTGAAGCAATGATTTGGCCAAAAATCAAATGTCGACATTTTTTAGTTTATTGTCAGAATTTGGCAACTAATGAAAGGTTAAAGCCACCATTTAGCATCACATAAACTGCATTCTTACATCATGCCTCAAACCACAGTGAGATGTTGTACATTACTGTTCAAACATTTAGAATCACTGTTCAAAAATTTGTTACTGCTGTTTTCAATAACATAAAATCAATTTTGTATAAACGTATAAAACAATGCTAATATTTTATGGGTTTGTTTTCTGGACAAGGATTAAAGTATAAACTATCCACCTAATTTTTCAACTGACCACTATGTTTTGAGATTCTGGCTGGAATATCTGATTAGGAAACAGAAATTTAGCCCCATTAAACTCCCATTAAATGTTTCGAGGCGTTTCTGGGAGATTGTGTGGCTGTCGCCACAGCCAAGTGAAAATGAAAGAACAGCAATATTACAAGCATATAAAGTGCAGAGCTTAAGCACACAGGTACATGTGGCTTTATAATGACTGCTTGAAAAAGTCCAGTTATTACCACTGAAATCTGTGCACATAAAATGCAACCAGATGACGATTTGCCAGTTGAACATCACTTGTTGCTGCTAACAGACTCGCTTTAACTGGTTTACACTAATATTCTCTTTTTACTGGTATATGTCTGCCCTCACTAGAGCAGGCTGAGCAGGTCAACAGAAAGCTCACAAGCTAACGCTGCAATAATAAAATACAGACTTCATGTACAAGACTTTAAAGGAGTTACTTAAAAAAAATAGTTAAAAAAGTAAAAGATACATATAAAATAAAGAATGTTACTTACATGCCTGTCACAAGCTTAAAATATGTGCCTTTGAACTACAGCTGTCATATGAGAGCTGTAACTGTCTTCTTTCCAGTCAAATAGATGGGTGATGTAATTTTAAACCCTTATAATAAAAGAAGCTGAACTCATCATTTTTTTTTCTACTGAAAGTCGACCCATTTTTCCACAAATCTGGGCTATAAACTATAAACAGATGGCGTCTCTTCAGTGATCTGCACTGTAAAAATTATTTTTATAAAATAATACAAAGAGCGTCTGAGATTTTTGGCTTTCAGCAGTGAATTGTAAGCATGTAGTAATATGTGTGATTATAAAATACTGTAAAATACTGTATAAAAAATGTTCTGTTAATTTGAGGGTTATTTCATGCTCTTACTGAATAATTTGCCTTATGATTTGGGCAAGTACCTATGAGCATAAGAGGTTAGCATTCTCCTTCAGCTAACATACCTGAACCAGCTGATTTGTGAGATTAATCATCTGTGTTTACACAGGGAAAAACACTAAACCCTGCAAAGCTGTGGGAATCCAGAAGTTTACAGTTTGAATCCACTTCTTTACAAGAACACTTCGTTCTAAAAGGGTAACATAATTTGTATTTAATCAAACTTATAAGGCCAGATTGTGGCCATTTTGCATCATCTAAAATAGACCACGCTGAATGGCTCCTGCTACCCAAATAACATATATAACACCGCACTGACTGTATGTCACTGCTAGTCCACCCATAGACCACACCTGATGGTTGTCCTGCATACAAGGTCTAACAGGTTTTTAATCTCCTCAAACAGATTTTGAATGCACAGAGACTTTTATTTTAGAAAATAAACTAAGACAAATACTGCAAACTACTAAAAAAAATAATGTCTAGGCCGAATACAAAATAATTTAGATGAAAATATCGTTGCTGACACTGTGCTGATTAAAATTATTCACTTAAGTAATTTACGAGGAATAACAAATGAAAGAAATGACGGGAAAATAAGTAAACTGGACTGTGAAAGGAAAACGAGTGATAAAAAGTAGCAATTTGTTAAATACCCTGTTTAACCATCAGTGGGCCGCTTTCATTCACAATTAGCAACATTAGCAATATGGCTAAGTATTTTATAGGAGGGGCCTTATTTTCAAACTTGTTCATTGGTTTAAAATAAAGGTCTTAAAATTAGTGTTAAAATCAAAGTAATGAAATCAGTGTGTAACATTAAGAATTGTCATTACCGAAACACATATTTTCTGCAATTTAGTGATCTAAAATCTAAAAAATATTATGATTTTATGTGTTTGCAACTGTTCAAAGCTGTTTGCTAGCCATGTACTGGCTTGAATTCGAGAAGGGTCCAGCTGCAGACCTCCGCTCCACTGAGGAGCCAATCAAATTGCAGAACTCTAGTTCCGCTCAAGGATGACAAGCTTCTCAGAACAGCTAGTCATGTAAATGTGCCGTTTGGCACCATAAAACACAGCATAATTTATAAGAATAAAAACTAGAGATACTTAATACAATGCAAGATTGAAACAAGAGATAAATACGACTAAAGATAAAATACTTTTTTAGGAAGCCAGTGAAGCACATATGGAGGAATGGGTTCACGGTGACGTTACAATGATTTTGCATTTAGATACGGCAAAATCAGCATAAAATCGATGTACACAAATAAATCAATTCTGATATCGGAGATCAACGTTGATTTGATGCACTTGGCGATGGGAAAATGAGCATTGATTCAGCGTAATTTTGTTATCTGGGATTACGAAATTGGTTTTAGTAAAATAATAATAATATTTGATGGACTGAAAGTGTGCCGTGTTTTTGAACAGTTAAAGGTCAGAGTTAAACAGGTTAAGCCTCATAGCGTCACAGACCCTTTATTTTGACAGCTAGATGCAAGGTGTGACATCATTGGCTCCTGAGCAGAACTCTGGAGTTCTGCAATTTGATTGGTTCCCCAGCGAAGTGGAGCTCTGGAGGTCTGCACCTGGAGTCTTTTGTTGAATTCAATTCAAAATTAGCTCAAAGTTTCACTACTGAAACATTTGGTAAAGTTTTGGTGGTGTTATGATTGTTTTGTTAGTGTCAAAATGGAACGTCCAACCATTTGTTTTAATAAAACAAAAATAATTAACATGTAGGGTCACTCGAAGCGAAAGGATTTTAGTCTAAAGGCCAAGTCAGTCAAAAGTCCCAAATGTGTTTTCAACTCTGACTTTGAACCAATTAGGTAGACGGATCCATATAAATATCTAATAACATCAACAATTAAAAGAAGAGAAAGAAATAGTACGAACTGCATGCAGGCCTGCACTCACAGACGGTCTCTGTTGGAGCTGTCCGGTGGTGCCACGCCCTTCAGCTCGAGTTTCTTACGGTACATGAGCTCCAGCTCGGCCATGGTGCGGAGATGCTCCCTCTTCAGCTGCTCCAGTTTGCGGTAGTACTCCTCGTTAGAGAAGTAGAACTCGCGCAGGTCGATGTGATCTCCTGTAACCCGGTAGTCCTTTATCAGCAGGGGGCTGCTGTCTTTGGCCGGAACATCACCAGCTCCCAGCTCCGAGCCGGAATCATACTCCACCTGTAGGAATAAGACAGAAAGGGGTTTTAGTGGTTCACTAAGAAACTGTCATTTACCAATAGTGCAAGTCAAACGCTCAGACTGAAGTGAAATGAAAGCTGCCACTGGGCTTTTCTACACAAACTAGTCACGGATTCTCATGAAAACATTTCAGTTTAATTTATGCAACTAATTTAAAAACTGCGGTCCAAAAAGTTTTTAGGTATGAATTTTTTATTTTTTTTCCTCCATTAGGTTCTAAATCACATCTTAAAGCGGAATTTTGTAAATTTCTCAGAATTTCTGTATAATTAAATTGCAAAACTGAGTCATTCAGAGTGCTTTGATGTGAAATGCTACGTTCTAGTGAAACCTATTGAGTTAGAATTGTTCACAATGGTGGTGAACAGGAACCAGACGTCTAAAGAATTCAATGCTTCTAAATAAATGCTTTTAAGAGTTTTTACTGCAATTTAACTGGGTTTAAAGACAACTTTAAAGATAATAGTTCATTTTAAGCTAACTTTTTTTCTAAAAAAGAAGTGACTGAGTGTCTAGTTGTAAAAATACTTTGTTGTTTTTGTCTGTTTGACCTCAAAGTAAAACCGCACTGCAAATTTTCATGAATATTTTTAGAAGTTTACTCCATTAGGTTCTAAATCACATCTTAAAGGGGAATTTTGTCATTTTTTCAAAACTTCTGCACAATTAAATTGCAAAACAAAGTCATTCAGAGTGGTTTGATATGAAATGTTATGTTATAGTAAAACCTCAAAGTAAAACCACACTGCAAATTTTCTATGAAGCTGTGGTCTAGAAAGTGTCTTGCCAATTCTGGTTATGATTAGTAACTGTTATTATGCACTTCCATGCACGATTCTAGGCTGAACTGTTAAATGTAAATTGGGTATATTAAAAAAAGCATAAACCAGTTCATACTAGCTTTCTGTGTAGCTCAGCCGAAGTTCAGTGCAGCATGTTAGCAATAAAAGTTAATTTGGTGAAACTAAACCTTTCTAAAACGAACTATTGTGCAGTAGAAACAAGAATCTTTAATCGTATTTAAAATGCAAATGACTGTTTTCTCTATTTACAGCTCATATTGCTTCAAAATATCAACACCTGCATTATAGCTTTAGTATTTATTCAAAATTTACATTTTTATTGTTATGATTTTTAAGTTTACATTTTTTTTTCTATTTCATTATTTTTTTGCTTGTTCCTTTTTACTGGTATTAAACAGATAAACAGATGTGTTCTTTCGGTTCTATACTATTGTTTGCTGTTCAATGTTTTGTTTAAATATGCTGTGAAGCACTTCAAGCTGCGTTTCTATGTATGAAATGTGATATATGAATAATGCTATTATTATTTTTATTATTATTATTATTATTATTAGGCACTGATTTGTGTCTTATTTCGTCTTTATGTCTTTTCCCCTCTGTGTTGCCGAATGTGCTCGGCAGGGCTGTAAGGTGTGCTGTAATATGAGTGATTGCTCTGAGACGGTAAGCTCATTATCTGCTGGTCGGTTTGCTGGGGGCAGCAGATGGCAGATTGAGTGTCCTTCACAAAAGAGACGGAGCACAAAACAATAGCCTAATATCTATCAGGTGCCAACAGGCGTCCGTAAGAATGACCAGAAACTGATTTTTAGAAAGAACACAAAAGGGCTTTACATAAAAAACGAAATTTGGAAAACACAGAGCTTTAAGGATTCTGGGTGCCTCTGCAGCCAACAAGCAGGGATTAACTTGACTTTTCATTAGAATGAATGGAACCAGACAGGATGAAGCAGTGTGGTACTTTAGTGTGGGCTGACATGACTTTAGTTTATACAGTATATCGCTGCTGTCGGAAGAAAACCTGTCGTCGTTTTTCAGTTTTTTGACATGATTTGAAAATGCCAGCTGTCCTTTACATTGTGTGTAAATTTCATGATGAATGGACCAAAAGAAACAGCCCAAAAAAGTCTGGTTCCATTGACTTACAATAAAAGTAAAGTAGGTTTTTTTCCTTTTCCTGTAAAGTTACAACTTTCAAGGTTTTCTTCAGTGATGTATAATATTCAGTATATTAATAAATCTGTTAATAACACTAATTAGTATTACTCCAGCAACAAACGAATGGAGTGGGATTCAAGTCATGTGTCCATACATACACACACACACACACACACACACATATATATATATATATATGTGTGTGTGTGTGTGTTTGTGTGTATATAGCACACACACACACATATTCACACACACATAGTGTATAGTCTACAAATGCTATCTATATATATATATATATATAGATATATAGATAGATAGATAGATAGATATATAGCATTTGTAGACTATTCTGCAGACTAAAAGTAATAGTAAAGTTTCACTCTGCTCACTATTTGCTCACTAGGCTCAAATGCAGTGCCAGAAACTATACATATATACACACCAGCAACATAAGCAAGTGTATTCGTGACTACTGACCAAGTCAACCCAGTCTGAGGTAAGTGTGCGATGATATGGACATGCTGTTTTTCCACGATGCTACTTGATGGACGAGGTTTCATCCTCGAACTTTCCGTTCCACCTTAAATAGTGAGCCACTTACATTCTGGCTTATTGAATAGGCGCCAGAATGTAACGGAACTGCTGCACCATTTAAGGTGGAACGGAAAGTTCGAATAAGAAGCTGCTGAACGTTTGCATTACATGAGCCTCGCAGCTCCAGTGCAGAACTGAAGACGCAGCTACGCTTCAGACACCGAACTGTCCTTCCTACGCTTTAATATCCCTTATTATGAAGTGGCGCTTTTCCTCCAAGCTTCCAAACTCCTGAAATGCGCTCGGAAACCTCGGGTACTCGCCTCCTTCTCACAGTCTCCGTTGTCCAGCCGGCGAGCAGCCCTCTCTCTCTCGTACAGGGCCAGCGGGGCTTTAGTGTGCGGGTCCACCGGCGCCTTCAGACACGAGGTGACCAGCACGTTCGCGCGGTGGGAGCCGTCCATCCTCCACTCTCACTCCTCTCCCCTTTCTCTTCTCTCTCTCTCACTTCACTCCCCTTTTTCTCTGTCCTCTCTCTCTCTCTCTCTCACTCCTCTCCCCTTTTCTCTGCTCTCTCTCCTCTCCCCTTTTTCTTTGCTCTCTCTCTCTCTTTCACTCCTCTCCCCTTTTTCTCTGCCCTCTCTCTCTCTCTCACTCCTCTCCCCTTTTTCTCTGCCCTCTCTCTCTCTCACTCCTCTCCCCTTTTCTCTGCTGTCTCTCTCCTCTCCCCTTTTTCTCTGCTCACTCTCACTCCTTTCCCCTTTTTCTCTGCTCTCTCTCACTCCTCTCCCCTTTTTCTCTGCTCTCTCTCACTTTACTCCCCTTTTCTCTGCTCTCTCTCACTTCACTCCCCTTTCCTCTGCTCTCTCTCTCTCACACTTCACTACCCCTTTTCTCCGCTCTCTTTCTCTCTCTGTCACTTCACTCCGCTTTTCTCTGCTCTCTCTCTCTCTCTTCACTCCCCTTTTCTCTGCTTTATCTGTTCACCGCTAACTTAGCCCGAGTGAGTGACGCCCGTATCTAAGCAACAAGACCCTCCCTGGCGCTGCCTGCACGCCCCGCCCCTCCCCGCCACAAGCCACGCCCACCCAATAACCGTCACTCTTGGAAAACCGTTTTAGCTTTAAAGCACAGAAATAGTTTTCACAGTTAAAAGTCCCCAAGTTGATTTCTTACGAGCGAAAACTGGATTGAAAAAAACTTATTACTGCTTTTGATAAATTTGTAAGAGTCATTTTTTTATTTTTACATGTAAAAATAACCGTCACATCTAATAATTCAGTTTGCACATTTAGGTCTCACAGGAATACAATTTCAACATGTCAAAATTGAAGTTTTATTTGTAACAACTGAAACAGCATGGTAAAAGTAAATCTCACTAGTAAAAATAATTCCCTTAATTACTGCGTGAACTTCCATCAAATTAGTTTTTTAATTGTTAAAAATATTTTGCTACATGTAAGAAAACAAGCAATACAGAGCTTGTATTCAGATCATCACTGCTACTCCAGCCAAAGATCATGAGACAGAACCACCGTTTGCCTTTTTGTTACTGCACCCGGCTAATGGACATGACCAGAGTAATTTGTAGTAGTGAACAGTTAAAAATCTAAAAAAAAAATAATAATAATAAAATAAAATAAAATAAATAAAATGCTTAAGTGCACTTAAACCATCTTCCATGCAATGAATACAAAACTCTCAACGTGGTCAGTTAAAAGTATGTAGATCAAAATTACATTCATTTAGGCTGCCATTGCAAATAGGACTGTGTTTGTAATGACTTGCCTGGGTAAAGTTTCAGTCAGAAGGTAATACATTTATATCCAACAGTGAAACATACAGGAACTTCTAAATTACATTCTGTTCCTGAACCTTCTCAGCCCAGACTTTAATGCTTTTTCAGCTCTCCAGTTAACAAAAACTCGACACCAGCGAACCTGATAAACAAACTTAATTTACTATGTTTGGCCAGCCTCATGCTGAAAGGTAATTAGTTAAGAGATTAGCCCTCTTAGCTTGTATCAGGCCCACTAGAGGCAAACGGTGCCAAATAAGTAACGTGGCATGTAAAAGGTGACGGCCTGGTTTCAATCAGGCTTTCAAATTAAATTCAAGCAAATGATCAAAATGTTGGAGCAAAAAAATGTGAAAAAGTTTTGTTCAACTCTGTTTAAAACATAAGGATAAAAACACTTTCGCTAAAATATGAGTCCATATTATGGCTGTGCATTGTTAAAGTGCAAGAACATGCATGGACAAACAAAGCAGCTCTGCAAATACCCAGTAATTGACAGCAGGCTGAAATATTAAAGTTAAATAGGAATAAAAAGGGCCAAATAAAGACTTGAGTACATTATTCAATAACTACTATTATACATTTAAGTAGTCACTAGAGTGAGAAACTAAATGGTGCCCATATACATCTCCTAAGAACTTTCTTGGTCAGTCCACCAGCACCTACTGCCAGACAACTATGGATAAACATGAAGTCAAACAACTTTATTCTACTCGTGTTTACATTTTTAATTTGGCGAAAGATTTTTAGAAGAAGTGTAATTCTCATTCATTTTTATCCACCAAAAGTTTATTCACTTAAAGAGAGTGTACAAACTTTTCTGCAAATTTTGGCAATTTTATTGAATATTTGATGTTTATCAAGCCTCAGTGTCAAAATTCACACACAAATCCATGGAGGGAAACCCAGCTAACGAGAAAACACCACACAAACAGAAGAACTGATGAGTCCAACAAAAAAATGGCTTTATTAAATTACGCAACGTAACATCTACAGACAGCTCTTGAACAGTTGGTCTTGGCGAGGTGTTCGTGAGGTCCCCACATCCTTCGGCAGCGCGCTTCACAGCAGGAGTGCTCCGGTTCCCTTCAGTGCAAACACATCTTATCGTGTGTTGACCTGCAGAGGAAGAAGAGAGTCAAAACGTCACAACCCAATTCAAAACAGCTGGATAACTACCTGAATATGGGCTGCTGAACCGCACATTCTTACTTTCGAAGGCAATCCAAAGACATTTAACATACGACAGAATTCAGACAAGGCACTTACAACGTCGTCGATCTTGAGGATGCTGCGGACCGTTTCCGTGGCGAGGGTGAGAGCACTGATGGAGACCAGCAGAGGCTGAACCACCAGCTCCTCCAAAATGTTAGAGATTCCACCCTGAGAGATGAAGAGAATGTGTTAGACCATCTGCAGCAAAAAGGCCCCAAAATCGAACTGGCAGAAGTCATGAAACTGTCATGACTGTCTACATTTGGAACAGGACCAGATCACAATGATCTGAATGTTATTTTTAAAAGGGACATTCCAGCCAAAATTAAAAATTGAACCATTGCTAAATGTGTTGTAAACAAGCTTACTGGCATCCTACAGAGGCGGCACAGTGGTCTCCAGAGTGAAATTTTCCAGATTAAAGAATAAGTAACCCTCTTTCTGATTATGTATCTTGATGGTGAGAAACTTCTGAAAAACTACAACTGCTTTGGACTGGATTTTTGAGGGGCAGGTCGGTTGAATATTTTTCTTTTCCTCCATTTTTCAGTAGCTACTGATCGTAGAAGGAAGCCAGTTAGCAAAAACGACCGTTAGGAAGCCGGATATCTTATTAGAGCTGTATAACTGTAGTAACTGTCTTTAAATCATCATTACAATGGAGAAAATGGATTATAACAAATGACTCCACTGATGAGCTGCATAAGTTAAAAGCTACAGTTAGCAACCTTGCAAACTAGATGTGCTGCATCGGTTCGGCGTCTATTTTCTGACTGAAAGGGTTAAAACCCGCCTCTGGGTGTACCGAATGAAAACAGAATAACTTACGACTGGTTGACACCACAGAGATTCCTAATAACTGTATGATGTATTTACATAAAATTTGCATGGTATTTTAGTGAGAACACTGATAAATTAAAACATCTAAAATTATGAAATCTGTCAAACCAATGAGGGGTACAACACTGCACTACAGAATACTGCAGAACAAGATGAACAACACAAACTATCATCTAAAATTTAATGAAACACTGAAACATTTATTTAAGCACATCTCGAAATTGTTTCTATAAATTCACTAAAGACGCAAATCTGACTGGAGGAAGTATTTGTACAGTAGTGAACTACAGGCTTTTATTTTGGATTTGCACATTTGAAGACAGTCTTGAGAATTTTATTTTGACCAAAAAATACTTTACTATTAATTCTGAGCTTCCAAAAGTATTCCAGCTGAGTCACCACCATTAAAACTGTAACAGCCTCAGGGACCAACGAAATCAGTTCAAAATGAAGATCAACTAAACAAACGTAGTTATCGCCCACCTTGCGGACATTGATGCCGGCTGTCTTCTCGCCCTGGGCGTGCCTGTTGCGGAGTTCAGTCACAGTGGAGATGGGGCTGAGGCCGGCGTTCTCGGCCAGCGTGGAGGGGATGACCTCCAGAGCGTCAGCGTAGGCACGTACACAGTATGCTTCCATACCACCCAGCGTACGGGCGTACTCCGCCAGCCGCAGCGCCAGCTCAATCTCAGGAGCCCCACCGCCTGCAATCAGAGCCCTGAAGGGAGAGACACAACTCTGTTATTTAAAAAGATAACACTGAGTCATAACATGGGGCTCCGATGTGTCGATGATATAAGAATGGTTCTGAAAATTGAATAACTGTTTAACAGAGGTGGAGTAATAATGTAAAGACTAATGGAATAGTTTGACCAAACCTAATAACATGATTCACAATACATGAAAGCTCGTGTGGCCCAGACAGAATGATCTAATTTGCACTGGTCTCCAACTGCTTTTGTTCATTATTAGAAATATATATATGGTGAAATATTCCCTCTTGATGAGAAATGCCACCTATTATTTGTCAACCTTTTGCAAAGTTCTGACCAAGTTAGATTCCTTGCAATGGTGGTGCTGGGAACCACATACGACACAAATATAGCCACTGTATTCACTAGCCAAAACCATGAGTAGAATATACAAATATATAAATTAATTAGTCGAAAGAAAACCTTGTACCTCCAAAATGGTAACTTTACAAGAGAGGGAAAAAACCTACTTTACTTTTAATTTAAGTCAAGGGAACAAGAGTTTTTTCCAAATCATTTTAGGTCATTTCTTTTTTCCATTCATCATGAAATTTACATACAATGTAAAGGACAACAGGAATTTTCAGATTATGCCAAAACCCAAAAACGTATTAAAAAAAAGAAATAAATAAAAATAAATAAAAATGGAGATAAAAGGTTTTGTTCCAACAGCAGTGAGATATATATATATATATATATATATATATATATATATACATACACACATACATACATATATACATATTTTATATAAAATGAATGGTGTAAATAAAATGAATGGTCATAAATGATGAATGACTAATTGATCAATATTTATTGGTTGCTAATTAGGAATTTCACATAATGTTCATTCCCAATGAATGACCTTAGTCATTTATTAAAAATACAAAATGTGCAGTGTTTATTTGTTCACTGAAAGTGAGAGATAACTCACCTTTTCTTCACGAGACAGCGGATCACGCAGAGAGCATCGTGGATGGAGCGCTCTGCCTCCTCGATCACCAGCTTATTGGAGCCGCGCACCACAATGCTCACTGTTTTACCTGGACTGGCACAACCTGTGATCTGTACATATACAGTAGGACATTAACATGAAGTGTTTCAACTGTACAACAAATGACATTAAATCGTTTGAATCATGAGAAACAGATTTATCTTTTTGTTATACTGGTGAACAGGTCACCAACAGGGCCCTCACAAACAAAAACAAATGGTCAAACGTGTGAACATCTGTGGTCAAATGACAGATTTTGTTGATTTTCTAAATAAAAATAAGGGAACCTCATCTACAGAGAACACTTCAGTGCGCAATTTCTAGTTATTTGCAGAGTTTAACATATTGGGAAAACTGTGCGATGTGCAAAATTTTTCTTTAGTAAGTAGTAATTGTGCATTACAAGGTGCAGAGGTGTGTGCAGAAAGCTCACACTCGCTGATGACGACCTAGTTTCCACCATTTCTACTCTACTATGAGCTCAGAGCTGCTCTGAGGTCAGCGCTCTCACCTTCACCAGCTTGCCTGAGCCGTCCAGGCTGACCTCCTCGACCAGCTCGGCTGAACCCAGCATTTCCGGAGTAAACTGGTCAATGTGGGCGATGGGCTTGGTGCCAATAGTCTAAATAGAAACAAAAAAAAGTTTACATTCATTGTTTATGTTGATTATAACATTCATTAAACGTTAAAGACAGTGCCTGATAATGTAATTACGTAATTCTCCACATTACAAAAACTATATTTCAATAATGCTTATTAATATCATTCATCACCAACTGAATTTAGACATTTAAATAAAAATAAATGATGTAATTTAGGTGTTATTACAAAATTATTGTTATTTAGACTGCTTGGCCAGGACAACCCTTTAAAACAGATTTTGCTGGTTAAATAATAATAATAGGCTGTTTACCTTGCAGATGAACTCGATCTCCTCCCTCTCAATGTCCTTCACCACCATGATCTTCATCTTATTCAGGAAGTGAAGAGCCAGATCGCTCAGTGCATCTCTACAAGAGCCCAAACACAAACAATAATTAAAGGGCCATATCCTCCATTTGGTTGCATTCATTTTCCTGCCTAGTGTAGGTTTTCGTGCCATCATAAAAACAATTAATTCAAAAATAGTCTGGTTTTGCAGACTAGGTTCCATATATAGACTATAGACCAGAGAGTAAATAGTACATTTTGAAACTTTACTAATGTTTATATACACCATGTCAAACTAATTCATTTTAAAAAATTGAGTAAAATTCAGTTTTCCACGATATGGGCCCTTTAAATTATACCACCAATACCACTAGCTTTAAATTATACCACCAATACCACTAGCTTTAAATTATACCACCAATACCACTACTCATTTCAACTAAACATGGCTTAGCCTGAGTATGACTCTCAGAAGCATCATTCAGGTATGAAGTGTAATGAAAAATAATACATTTTCAAGTGGCTTAGCTTTAGTAACTTAGGAACGCTAAGAAACACTTCCCATTTCACCCCTCGCCCCACCACTTAGCCCTTGCCCCTCCATCTTGTGCATTCACGTCTAGGGTTAGGGTGTCCCGATTTTTGAGATAGAGGGGTAGGGCGAAGTGATAGGGCTACATTGATGAGGTTTAACTGAGGTTTTCCAGAGACACTCCAAACAGAGTGTTACGAGGAAAAAAAGAAATACTGGCAAGATGGCTGCGCAAACGACCAAAGAAACCCACAAATGTGGGTTGTTGCATCAACCCTAGGGGGCAAGGGGGCCTTCGAAAACAAGGGGTAGAGGTAAAAATAAGAAATGGGATTCGGCTTTATTCAGCATGAGAGGTAATTGTAAATAAAGAAACAAAAAGAAATTAAAGTTCAGCGCGTGCACCATCCTTCCTAACAGCAGCTACAATGTCTTTCTTCCCACTGACACTTAACTGTGAATCTGATAGCAAACCTTTCGGCTTATCTTCCCACTTAAACTAATCTAATACCAATACCAATCTTCTGTATTATAACCTGACTGACCTTTAAAGTCATACTCTGCTCTTTTCATTTCATACCTCAGGATGGATTTCTGGATAAGCAGGACGTTGCAGCCAGCCTTCTTAATCTGTTTAACCAGGTTGAGGATGTAAGCTCTCTCCTCCCGGAGCACGCGGTCCATCTGTGCGTAGTCCGACACCACAATCTGGTTGTCCATCTGGCCAGACGAGAGAGAGTGAGCGTGAGAGAATGAAAGATTTACAGAATGTCACTTTAGTAAGTTTGACCTTCAAAATAAAGCAAATTCTTGACATGGAAAAATAATATAACCAATGAACAAACAATATCTCCTACCGCTTAAGTAATGACTTAAATAGCACTTAGATAACCTGTGTGTCTCTAAATTGAGGCTTGTATGCTCGTATTATTTTTTTTTTTAAGCCCCCCCACCCCAATTATTTTATCATGTCCATTGGTTAATTTAAGTATGTCCAAAGGTAACTGTACCTGTAAACCTGAATGTGTGCAAAAAACATCAATTATCTAAAAAAAATGTATATAAATAAATAAATAAATAATAATCTGTGTAAGGTTTTCATGCTAAAACAGCCATGTTAGATTAGATCTATCTAGACAGAAATTCTATGTAGCATTAAAAATGTAATAATGGAAAAATACACTACATAAATGATAAAGACTGGATTTCCAGTACTATATTAAGCCTAAGCCTAGACTACGACGGATTTTTAATGGTGACCCACCACTGCCAGGCCAGTTTACCCCACAGCAACAAATCTGGCCTTAAACATCTTGGGTAATAAAAGAAATCAGGCTACATTCACACTACCACACTGAAGCGAAACAAATCCTGTGACACAAACCTGATGTGTGGATGCACAAATCTGGCTTTTCACATTAGAAACAATGAAGCACTTTAATGTGGTCCTACATCGGATCATATCTGATTTGTGGCCATGCAATTTAGACTTGATCAGTCTCATATATTCACTTATGGCAGCAGCATCTTGGCTTCCAGTAAACCTCGTAAATAGCAACGTAACCTTTTTTGCCTTCGTCTTTCTGTAATAACTAACATCTGAGAGCCATTCAGAGCAAATTATCTTCATTGCTAATTAGCTGCTTATGATGCATGTGGTTCATTCTAATAACGTTCTTATGTGTCAGATGTGCAGGATCAATTCAGGGCACAACTTCGTTCACATTCATGGCTGCTACAAGTCACCTACCAAGGTGAATGTGAATCAGCAAGAAAGATCAGATCTGAATGAAGCTATGATGCTTGTGATACGAACTCAGCCGTAGGTCTTACATTCTGTTTCATCAAATCAAAATGAGCAAAGTCTAGCAATAACATTCTAAAAACAAAATGAAGATACGGAGGTGAGGCTTGTGAAGTTGGGTGTGAACGTACATCAGTCTTTGGAGGGGACAGGCAGAACTGGATGAGGCCGATCTTGGCCTTCTCTACGCGGGAGACTCCAGAGTTCACCACTCTCTGGGTCAGAACCAGGCCGTCCACCAGCTCACAGTCATCTATGGTTCCTCTGTAAACACCAACACAATGCTGTCAGACCATAAAACTCCACTATCTTATACAACCTCAGGCATGTCAAAGGCAAAGGCCAGAGCCAAGTAAAGGATTAACATTAACAGACACAAAACCGAGCACAAAAAAAAAAAAAATAAAAAAATAAAAACATTTTTGAGCACCATACCATTCAGATCAGCGCCACACAATATATTGTTAGTTGAGCATTACGACAGTATTGGAGTTTACAATACTAGTAATTCACACAAGAGATATTATAAAGGAGGAGGAGACAGTTCACTCTCTGTGAACAGTAGCTTAAGGAAATGGAGAAGCTGAAACAATCCCAAAAAACAAAACTTTTTTTTTGCATTATTTCAACAAAACAAAATAGGAAGAGTTGCTACCGACGCTAAGAACTCACCCAAGCTTCTTGACAATGTTGATGTCACGGAGGTCGACGCTGGTGGCAGTGGCCGGGTCGATGACCCTCATCACGGCGTCCACACTCATGGGAGCCAGCAGGCTGGAGTACTGCGATACCACTTTTGAACACAGGGATGTGGTGGCGCTGTTCAGCAGAGTCTCACGGTCACTCAGCTCCACAGGCCGACTGATGGACTGAAGGACCTCCACACCTTTATCCACTGCCTTCTGGAACGACTCAGAGATGGTGGTCGGGTGGATGCCTACAGAAATGAGAGGCAGTGTGATGGAAGAACATCCAGAAACTCAACTGCAGATCAACAATCAAAGTTCAGACACCACTGGCGATTACAGAATGACACACCGCTTTAGAAGCCTATCGAAACACGGGGTTATCTTTAACTACCAGTAGTACTACTTTTATTGCCAATCTTAGCAGCTTCATTAAATGCAGCTGCCAACCTGCTTTTGGGGCAGGCCATGCAAAAAAGTAACACGGTGTTAACACAGGCACCTTTATAATGAAAGATTCATTTGTACGCACCTTTCTGTAGCAGCTTAGCACAGGCATCCAAAAGAGCTCCAGCAATAACCACCACAGACGTAGTGCCATCACCAGCCTCAATGTCCTGAGCCTTGGACAGCTCTACCAGCTGAAACACCAGACATACAGATCAGTATTTCTACAACCACTTCTGTCTGCATCCCTCTGAAGTGCAACAGCACAGATAAAAGTAAAATGCAGCGCTATTACAGCACACGAATCGCTGTTGTCTGAAGAAAACCTCGCATCTCCAAAACCTACTTTACTTTTAATGTAAGTCAATGGAACCAGACTTTTTCCACAGGTTTTCTTCTGACAGCCGCGAAATAGTTCTTAAATCAAGTCTGTAAATGTTCCCCAAAAGTGCAATCGATCTAGAACTCCCTCGAAAGACCCTCTGTGTCTCACCATTTTGGCTGCAGGGTGCAGAACCTGCATCTGTTTGAGAATGGTGGCTCCGTCGTTAGTGATGGTGACATCTCCCTTCCCATCCTGGATCTGCAGCATGAAGCAGTGTTGACATCAGTATTATTAACACAAACTGAAAGGATATCAGGACTGTGGGACACTTACAGTCAGACAAAGTCAGCTGACAGAACTCTCAGTGACTCAGCAACTGAGTGTGTGAGAACACAAGAGGAGAATGACGTACCATTTTGTCCATCCCCTTCGGGCCAAGACTTGTTCTGATGGCATCAGCGACAGCTGTCAAACAAAAGAAGGCAAAGGGAACAAGTGTCAGAACTGTAGTCATCATGGGATGGATAGTGATGTAACGTCACAGCCTCACTTAAAACTGAGGCACATCACCATGGGCCGAAGTGAACTGGCCAGTTAGCTGCTTTACAAAAGGCAATGTTAATTCTTTCTTTAACTCTCTTTAAATGCAGCACTAAAATTAAGGTGGCACAGAATTTAAGGTGGAACTGCAATTAACATAGCACTAAATTTAAGGTGGCACAGAATTTAAGGTGGAACTCTTTTTAAGGTGGATAAACGCATATGCGCAAGTGCTGGTAAATGCAGTTTAATGCAGTCTAGCAGAAGAGGAGGGCATTGATGACAGTATTTTGTCATCATAATTTTTATTTTTGCATTATAGCTCCGGACTATCCAGCAGGTATTAGCAGAAAGCAACAGGCGCGGCTCCTGCTAAACTTGGAAAATGTACATATTATAAATATTTTTTAGCTTTGATTTATTTATTTTTATCTTATTTTTTACTTTCTAGAATTTGTATACACGTACGTAGATATATATATATATATATACACACACACACACACACGCCTGCTGTAACACAGATTTTTTTCCCCGTTGTGGGACTAATAAAGGATTATCTTATCTTAAACAAATTAAAGGAGGTTTTGCATTTTACAAACAAAGCTCAGGGAGGCCTTAAATCACAGATAAGAGCTGAAAGAAGTTTTAACTTTCATTTCCATTCACGTTAATATTGCAAATCAGACATCACTAAGCGCAGCTGTGTGCTGGAGTCAGAACTCCTACAGTTACAGGAGCAGATAGAAAGTGAATGAGAGGGTCTGATAGGAGCAGCAGACCTGAGGAAAACTAAAAATGAACATTGACATTTCTGTTCTTATCTTCTCTGTATACGTTACAACAGAACGGCAAGACAAATTAAAGGAGGTTCTGCGTTTTGCACAAGCCTGAATTAGATCACAGAGACATTAACAGAGTCTAAACTAGTGTTCACTACGTTCAAGTTCAGTTTAAAACCGCAAGCCGTTTGTAAACGCACACACTTAAAGAAGACAGTTCTTCTGTGAATCTCATGTCTTAAAGGGTTTTTGGATGGTGAAACGCATCTTCAGATTGATGGAGAATGCGTTGCATGTGGTTCTATATAGAACCTTTTTGTACATGGTTCTACACAGCACCATAAACAAGCTTAACATAATAGCAGAAGCCTTTCTGGTGCTGTACAGAACCATACAACACATTCTCCATCAATCTGAAGAACCATTTCACCATGTAAAGATCAATTTAAGCAGGAAATGGTTCTATATAAACTAACTGTTCTAAAGAGAACCAACGCCTTTGCTAAAGAACCCCTGAAGCCCTTAAGCAGGCAGCTGTGCTGCTGTTATGCTGTCTATTGTTAAGGAAGCAGACACAGTGAACACAGCGGGCTGATTAGGGAAGCAAAAGAAAGGAAGACACCAGTAAACACAACAGCATCTCTAACATGAACGTGTTAGCCTTATATTTGGGTGGGGCGGTCCTTCTATTCATCATCAATGGAAACGCTCAGCCCTGACGGAACGCAGAGAACTGAAGGCTAAACAAAGTGAAGGGGGGTCTCCACTGAGAGAGGCCGCTCCCCCCACATGTAAACCCGGGGAGCTCGGACCGAGGACCCGGACACACGTTCACCCACGGACCCCGCGTTTCGGCCGCGGTCACCGGACGCACCTTTCCCGGCGCTGATGTTGCTGAAGCGGATCTGCGCGGGCTTGTCTCGGTCCACATACGCCCCTCCGTTCGCCTTCCCCCCGCTGCTCCCCTTCGGCGCGGCGCCGGCTTCAGGCATCTCGACCTAATCTGGTTAAAAGGCTGTAGTGGAGGGTCTCGGGAATCTCTCGGGTTAGGCGTTGGGCCGCAGGGCCGCTGCTCCGGCTCGGATGGGCGCAGATTCGGTTGGATCCGCAGAACCGAGCAGAATCTTCCAGAAACGCCGGCAGCGACGAGAGAGAGAAAGGACCAGAGAGAGCGCGAGAGAAACGAGCGCTGGGGCACGCGATGATGACGTAGAGGCGCGAGCGAATACATGCCGGTCTAAAATGGGCTCGAAACAGGGGGCGCGCTCCAATCGGCGCCCTGTACACTCGTACACTAACCAGGGCGCGGTATCGAGCAGGGCCGTGTCTTAACATTCAGAGGCCCCAAAACTGAATATACGGGAGACAAGTGTTGTGTGAGTGTCTGAAAAGTGTGAAAACAAGAAAGACTTAACTTTTCTTTTAATTAATGCGGTCAGTGTACAAACAGTAAAGGCGGTGCAGTGTACACTTATTTACTTAACACAAACCGGGGCAGTCGGTCAATTCAAGTAACCATATAAAAAAACCATATAATAATAATAGTAATAATTCACTTAAAAAATAATATTAATGGTAATAATACACTAAAAAATTAATAATAGCAATAATTCACTTAAAAATGTATAATAATAGTAATAATACACTTAAAATAATAATAATAATAGTAATAATACATACACACATACATACATCATCTAAACCGCTTATCCTTCTGGGTCACGGTGGGGTGCTGGAGCCTATCCCAGCTGTCATTGGGCGGAAGGCATAGTAATAATACACTTATGAAAATAACTGTAGTAATAATACACTAAAAAAAACACACACACACAATGGCTCCCTAATGTCTTTCAAACCATTTTCATAAATTAATTTTAGTAACTTTTTGGCATTTTTTTTTCATGCACTCTAAGTCACCAAAATAGTACATGAGCTCCTATGAAAAACATAAAAAGATGGTGTTTTTTCATATACCTTACTTTGTGTATGAAAAAAGTTTCCTAACAATAAAATAACATCTACAACCATTTCAGAATCTTTGTCTCAGAAAATCTTTCCATATATAAAAAGACGTTAACTGACCGTTTTGTGTTGATTGACGAAGACCTGCATTCAGCTGCCTTTTATTTTATTGTATTTTTCCTCTGTTAACTGTTGTTTTACTGTTCAACATGGTGTTCTTTCAATGCTGCACTTGGAATGTGTGCCTTTTGTGTCTGTACACTGACTGACAACTAACACACACAAAATAAATAAATTAATTAATTAAATAAAAGTGAGTGACATTCTGCTTGGAGCCCCCCACCCCTCCCTTTTTTCAATTTTAGCATATAAATTAAAAAAAATCAATTCATTTTGATTAGGAAATGCCAAGGTAAAGACAAACAAACAAACAAACAAACAAACAAAAACTACATACAGGAGAAACATAACGTACTACACTGTATATTGTCACTGTGCAAAGACAGCAGCTTAATAGGAGAGGGAAAAATGTTCTTTACTTTCAGTGTAAGTCAATGTAAAGATGTTTTGGAGCACTTCTATTGGTCGAATCATCACAAGATTTTCATACAAGGTGAAGGACAGCGGCTGTGATCAAATGACACAGAAACATAAAACATGAAAGACATGGAGATACTTGTTCTTTGACAGCAAGCAAGCAAACAAATAAACAAATAATACTTAATGTGACTAAATATCATTATATTTATTTTTTTCAGACAACTGATCAGTTGGAATTAAGAAAAAAAGAATGAGTAGTGTTATATTTTAAAAAATTACTATCAAAATCTGTGAATATGATGACTTTTATTCATTATTTGTCATACTGTGTTGCAGTAAATCCAGTTATAATGAAACATGCAGTCATGCAGCCTTGGTCAGTTTTCTACAAGTACTGAAGACACACAACATGTTCAGAGTGTACTGCATTGCATTGTGACATAATTTATCATAATAACAATACATATTGTGATACTGCCCAGCTCTGGTTTAACAAGGTGCCCTAGGGCCCATAAAGGCAGGACACATGAACACAGGAAGGACAAGGCCCGCCTTCACAATAAAAGTCTTTGTCAGAATAAACCAACATTAGAACACATTTCTTGAACAGTATTTTGTGTTTTCCTGATGGGTTGATATTACAGTGTAAACGACTCTAACGGCTTAAAAAGTGCTCTGTAACATTTCCTAATGGGATTTAAAGGTGTTCTACAGGAAACTAGTGGTCTCTAATGGTAACCTCTAAGCCCACACCCATTAGGAAGCAAAATCGTAATGGTTTTAATGATCTTCCTTTCAGCAGGGTGTACGGTAGACATAGGTAACAGCCCCCCCATACCCCCACCCTCCTGACCAACACCCCACATACCCCCGCCCTCCATACCCCCACCCTCCATATCCCGACTCTACTTACCCCACCCTCCATATCCCCACTCCACTTACCCCCACCCTCCATACCCCCACTCTACTCACCACCACCCTCCATACCCCTACTCCACATACCCCCACCCTCCATACCCCTACTCCACATACCCCCATCCTCCATACCCCCACTCCACATACCCCCACCCTCCATATCCCCACTCTACTTACCCCACCCTCCATATCCCCACTCCCCCACCCTCCATACCCCCACTCCACATACCCCCACCCTCCATATCCCCACTCTACTTACCCCACCCTCCATATCCCCCACTCCATGCACCCCCACCCTCCACCCCCCACTCCACATACCCCCACCCTCCATATCCCCACTCTACTTACCCCACCCTCCATATCCCCCACTCCATGCACCCCCACCCTCCACCCCCCACTCCACATACCCCCACCCTCCATATCCCCACTCTACCGACCCCCAGGATTACACAACTTATTTGTGTTAAAAATCGCAAATGTCATTAGTTTATTAATCAGTATGGTTATAATCACAGTGACAATAATAATGCTGTAACATTGTGATTATAATAATTAATACGGTGATTATTTATGTTGGTTCTTTTTTATCTTACTCTGTTTTCGTGATGCTTTAGCCGTGCTGTACCTCACAGTCACGCTAATAAAGCTCTTCTGAACTGAAAAACCGAACTGAACTGCGCTCTTTTAAATGGACGCTCAGTGTGGTTCAGAACTCCGTGCCTGTAACGGCGCCTTGTGTTTGTTTGTCAACAAACGGTTGCCCGGGTAACTGAATTCGGAACGGACTGAACTCGTTGCATTGTGACGCACTACAGTTCCTCTGCCCTGCAAGCGCGCGAGCGGAATTCTAGCACACTTGATTGTAGCGGTTTGGAACACGCCGACAATGGCGGCCCGCGTACTGCACACGAGCTGAGGGTTCTAAACACCAGCGCGTGAACTGGAACGCGGACAGCGCTCGAGCTAGCCCGGTGAACCTGTGCCGGTGTGGGGTTAATAACGTCAACTGTGGCTACTGCGAATGAAAACAGTGCTCGTGCCCGCTCCACTGTGCAGCCTGCGGAGCAGGGTCGTGTCCCAGTTCTAGCCCGCGGAGAGTAGATGATTCATTTTAGAAGACATCTGTAATCGAGCAGGTGCTCTTTGGTGGACTGCTGTTGATCACACGGCGAGCCCAGCCTGAAGGTAAGTGTAGTGTGATGCGAGCTCAGATGAGAAGCAGCTGCTTGATTCTGTTCATTGAATGAATGAAAGGCTCTGCTGCGCTGTCTCAGCTTCACCCCCGTGTCCTTCGGTCAGTCAATGGGCTGATATGATCAGAGTTGTTCTGCTACTGCACTGCACAGCTTTTTGTTGTTGTGCTTCTGTATTTTTACCAAGTATCTACAGCACTGAGTTCCTGAATGACAGGGGTAATATATGTATATGTATATACACACACCGGTCAGGCATAACATTATGACCACCTCCCTGTTTCTGCGCTCATTGTCCATTTTATCAGCTCCACTTACTATATAGGTGCACTTTGTAGTTCTACAGTTACAGACTGTAGTCCATCTGTTTCAGCTGGTACTATTTGGGTGGTGGATCATTCTCAGCACTGCAGTAACACTGACGTGGTGGTGGTGTGTTAGTGTGTGTTGTGCTGGTCTGAGTGGATCAGACACAGCAGTGCTGCTGGAGTTTTTAAACACCTCAGTGTCACCGCTGGACTGAGAATAGTCCACCAACCAAAAACATCCAGCCAACAGTGTCCTGTGACCACTGATGAAGGACTAGAGGATGACCAACACAAACTGTGCAGCAGCAGATGAACTATCGTCTCTGACTTTACATCTACAGGGTGGACTGACAAGGTAGGTGTGTCTAATAGAGTGGACAGTGAGTGGACACTGAGGTGTTTAAAAACTCCAGCAGCACTGCTGTGTCTGATCCACTCAGACGAGCACAACACACACTAACACACCACCACCACGTCAGTGTTACTGCAGTGCTGAGAATGATCCACCACCCAAATAGTACCAGCTGAAACAGATGGACTACAGTCTGTAACTGTAGAACTACAAAGTGCACCTATATAGTAAGTGGAGCTGATAAAATGGACAATGAGCGTAGAAACAAGGAGGTGGTCATAATGTTATGCCTGATCGGTGTACATATATATATATATATATATATATATATATGTGTATATGTATGAAATAGAATGAGATCTAGTATGTAAGCTTGTTTAAAGTTTCATCATGAAACGTACAGTCCAGCCAGTCCATATATGGAAACTAATTTGCAAAAACTGCCCATTTTAAATTCATTGTTTTGTGACATCATGAGAAGAATTTACATGATGTCACGAGAAAGCATTTACATATATTTACCTATTCAGCCTATAGCAGTTCAGCCCCGCCCCTTCACGCTGAAGTTACAAGGAGTATTTCAGGCTGGGCTGCTTTTTAAATGAGGCATGGTACAGAGCAGCCAATTAGAACAGAGCTCATTTACATATATCGGTCTTACAGGGTCAGCAACAATAATAATTCTAATGGATAAAGTGAGGCTGGAAACTGGTCATGGTTAAATTAATCATGACCCTCACAAACATTACAACTGGATTTCAGAGTGAAAAGAAAAACGGTAGGAAATTGGCCCAATAAAAAGTGGTCTATTTATGTGCTGCCTTTGATAGGGCCTTTTGTATATGATGCTCATCTCTCACTCTCCCTCTCTCTCTTTTCCAGTTTGTCTTTCCCTCAACAATGCTTTCACTTAAAGAAAAAGACGGTCCCATCATCAGAAAGCTGCTGGACGCCGGCTGCTGTGCGAGATGCGTCCTCCGATTTTGCTGTGTGGGAAAGTATTCTTCGTATCAGCTGTCCAGTGAGGTAGGTGTGAGTATGTGCATGATCCTTCATCCTCCTCATCCTCTTTCATTTAAATATTCTTTATGTATATTAACCATATTTTATTATTTTCATAATTATAATACTCTTCCATAAATCTGAGCAGTACTGAGACCCTTTTATCACAGGTACAGGTATTTCAGTGGGAGCGTTTATTTGTATGTGTTTTTCTCTCTCATGTTAGGACATAAACAAAGAGCTGTTAGCTTTCCTCAGTGAGGCTGACGGTGAGCCATCCCAGGATGCCTCGGAGCAAACGCAGACTGAAGATCCGCCCTGTAAGAAGCTGAAGCTGGACTCGGCGCAGGTCGGACAGGACGGCAGCTCAGAGACTTCTGCAGCGCACACTGAGCCTGAAGTCCAGTCGGAGATCTGCGTGGCCTGTTTGGGGATCCTGCAGGACTTCTGTGATCTGAGTTACACCAAACAGGTGACTAAGAGTGGATAATATGGCAGAAATATAAACACCACGATACTTACAGAGCATAATAAAACAAGACGTTTTCACAATATGATATGAAACATGATATTTAGTTTAAATATTGATTAAGGAGGAAAAATTAAACAGTCGGTAAACATAATAATGGGATGGCATACAATCAGCTACTTGTTACTGTGCAGTTTATACAGTTACTATCCATCCTATTCCTGCACCCCATGATGCCCCATATAGTGAGCATACATGGGTCCACTGGCTTGATAAGATCGGCACCCCGCTGACTGTTTGCCACTGCTCGTCCACTCTTGGACCACCCAGATTACTGTCCTGCATACAAGCTCTAACTAGTTTTTAATCTCCTCAAACAGATTTTAAATGCACACGGACTTTTATTTTAGAAAATAAACTAAGACAAATATTACGAACAACTGAGGAAAAAAAATTGATTTCACTAATTTACAAAGTATAACTAAAGAAAAAAGGAGGGAAAAAATCAGTAAATTGGACTGTGAGTGGAAAATGAGCGATTAAAGTGGAATTTTTTCTAATACTCTGCTTAACCACCGGTGGGCCGCCCGGAAGACTCTGACCAAAACGCCAGTGGACCGCCAGCTTTGCCATCAGCGGGCCAACAGTGGCCCACTATCCGCTTGCTATCAGGAGCTTTGAGTGACTTATGGGCAGAACGTCCAGCAATGCATAAACAAACAATACGTTAAATTCTTATAACATCCCAACATGATAGAAATTTTGGAATAAATAAAAATATAAATAGTCTTTCTAGTTGGGATGCTGTTCAGATACATGTGTGCTGTCAGTAGAAACCTGAACCTGCATGAGAGCAGTGGGTTAGTCAGAGGATCCTATTTGTGTTCTACACGAATTACTCACACTAATAAAGCCGTTTTATTATAGTTCACACTGAAAGTCAGGCAGAAAAATCGTAAAGCAGTGACATATCAGTGTCTTAGGTAGATTTTTTTTAAACAAGCCTTTGATGCTCCTTGTATGTTTGCCACGGTATTGTTAGCATCAAGCTAGCAGGGCTAGCTCGGCACTGTATTGGGTTTTAATATCAGCTCTAGTTTAAATACAGACATTTTTATCTTAAACAGACATGTAAGCTACATTCTGTACTCTGCATGTCTCAGTTTTTAAGTATCTCCTCTTTTAAAGGCTTGAACTTGAAGTCTGTCCTTTAGTAGTGTTAGCCTGTTAGCCAGTTAGCTTTCTGTTGACCTGCTGTAGTGAGGGCCGAACATATCCAGTCATAAAGTGAATATACGTGTAAACCAGTCAAAGTGAGTCTGTTACCAGCAAACAGTGATGTTACACTGGCAGGTTGTCGTCTGGTTGGATTTGATGGGCACAAATTTCAAGGCTGACAACTGGGCCTTTTCCAAGAGTCAGTATGAAGCCACATCCACGAAGCTGCTGAAACTCTGTGCTATTTATGTTTGTAGCGCTGCTGTTCTTGCTGTACTTTCTTCTTTATCACGCAAAATGCATGTTCTGCCAGAACGTCTTAGTTATTTAATGGGGCAAATGCAAAACTTTGAAACTTTATAATTTTCTACAGTTTTCTTTCTACTTTTTTTCTGCTGTAAAATTTCATGTTTGGTAATGATTGAGATGATATTATGCAAGTGAAATCTGAAAATATTACTCTTAAATACTTGTTATCGTGTCTTTACCTGCAGGTGTGTGAGGTTGTGAGAAAAGCAGACTATAAGTTTGACAGTCTGGTGCTGGCTGTGTCTCTTCCTGCTCAGCTGTCTGTCAGAGAAGTAAGTCACCCTTCAGTGAAAATTCCACCAAACTATACTCTGCAGCCTTTCAGTCCTCCCTCTGGACTTCCCCTGTGCTGTACAGTTACACAAACACACACACACACACACACACACACACATATTGTTGTGTTGTGCTGGTACGAGTGGATCAGACACAGCAGTGCTGCTGGAGTTTTAAACACTGTGTCCACTCACTGTCCACTCTATTACCTTGTTGATCCACCTTGTAGATGTAAAGTCAGAGACGATAGCTCATTTGCTGCTGCACAGTTTGTGGTAGTCATCCTCTAGTCCTTCATCAGTGGTCACAGGACGCTGCCCACAGGACGCTGTTGGCTGGATGTTTTTGGTTGGTGGACTATTCTCAGTCCAGCAGTGACACTGAGGTGTTTAAAAACTCCTGACCACTGAAGAACAGGGTAAAAGGGGGCTAACAAAGTATGCAGAGAAACAGATGGACTACAGTCTGTAACTGTAGAACTACAAAGTGCACCTATATAGTAAGTGGAGCTGATAAAATGGACAATGAGCGTCGAAAAAAGGAGGTGGTCAAAATGTTATGCCTGATCGGTGTATAGTAACAACACTATAATATACAGAGGGAGCCTTTTGCATCATTTTTTATTCATAGCATTCGAAAGCAAAGGCATCTCTCTTCATTTGTTTCTTTCTCCTCCTTTAGCATTCCTGCTGGCTGCACATCAAGAAGGAGGTCAAGTACGTAAGAAGCACACACTTTCCTGAATCTCTAGCATTGAGAAAATCACTTAACAGGCTTCATTTGTACAAAAATAAAAAAAATCCCTGATGATGCAGACAGTCCTCGTAAATTTGCAGACTTGCGAATTTGTAAGTTTATTTGAATGACATAGTCATAAATGCATGTGGTGAACCAAAGTTGCAGGTTATAACCAGCCAGTACGTTTCCTGCTGTCACTTATTATAATTTAGACCTAGCTGGAGAGCTAGATGAATCTGTCTTTGTGGGGTTATTCATGACAATAGCGATAGAGATGCCATGTCAGAATTATGAAATGAATCATCAAACTAAAAAATACTCCTTTTCCAGCACTGGATCAGAGAATTCCTAGCAAACCTTAACCTAAAGCTAAAACCACATACTACCCTACTATACATACTATACTATTATATGCATCTCTAATGGTGGTGTACCTTTTTTGGCACTGGCATAGTGCCTCATACGCTTCTGCTGTCATAATAAAAGTCCCATATAATTAGACTTTTTAAATAAAGTAGCTTTATTTACTTGAGCGATTACTAAACACTGTACTTGCCTAATCTTGTTTGCCTTTTGAGTTGCCGAGGACCAAACATACCAGTAGAGTGCTAAGATCTAAGATCAGCTTTTGTCGCTGATCCTTTCGCCCTCAGACATGATTATTCTACCTGGTAATGGAAAATTCCTGCACTGTTCATGTTTTGCCTTTGTCTAACACAGCTGATTAGGCTCATAATAAGGGTTTGATCATTATGTGATGAATTATATCAACTGTTCTACAGCAGGTAAAGCACTAACCTACTGTACACCTGCGTGGAATCAGTAGCCTCTGGTCTGGGCCAAGTATTCAATAATGTTCTCCTGCTTCCTCTCTCAGTATGTGTAAAATATTGGCACTGTTGTGTATCAGGGAGAAGAGCATGTGTCTGGATAAGGAGGATGTGGTTCAGGTGAAGGACGCTTTTAAGTGGGCAATACAGGGAATGGTGGGCAAAGAACTGGGAGCACCTGTGCTGACTAACGTAAGTGGAGCTACAAGGCTAATGTAGCTAACAAGTAATGGAAACTTGCAAATTACCAATTCAGCATTTTTACCATTGCGATGGTTTAGCAACACCTTAGCTACCACCTGGGATACCATAGCCACTACTTAAGAACACCTTTGCAACTGCCTTGGATACCATTGCAGCTGTCTAGCAACACCTTAGCTACCACCAGAGGTGCCATAGCAGCAGCCTAGCAACCACCTAGGATCTGATCGCAGCGGCCTAGCAACACCTTATCGATCACCTGGGATAACATGGCAACCATATCACAGTACCTTAGCAACCACCTGGGATACCATAGCCACTACTTAAGAACACCTTTGCAACCGCCTTGGATACCATTTGCAACTGCCTAACAACAACATATTTACCACCAGGGACACTATAGCAGCAGCCTAGCAACCACCTAGGATACCCTAGCAATGGCTAGCAACTCCTTAGCAACCACCAGGGATACAACAGCAAAGCCCTATCAACCACCTAGGATACCCAGCAAACACCAGGGATACCATAGCAAAGGCCTAGCAATTCCTTAGCAACCACCAGGGATACCGTAGCAGCAGCCCAGCAACCACCCAGGATGCCATATCAATGACCTAGCAACACCTTAGCATCCACCTAGGATAACATAGCAACCACTTAACAACGCCTTAGCTACCACCTAGGATATCATAGCAACTGTCAAGCAACACATTAGCAACCACCTGGGATATCATAGCAACAACCACTTAGGAAAGCATAGCAGCAGCCTAGCCAAACATTAGCCACCACCTGGGATAACATAGCAACCACCTAACAACGCCTTAGCTACCACCTAGGATACCATAGCAACTGTCTAGCAACAGCTTACCAACCACCTGGGATATCATAGCAGCAACCACCTAGGAAAGCATAGCAGCAGCTTTGTCGAGCCAGTTTAAAGCTTATTTTCGGACTTTTCTCTTCTGGTTTGTTTTTGTAGACCTTCTTTATAGAAAGCTGTTCTAGGAAAGCTGACATACTTGCACTTGTGCTGCAAGTAGCTTTTGTAATTTTGTATTTTTTCCTGTTCGCTTAAAGGAGAAGTTCTCCTTACACAGCATTAACACTTCATCAACTTTGTCAGTGCATTTCATGTCATTGTATAAGGAGGAGTTGATGCAGTTAGTACATCATAAAAACTGTTCAGTGGTATTTTATACAATGTCAAACCACAGAAACAAGTAGAAAAAAAAAAGAAATAAGATTACACAGCACAGATTGAGGCTAACGTGCGATGATCTAGACCTGCAGGTAGCACAGTGCTAACTGGTAGGTTATAAGGCTTCTGTTGGCCTCATAGCTTTAGTGCAGAACTAAAGAAGTAAACATGGCTTGGCTGATTTTTCCTGAGCCTTAGTTTTAAGGGTTTCCATTAGCATAGATAGTCCGTTTGTAGGTCTTTGGGCATTTTAAGGAATGTAGTGCACGTGGAGGATAACTTACTTTCATGTCATGATTACTATGTTATATTCACACATTCTGCTGATGTATGTCTGTTGTGTTCTGCAGAGTCTGTTTGAAGTCAGTGTGGGTTTCACACATTCAGAAACAGATGCAGACTGTCACTTCCTGTATGTTCACCCCACCTCTCTTTATTCAATTCCATACTTTTCTTTATTACGGCTGTGTTTAGGTTATCGTGTGTTATTAATGAAGGATTCTCGTTTTTGCCTCTGCAGGGCTACAACCTGTTCTGACTGCTTCAAGCCCACTAAGAATAAAGCAGTAAGTGCCCTATGATGCTCTCACTTTCTGTGTCTCTACATATGTTTATCCCTTCAGTGGTGTGTAAAGGTTTTAACATCCCCAGTCAAGTGGCATGTTTTGTTGATTTTCTAAGTGAAATTAAGTTAAGTTACCCTTTATTAGTCCCACAACAGGGAAATTCACCTCCGCATTAAACCCATCCGTGCAGTGAAACACCACATACACACTAGTGAACACACACACTAGGGGGCAGTGAGCACACTTGCGGTGGGCAGCCCTATCCACGGCGCCTGAGGAGCAGTTGGGGGTTGGGTGTCTTGCTCAAGGGCGCTTCAGTCACGTACTGTCGGGTCAGGGGATTGAACCAGTGTCCTTCCGCTCACAAGGCTGGTTCCCTAACCTCCAGCCCACGACTGCCCCCTAAAAAAGAGGTGCACTGTTCCCGGAGGTACTGCAATACCAGGTTGATGCATGGAGCAGACAGAGCAAGCCCCTCTTCCGTCTCCCTGTTCTAAAAATCAATTTAATATGTCGTCCTTGTATAGAGGACGTATCGGATATTAAACCTGATACTATCGCTTGATCTTAGCCGAAAGGCAGAGAAGCGAAATATTTTTTGCTATTTATTCGAATTTAACATATTGGGAAAAACAAACTATAAAACAGGCCACATTTTATATTTTTTCCTCAACATGTTAAAATAAACAGTAATAGTGCATTAAAATATCGCTGTTGTCGGAAGAAAACCTCGTATCTCCATTTTGAAAATGTCTGTCATTCTTTACATTGTGTGTAAATTTCATGATGAATGGACCAAAAGAAACGACCCAAAATTACTTGGAAAAAACTCTGGTTCCATTGACTTAAAGTAGGTTTTTTCCTTCTCCTGTGAAGTTACCATTTTGGAGATATGAGGTTTTCTTCTGACAACAGCGACATCCAGACGTGTGTTCTCTCATTTTAACTTAGAAAATCAACGAAACATGGAATTTGACTTTTGCATGTGACTTTATTTATTAAAGATGATATTATTATTGATAATCCAGTAGTCTGGAGAGTTTATATGCATAATCTCTCTCTCTTTGTTCCTCAGTCTGTCTTTACTAGAATGGCGGTAGTGAAGGCACTAGAGAAGATTACGGATGCGAAGTTTCTTCGGTAAAAAAAAATAGAAAATAAAAACCTTCTTTCTCTCTTTTATCTCCACTGAGACTGACCGCAGTATCTCAACTTTAAAAATGAACTGTATTCTGTTTGCTCTGCGTCTGCTGTGTCCCTCTATAGACATTACCCCTGTCCACCTGTCAGACCAGCCAGCAAGTGCACTCCACTGGACACCACATGCCTGCATGCATCTGTCTTTATAGCAGGTGAGTGCGTGTTTACATACATTGCATATAGATAATCACCTATGTATAATATATATGGAAGTAGTTACTCAGACATCATATTATTATTATTATTATTATTATTATTATTATTATAATATAATGCATATAGGACATTATTGCTATTACATATCTTATTGTATCTCCATTTTTATCGTTTTTCAGTTTTTTGTCATAATTTGTCATAAAATGCCTGTCGTCCTTTATATTGTGTGTAAATTTAATGATGAATGGACCAAAAGAAACGACCCAAAATGACTTGGAAAAAAGCCATATATATATAATATATATATATATATATAGTACATATAGGACATTATTCCTACATATTATAAGTATTATTATTATTAGTATTATTACATATAGATACTAACATTGAAAGTAACTTTATATGAGAAAGAAAAACACTTTCTTAAATCTGAAAGCAAATTAATGTGACAAGATTTTATTCTAAGTAGTTTTGGATCATTTCTATTGGTCAGTTCTTCACAAAAAAGATGAAACATTTCTGGGTAAAAGATCCCCTTAAATCAAGTACCTTTGGTCAGACCGTTTATGATGAATGGACCATTTCTATTGGTCCATTCATCATGAAAACCTTTCAAATTATGAATAGAATTGGTATCCAGGAGAAATCTGGAACCAGACTACTTCGTTCAAAATAAGATATTCTTGTTACTTTTACCTGTGTTTACATTTACTTGCATCTGTTCTAAAGATATCTGGTGATTTTTACAAGTAAAAACACACTTTTTCCAATGATAAATGGTTTAAAAAAGACTTTGGCGTTTCTGTGTCTTTGTGTGAGCGTTAGTTCTTTGTTTTATGTGTCAGTCACTCTGTCTTTGCCCTCATTGTGTCGTCTTGAAATAGCTGTATTGCTGAGCGTATTTCTCTGTTTCTCTCTGTCTGTCTGTCTGTCTGTCTGCCTGTCTGTCTTCAGGGAGGTATAATAAGTTCTCTCGTGAGCTTCCTCAGACTCCATGGGTGATAGATGGAGAGAGAAGGATGGAGGGATCAGTGGAGGAGTTGATAGCTGCTCCTCTCCTCTCCTCCTTCAGGGCTGATGGTCAGTATAGAAACCACACTGAGTTTATTCCTCTGCTTCAGGCAGTCAGAGCCATTTGCTTTACCATAGAGCTTTATAGAGATGCTGGTCCTGGTAATAAAATCTGTTGCAGCTGTTTATTTATTCTCTGCTGTTTGTAGGTTTTAACTTTTCCTCATCTGGGAGAGAAGATGTGGACGTACGAACGTTAGGGAATGGTGCGTCCACACGCGCACACTCAGATTTCCACAATACATGATACATATCACAATATTTTGAAACAATGCACCAATATTTTCCCATTTATTAAAAACTGTCATTAAAACTCTGTACAGAATGATTTTTGTTCAACACTTTACATACTGTGTTGCATTAAATCCTATTAAACAGGACTAATTATGCTCTCTTTTTAATGAAAAATTCAGTTGGTCATTTTTCAGTTGGTCAAAGTACAGACGATATTCATGATATGCTCAGAATAACATGTTGTTTATCATGATAATGATAAAATATCGTCATATTCCCATCTTTACTTTTAACTATAACCAACATCCAACAAACATATAACATTTTACAAATGAAACATCTGTGTTGCTTTTTACAGCATTTATATTTATTTATGTCTGTTTTACTGACTTCTAAAATAAAAATAAAAAAGTTTTTAAAAATACCAGTAAACAGAGGACAGACGGAGTGGCAGCCTAAGATTTCTGAACAGTCCTTTATATTTCTACAATGTTTGCAGTTTGTAGAGGACAACATATCTTTCATATACACATCATCGACCCTGTTTTTATCATCTAACACTTCTGACTGTTTCTCAGACCAGTCCTCATGGGTCCTTGAGATGGTCCAGGTTTTCGGTCTAAGCCAAGAGTCTAGTGGACAGACTAACAGTCTAGAGGACAGTCTAGTGGAGTAGACAGTTTAGTGGACAGTCAAGAGTCTAGTGGACAGTCAAGAGTCTAGTGCACAGTCTAGAGGGCCCTGAAGACCAAGAGTTTAGTGGACAGTCTAGAGGGCCCTGAAGACCAAGAGTCTAATGGACAGTCTAATGGACAGTCTAATGGACAGTCTAATGGACAGTCTAGTGGACAGACCAACAGTCTAGTGGACAATGTAGTGGACAGTCAAGAGTCTAGTGGACACTCTAGTGGACAGACCAATAGTGTAGTGGACAGTCTAGTGGGCCCTGAAGACCAAGAGTTTAGTGGACAGTCTAGTGAACAGACCAATAGTGTAGTGGACAGTCTAGTGGGCCCTGAAGACCAAGAGTCTAGTGGACAGTCTAGTTGACAGTCTAGTGGGCAGACCAACAGTCTAGTGGACAGTCTAGTGAACAGACCAATAGTGTAGTGGACACTCTAGTGGGCCATGAAGACCAAGAGTATAGTAGACAGTTTAGAGGGCCCTGAAGACCAAGAGTCTAATGGACAGTCTAATGGACAGTCTAGTGGACAGTCAAGAGTCTAATGGACAGTCTAGTGGACAGTCAAGAGTCTAGTGGACAGTCTAGTGGACAGTCAAGAGTCTAGTGGACAGTCTGGTGGACAGACCAATAGTGTAGTGGACAGTCTCGTGGGCCATGAAGACCAAGTTGAGAAACAGTGTGAAACACTGACATGTCACGTTACTCTGACTGTAACTGCTGTGTCTCCTGCAGGACGGCCGTTCGCTATGGAGTTACTGAACCCCCACAGAGCGAAGTTTAACAGAGCAGAGGTCAGACGGCTTCAGGAGGTACTGACTTACTGCAGGATACTTTAACAAAATAGCAGACAAATACAGAAGAGTAAAAGCCAGAGACCCCTCATTCATTCATTTACAGTTAAAACATCCGTTAAATTACTCAATTATTTCAGTGTCCCGAGAAAAACGCAGAAAACATATTTAACAGAAAGTTTCTTTAGGAGAAATGGTCTTTAGGAGTCTCATTTCCTCTGTAGTTTTAGTGATGTTTTAATGCAGTAATGTTTTTAACTCCTCTGTTTTTTTGACATTCCTATTCCAAAAGCAAGTGTATTATCTTTTATCTTATATCTGATCTTGTTCTCCTGAAATGGACTGTAAATTGAATAAAGGAAGGGTGGTCTCTGACTCTTGCACAGCACTGTATACAGATGGGACATTTTCTCAAAGCAAAAACTCTTTTAAATGATTTAAAACCTCTGTTAATTATCTGTTTATTTCTCTCATATTTACAGATGATCAATGCGTCCTCTGATAAAATACGAGTGAGGGACCTGCAGATTGTAACAAGGTGTGTGTGATGCACAGAGAGGCTTTCGCTTTCTTGGCATGTCGGCAAGAGAACGCTTCTTAAATTGAGGCCAAATCCATTATATTTCCATTAGGAAATATTCGGAAGAATATTGATCATTCAGTGAATTTTTTAAGACTTGTACTTATTTTAAGCAATCTTTGCAAATGAAATTATCTTACTGTATTGGCATAAAAACATCAGAAGGATGCAAAATAATCTGATTTTGACGGAAGTAAATTATTAAACTAGGGATGCTCCAATACAGGACTTGTAGGCGGTGCTGATATCTGAATTCTTTTTGTCCATATCTGCTGATGCTGATAAGTAAACAGTTTTAAAAAGTAGAAATTGGTAATAAATCTATCTGGATAGATTTAATGTATAGTCACACACACTGATTTCTGTGTTAGATCAGGGCTCGTCAGTTCTGGTCCTGGAAGGCTGGTGTCGGAGGAGGGCCAGGCGTCCAGCACAGTTTGGTGACTTCCCTGCTTACCAAACTGTGCTGGACGCCTGGCCCTCCAGGACCAGCACTGAAGAACCCTGTGCTAGATGGATGTTTATTCTTGTAGGGATGCTATGGGCCGAATGAAGGAGGGAGAGGAGGAGAAGACTAAGTCCTACAGTGCCCTCATCTGGACCAAAAAGGCCATTACTAACAGTGATCTGGACTTTATTGCAAACATTAAGGTAAATATGTCCTTTCCAGATTCCATATATATAACATAACAAAACCTTGTATCCCCATTTTTGTCATTTTTCAGTTTTTGTTGCTCCTAACATTGTGTATGAATTTCATGATGAATGGACCAAAACAGATGGGCAAAAATGACTTGAAAAAATTTCTGGTTCCATTGACTTAAATTAAAAGTCAAGTGTGTTTTTTCCTTCTCCTGTAAAGTTACCATTTTGATAGATACAAGGTTTTGTTCGGACAATTATATATATAATTACATTCTAATTTAATTTTTTTGTACCCTGAAGACCACTTAGGATATTTGTGTGGCACCAAAAGCAATTAGAATTAATTTCACATGGCCACTTTCCAACCTCTTTTCATCTCCTGTATCATGACAATCCTGAATTTTCTCAGCCCTGACTAATACAGGGCAACCAATCAAACCAGAGCTCATTTACACATATCAGTCTTAAAGACACAGTAACAAAAACAGGCTGTTTAATTCTTGGGGATAAAGAGAGGGTGGAAGATGGTCATGAAAAAATGAACTATGACTGTTTTTGGTCTGTAAAACCACACCAGTGTTTAAATACCAGACTAATGTAGGATACTGGCCCTTTAAACAGACTATTTATGTTAATGTGCCTTTAAGTCTGGTTTAATATATATATATATATATATATATATATATATATATATATATATATATATATATATATATATATATATATATGGCCTCTCTTCTGAATAGATGAACGCTTCACGAGTGAAACAAGGCACATCATGTTAAAAAAGCAGCCTGGGCTAAAGCATAACTGCTTGTATGACTGTGATATCTCAAAAGCGATGAAATCGGGGATCTTCGTTTCCATATATGGACTGAATGGAATTTTTATGACTGTATGGAAAATTCTGTCCTCTCTGATACAGGCCCTTAAAAGGGTAGTAGTACAATACTAGTACTGTCTTCTCATTATTTGGTTATATTTAAATTTGCTCATGGTGCTTTGGGGAACCCCTGCACCATGCGCTTTTGCATTTCCCCAACTTTAGAACATCTTATCTATCTAATGAGGCGTTTCAGTTTATATATCTGTTGAATCAAGTGTGTTAGTGCAGAGGAAACACTGAAAACAATGACAACACCACGGAAAACGTAATATAAAAATGTGCCAATCAAAGACAGATTTTGATAGTTCTGAGTAGCAAACTTATTCCCTGTGTGCATGTAGGAGCTGAAGATTGATCAGAAGACTCCTCTGAGAGTGCTGCACCGCAGGCCGCTGGCTGTCCGGCAGAGGCTCATCCACTCCATGAGCGCTAGCTACCTGGATACACACCACTTCAGACTACAGCTGCACACGCAGGCTGGGACGTATCCTTATGCACACACACCGCTTTATACTGCAGCTCCACACTGTAGTGCAGATCTCTTTACTGAAATAAACAGGCTGGAACTGCTCACTGATATCAGCACATTATAAATGTTCATTAACATTAACATATAACCAGAACTGTTCATTGAAATGAGCATATTCTATAAGTGTTCATTGATATGAGCCTGTACCATCACTCATAACTGTTAACTGATATTAGCCTATATTATAATTGTTAATTGAAGTTAAATAGACTATAATTGTTCTTTGAAGCTACCATATACTATAACTGTTCATTATTATATCATATATACATTAACTGTTTATTGATATTAGCATGTATTATAACTGTTTATTAATATTAATATAGAACTGTTCATTGAATTTATCATATAACTGTTTGTTAATATTTTAACTTTAACTGTTCATTGATATTACCATATACTATAACTGCTCACTGAAATTATCATATAACAGTTCTTTAAATTTAACAGACCATAATTGTTCACTGATATTACTATATACTATAACTGCTCACTAATATTACCATATACTGTAACTGTTCATTGAAGTGAAATTAGCATTGCTCATTCAACTGTTCATTGACATTAGCATATACTGTATCTCTTTGTTGATATTAATATTTGCTGTCTATTATTTGCCTTTAGCCTATCTATTAAAATGATGTTTACCATCACATTTAGTCTATAGATCACCAGTTTAAGTGTAAATAAACTGAAATTTAATTGTCAAATGCAACTTCATTTCAAAAGTACTCTAGCATCGATTTGCAGTTATAACACATCAAGTGTAATTGGTTTAATGTTCCCTTAATAACCGCCTGTACAGCTACATAAAGGAGTTTGTTCACGGAGACTTTGGCCGCACTAAGCCCAACCTCTGCGCACTCATGGAGTCCGAGGTGGACATTCTGGAGCTGGATGTGGAGGTACGTTTCACAGAGCTGCCTGAAACAGGCGTTCGAGAGTTCAGATTCTGAGGGCCATGAAACAGTTAACAGTTTCCCACATGCTAACGCTCCTGATTCTGCTGGGTTAATTGATTCTGCTGAATCGGATGTGTTGGAGTGGGGAAAGTGTTCACTATTTATAAGCACCAGCTGCCCTTTTCATTCATTTTAAGATGGTTGGACTGATAGAAATGGTCCAAAAATCCAGGGTGATTCAAAGAGATTCATCCGATTTCAAAGCGCCACATCTTTACAACCGTGAGGCTCCCAGGAACCAATCACACACCAATTGAAACAGGGGGTCATAGAGTTTCTGACATGCTCACTCAAGTACGGGATGAATTTGACTGTGGTGTTGATGTTGTCCGCATAGCTGGAAGAGGTTTATACTGAGCACTTGTAAAATTACCTAATAAACATTTATGCTCACTTAAACCATTTACAGTTTACTGCATCGTTCTGTAATGACTGACAAGTGAAATAAATTATTTTGAAATTGGATGAATCTTTTTGAATCACCCTGTAAAATAAAATAGTGACAGTTCTTTGGGTTGCATGTTTAGGCACAGATTAAGCCTAAATTAGTTCAGTTATAGTTTTTTCAAACTGAAATCCCTGTTAAAGTTTCAGATTTTATCTTAGTCAGCTTAAGTTGCGTCTAGCAGACGGTGGCTAATAAAACAGTAGTTGAGATTTCACTGAGAATGGTGAAGGATTGTAACTGTAATGGTCCCATTACTGAATTGAGTACCCCACCCCCCCACCCCCCCCACCCCCTTTTGTGTTATTTTCAGTCAGTGGACGTGGATTGGCCACCTGCTGTACCAGAGTGACCGGTGGCAACAGCTTCTGAGGAATACTTGGAAATATTCATCAGTTCCTGTATCTGTTCCAGAGTCTACAAGCTAGCTGGCAAACTTTGGGCCTTATTTAAGGAAGTCCTTAACATTGGCAAAAGGTTGTTGCTCAGTTGGACAATTATAACAGGCTAATTGTTGCCTAAAGTGCCTCAGTATCTGAAAGACATTGGTGCAGATTCACTCCTAGAGGTATATGAATCAGTTTACTGAGGGATTCTAACATTTGATGATTGATAGATCATCTATTTTGGGCTGAGAAAAACTAGGTAGGCCACTGTTTATCACATCTTTAAATTACTTTGCAGAGCATTTCTGTTGTACAAGGGCAGAGAATTAGTTATGTCAAAATGACAAAACTACAAAATGAAGGGTGTATTTTTTTCTATTAGGACTACAGTAACTTTATGAAGGACCCCTGACTATGTTGTACGTTTTCTGTTAAATAAACCACAGTCCAGTTTAAGTAGACTGTGGCTGTAAAATTCACTGCCTGCTTGTTTTTGTCATGTGCATCGCCAGCTGTAATTGTAGCTCTCTCACTTGAACGGAGATTTGCAGAAGGCCATTAGTACAGTAAGCATCACGTTTGGAAATGTAGGTTAAATCTTGCATACATTATTAGATCTAGTCAAAACATAAACACACCCCGCTTTTAAGAGGATTTACTGCATGTAAAGCAGTAGCTGAAATATGTAAATATTACTGATTAACATTAATGCTCCACAGACATCAGACCACTGTTAACCCAACCTTGTTATGAGTTTACTGTACAGAAGGGAAACAGAGTCGCAATAGAGTTTGTTATGCAACTCCGCTACTTAGCAATGTTGTCAAACCAGGTCAAATTAAAGATTGCTGACGTAAATTATACATAAAACATATCTGTTGGTGATTTGACACTTGACAACGTGCATGAGAGCATCAATATTTAGTACAGGGTTTGTCTGAAGCTCTGTTATTTCAAGGAGCAGTAATGAGGTGTTCCATATTTTATTTGCTAGTGTACAAAGATTTAAACACCTCCTGTCAGATTGTATGTTTTATTAATTTTTATTGCTTTTCCTCTACAGAGAACACCCTTAAATATGACATTTTTCTGCAAAGTAGTTGTGCACAGTTTACTGTTTATTTGCTGAATTTAACACAATGTAAAAAGTGCCATATTTCTTTTTCGCAGGCCACGTTTTATGTTTATTTTTCCCCCCTAATATGTTAAATTCAGCAAATAAACAGTAATTTTGCATTAAAGTATGCATAAGTGTGTTCTCTGTAGGTGACGTCACTTCGTCACATAGAAAGTCATGTTTGTTTTTGCCTTCGTTTGACCAGACTAAAGATTTCTGAGCTTCCTGTTTTTTTACAGGCCAATTTTTTATCCAATACTGAAAAAATTTTATTCACAACCAAATGAATTTTTGGATTCATTTAAAGGAAACATTTCTTCAAATTGTTAGTGACACAACAACGCAGTTTCTCTGAATCATTTTAATATAACTTAAAATAAATACTACCAAACAGCAAGGCAAGTCCTCTACTGGATACCTGCCGTAATGTTTTGGTATGAAAACGAAAAACAAACAAACAAACCAAAACAGGTAAAAACAACTAAAGAAGATCGAAATCGAAGAAAAACAAAAAATCCGCAATGCATCCAACGTTGTCCTTCATCCAAAAAACAAAACAAAAAAAAACAAACAAACCAAAAAAAAAAACAAAAAAAACATTGGAACGAGAGACAGGGTAACATTGCCATAAGCAAAACGAAACAAAGAAATAAATAAAACAATTACAATTATGGTACAAAAATACACTGGAAAAAAAATCTCTCATAACAACATTAGAAAACCTGATGTAGAACCGTTGTTAGCGAAACCAGTATCTCACAGCGAGAAAAACGAGCTGCAACTTTTTTCTTTCTTTCTTTTAAACGTACGCACACGTCATTTTGCGATGAATTTGGACCGCGCAAATGGGGGCAGGGCCTGAAACCGTGGAGACTCCTCTCTACGGAAACGGCCCTAAGATTTCCCTCATATTTTTGTTGCTGTAGTGATTGATTTCTTTTTGTATGTATCATGTGTATTTTTTCGTCATCCAACAATTAAGTACAGTCACACAACACCTGTCACACAATTTTCTTTTTCTGTTTAGTTGTGACGAATAACTAAAAAAAGAGAAAGGCATTGCATATTTACATCACATAGATACTGTAGCTGGGTGGATTGGGGGGGTTCTGGGTTTTGGATGGGGGGGGCGTTTACAGGTTTCAGTCAACTATAAAGTCCACTCTCCTGCAGTTCTCTCAAGGTTTTCCTTGCCGGGGTGCTGCATGGCTCAGTTTGCTCAGAGTTAATGTGATCTGACTGGGTTACTGATTTCCACATTACTGCCGATGGCACGCGGCCATTAACACGATTTCTACAGCTAGGCAGAACTGGATAATGCTAAAACAAAACTAATTAAAAAAAAAGAATAATAATAATAGAGAGAAAGAGACAGAGTGTGTGTTGGTCTGTCCCCCTCAAACAGCTGGAGCGCTCCTGTCTGTCTGAAAAGAGGAGTGTATGGTTGATTATTAGCTTTCCCTGCAGGTTGAGTGCTAGTCTAAGATTAGCTTCTATATCCGTCTTGTATCTTAATGAACGCTGTTGTATCACAGAACTAAGCTGATGGTAGACCAGCACTCTTACATAGTGACTTTCTTAATCTTATACACAATCCATAAATAACTTCTGACTAAACTAATTCAGGATCAGTTACTTTCATATCATTACAAACTTTATTACACTGGCAGACGTTGCTAATCCGAGTGCTGCTCTAAACCCAGCGGTCAGATCAGATTAGATCCACCTACAGTCGTATACAAAAGTTTGGGTGTTTTTTTTTGTGACACATCCTCTACAGAGAACACACCTCTGCACATTTTAATGCACAATAACCACGTTTACATGCAGCCTAATAATACGTTAATAATCCGACTATTTGAATAGAATACATCCATGTAAACACTTCAGTCGGAGTAGACTATTCTGACTGAGGCCATTCAGAATACAATGTCTGTCCGACTGAGGTGGGTAATCCTGTAAATAATCCGTTAAATAGAAGAATAATATCCGTGTAAACGCCTGTATCTGATTACATTCCCTATCAGAAAGTTTAAGTCTGTTCTGATCATGTTCGTCACGCCATAGTGAGAGTTATACCGTTCAACATGGCGGAGCAGAAACTGGTCTGCAGAGGAGACGAAGTTCATGCTCTGATCTTTAAAAGTCGGCGGTGGGACGGACGTCCAGCTTATGTGTCTCAGAACACGACGTCTTCCTCTCGGCCTTCTTTAATAAGGACATGTGAAGGACGTTTTCCTGAGTCTGACATCATTTTAAAGTAATTAAAAACAAAAGCACTGCTCACTGCTGCTATCTCACTCTGACTGGACTCACGTGATGCTCATTGTCACGGTAACGTCTACACTAGTGGTTCTCTACACATACGTGTAATTTTGGATCGGATTACTTGTAGTGAGCATGTAAACGGATTCCCATCAGATTGTTGAGTAAGTGAGCAGATAAACACCTCAGTCTTAACATATAATCGGATTGTATTCAATCAGATTGACAAGAATCTCTGAATGTAAACACAGCCAATTACTGTTTATGTGCTGAATTTAACATACTGGGGGGGGATTAAACATTAAATGTGGCCTGTGCAAAAGTTATGGCACATTTCATATTTTATTTTTATACTTATCCCCCCCCCCGCAGTATGTTAAACCCCTAAAAAATAAAAACTGTGCACTAAAAACAGCAGCAAAAATATCATATTTAAGAGTCTCGATCTATGTAGAGGATGTGTTCACTTATTTTCACTTAGAAAACCAACAAAATAGGTCACTTGACAAAGACATTCAAACTTTTGCATACGACTGTATGTCTATATGATGGCCTGCCAAAAACTGACCTCATTCTTACTTCTTAGTGTCCACTCTCTGCAAAAAATGCCATGTTGGCAAGTGGGAATTGTCTTGCATCCAATCAGCACATCTAATATTTCTCATTATGAGATTCCTGTAAGAATATTACAAGATCTGAACCAGTGGTCACCTCCCCTCCTCCAGCAGATCTACCTTCTTGTAGCTTTCACCTCCAACCCAAACCTAACATACCTTTCAGCTAAATCAAGGGCTTCTGAAGGCAATAATTAGATGGGCCAGGTGGTGTCGATTAGGGTTGGAGCTGAAGTTTCCAGGAAGGTCGATATTCAGGAGCAGGGTTGATGACCACTGCTCTAAACAACATTTTTACTTGTTTCAAGTAAAGTGATAATATAAAGAATTACATTAAATTGTGTAATTATATTGTATATAATACAATGCTACAATGTTTCAAGAAACAATGCTTGCCAATAGAATAAGATCACTTGACTAGATAAAAGGGTTAGTAATTTAACCCTTTAAACCTTAAACATTTAGTTTCACTTTATTATTCTTTTTTTATCACATTTTCAGATTATAACAAGAATAATCCTTGGAGTTCAAGCAGTTAAAAAGTAATAATATCCTTTCAATAATCTCACAATGAGAAGTAATAGATATATCAACTACATTTAAGGTGGTTTCACTTATTAAGATTATCGTTAGTGTGGCCACCCAAATGAGAGAAAAATAAACACTGGAGTGCATATAGTGGTCCCAAAGTTACATCACCTTGTTTTTTGGGTGGAGTTGCCCTGTGGTTTGTTAGTAGTTTGTGCTCAGAGTTGCCTGAGTGAGGTTTACAGTAACCGGCAGTTTTGTGTACTGATGTCCACCTGCAAATGAAATCTTCAGAATAGAAAAAAATAAAAAAATAAAAACAAAAAACTAGAATAGTGTCTTTCAAGCAATTTATCTTTCTATCTTATGCATTTATTCCGCAGTGTGAGAGTGACGCTCGTAATTAGGAGGTGGAAGATGTGCGCTATATAGAAACGGATAAAGGGGAGGAGTTTATGAGCCTATTGAGGGACAATCTACCGACACTGCCATTAACCCCGTCCGTCTGTCTGTCTGTCTGCCTGCCTGCCTGCATGTCTGTCCGTCTGGTCCAAGTGTTCATCTGACACTTACAACTGCACACGTAAGGCAACATTTTTGGTTTTGTTCCCCAGAATGGCTCTTTCAAACAATCGCAAAAAGAAAAATAACAAAAATCTAATACGTCAACATCGATGGTAATACTGATGGATATAATTTAATGCACAAAAAAACAAAAACCAAAACAAAACTGTTTGTGATCTTCTGTAAACAACAACAACAATGCTGAAAATGTATGAGACTTTTTTTGTGGGTTGACTAAGTTTAGTCTAACCCAACTGTGCAAAACCCCTTTTATTTTAAAGTCCCACATCGAGAAAAACAAAATAAAACAAAAACAGCTTCCCCAAGTCAATAAGTAATTAGAGAGAAAGGGGGGAAAAACAGGGCAGACTTTTTCCTAGCATGGCTACGTAATTTCCTTAAATGGCCTGGGATGAACAGTGGTGCAGTTTAATGAGCTCACTCTCGCCCGCTGGCTGAATATGAGAATTGTGGGAAATGTGGTCTCCTTTCACTGTCGGCCGAGTCCATCCCATCCTCGTCGACTGCAGGAGACAAAGAGAGAGAAAGTGACTTCAACGGGCTGACCTCCTCAGCAAGTACATTTCAATAGAAAACAAAAATATGGCAAGAATGGAATGACCACAAAGTTGTGAGAAAGGCCGCCTCCCTTAGCAACTGCTGCTACGTCCGTCAAACTTTCAGTTCAGGCCACCTGGTAGTACCTGTAACTCTTGCACTTACAGACTAAAAGCAGTACAACGGAAAACTCTGAAGCACAAACCATTTTTCATTACAAAAACTGGCTTTGCAGGGTGTTCAGTGCAGACATACATGTTTGAGAAGTGACAAAATATGAAAGCTGGCCAATATGAAGAGAACAAAACCAGGATTCTTGAAACTATGTTTCCATTATTCAAACCGGGGAAATTATTTAGTCACTAAGCTGCAGGTTTTCACGTCAATGTCCTCATGATTTCATTAAGGCCTAAGAAGTTTTTAGGCTTAAGCTCAAACTTCAGAGACTTTACAACTGAAATGGTGGCCAAACTTTTGCACACGCCACAACTTCTATTTTATTTATTTATTTTTTTCAATTTTTTGTGTTTTTAATAGATACATTAAGGAACAGTAAGTGCATTAACAGTTACAGGAAGAAAAGTCCTTTTTAAAAGTTTGCTGGAGAAACTGTGTTTACTTCTTTACTTCAAAAATGAACAAAATATGTTACTTGGCCTGGGGTGCCCGAACTTTTGCATACAACTATACGAACGTTTTTCCTTCTATCGTAAAGTTGTTTTGAAGGTTTAGTCCAACAACGATGATGTTGAGGGTCCTTTGAAAGTTCTATACACTTCGTATTTTATTTAGTAGTTTTTATTGTACAGTGTCCTTAAGGGACCTGAAAGGTGCTTCTAAAGAACTCTATTATTGTTGTAATTGTTATTATTATTACATTTAATATTTCTTTTTTTTATACAAGGCAGACAGAAAGAGGAAACAGAGGGAACAGGCTATACTTGTAGGTGTACATAATAATAAAGAGTGAAATTTGAAAGTTGGTATTTCACAAAGCAGCATACAGTCGTATGATAAAGTTTGTGCACCCTTAGGCAAACTACATTTTGGTTGATTTTTTTTTTTTTTAAGTGAAAATAAGTTAACATGTCCTCTACAGAGAACATATGTCTGCAAATATGCTGAATTTCAAATATGTGGGGGGGAAAAAAATAAAATGTGCCTGTGCAAAAGTTATGGTACATGTATTCGCATTTAATTTTTGTCCAATATAAAAATGAATCAGTTTAATTAATAATAAAATTCTGCAAATAAACAGAACTTGTGCACTAAAATGTGCAGAAAATGCCATATCTAAGTGTGTTCTCTGTAGAGGATGTGTTAACTTGTTTTCATTTAAAATCATAGAAAATCAACAACATATGTAATTTCAACAGGGGTGTTCAAACTTTTGGATACAACTGTAACTTATTAAACAGCTTATTGAGAAATCCAGCTTCATGAAACCCCGACTCTTGGTAACAATCCTGATTCAAACAGGCTGAAAACAGACTGGATTTAAACTCACACTTCTCAGGAGGGGTGATTGTGATGGTTTGGGCTGTGAACTCCTCGTCAAAATACCGGGTGTCTGTCTCAGACGTTACCTGGGGCTTAAACGGGGGAACCAACTAGAGAGAGAGAAAAAGAGACAGCCATTAAGTTCTCTTACCCACGCTGAAGTCCAGAAAGTGAAAAAGTAGTCCATCAGCTGGTGGTTTTTCCTTCAGTAAACTTATACACAAGTGTCCAGAGGTGGTAAGTAACCAAGTACAGGTACTTTGTTACTGTACTTAAGTCATTTTTTTTACGTGTCTGTACGTGAAAATTTCTGTCAATACTTTTTACTTTTACTCACCACATTTTCAAAACAGGCTCGTTACTGTAGTTTTAATGATCTATTTATCTATTTTATCTCTATCTACTTATTTTTGTCATTTTTAATCAGGCAATTGCATTAGGGCACATAATGAAGCGCTAATTGGCTGTGAAGTGGCGGACGAGGAGGAGGAGAAGTGGAGCACAGTGAACCTTTGATTGGCTACTTTAATGGCCTATTGGCCCCAGCAGTGAAATAAACAGAGGAGACAGTGGAATCTGTGGAAAGTGACAGTGTCGAGCCAGCACTTCGTGCGAACTATGCTTCTGAAATAACCTGCATCCATGGCCGTAATCCTGGAGTGGGAAATCAGGAGACTTGGTAGAATTCCTGGTGGGCCGGTGGTGTTTTGGGCCGGTTACTGTGAGCTAATGAATAAACTCGCAGCACAAGAATGTTACATCCAAGTGTATGTCTGTAGTAATTTAGGGGTTAAACCAGTGGCCCCTGTGTCAAGTGATACAGCCCTGGTTTAGACTTTTTAACTTAAACTTAAACTTCAGATTTAGAGCAAGAACTCCTAGTAATCAGATTTCTCAGTGTATGTAAACTCTTACTCTGATTTCTATTGGATTTCTCAGTCTGCGCATGCGTGAGATCAGACGGGCGACGGCAGCAAAACATTTTGGGTGAGGTGCTGAAACCAAACACGAAATGAAGGATTTGAATATTCTTCATCCTCTAGATGACGTATGTTCATATTTTCAGGTAAAGTGACGCAATGTTTAAAAAAAAGGCCGCAGCATTAAGTTTGAGTTTTACGTTATGTTCACGTCTCGTCTTCTTCTGTGAGTTTATTGGCTGGTTGTAAAGCAGAAATCTGATTACCATCTGACTCATGCAGACCTGGAGTTTCCCATTATCTGATTACTCAAGAGCATGTAAACGTGTTCATCAGATTACAGACAAAATCTGATTTTCTGCATGTCGGATTTTTAAGTGCATGTAAACGCACTTATTGTTTAAAGTATGCTGCTGGCTTAAAGTCAACGTGAATTGAAAATCATAACGTATTTTCCTTCCACACTGACACGTATTTCTGAGTGAAACACAGTATCAGTGATGGTCTTTGGGCTAGCTGAGCATTTTCTTTCCATGCTAGGTGGGACGGGTGAGAGGAGGATGTGAAACATGACAGTATTTGTTAATTTTTTTTCCTCCTCACTTGTACACGGTGATGTAATAAATTAGAAGACCTTTTAGAGTTGGGTAAAAGTCATTATTTTTTGATGCAAGATTGCAGGAAAACAGGAATTTTTTTTATTTTTATTTAAATGACATGAATTGTAACCTGGAATATGAACCAACAAGGTAGCAAAGGTTTTCAGGTTTTTTCAGGTGATTTCAGGTTGACTTCAGCAGGCATGTATAACGGAGAGTATACATGTTCCAATTTAAGTCTACAATTACATAGACTTGATGCCTAGAGTCATCTAACAAACTGAACTTGAGCTAAGCAAGTGGTGGGTGTAATGATGAGGCCATGTCAAAGGGGCATGTTAACTGTATTGAAACGGGGGTCAGTGTCGTAACAGGCACTTTGCACGTCAACGGGATTGTAACAGTGGACAGTGGTTCCTTTGTTAGTTATAATGTCTACATCAGTAACACTGTGATCTGAACTGCTTACTATCTTACCTAAAACTGGTCAAAATCATCATAGTAACAAACACCCATTCCACTCCTTCTCCATCATTCACCCTTTCTTTTTCTTCCTTCTCCTCCTTTCCTTTTTGATTTAATGTGGCCTTTTTGCTTTTCATGACTGTTTTCTTTTATGTTTTTCATTGCTTATTTGTTCAATGCTTGAGAGAATGTGCTCTGGACAAGATTTTGGTTGCTGTTGCTACTATTTTGTTATTTTTAGGTAAAAAAAAAAAAAAGCGGTTGATCTGGTACCTTTTTATCATACACGTCCTGCCAGTCCAACGTAGAGAAGAAGCTGTGTCTCATAATCTCCTTCGCATCATCCGGCCCTCCTCCCAATCTACACACACAGGGGTTCAGAAATGCACACTTCTACTTGAGGTTTGACCCAGATTTGCAATTACAAACAACTTTTCTTCAACCTCCCGTGTCAGTAATAACAGCAATAACGTCTCTTCATGTGACGTCATTTCCCGTAATCCCGTAACGAGTCCAAGCTAAATAATTCTATTTCACATACACACACTGGCTCACCTCTTGTTGGGGTCTTTGATGAGGAGGCTGGAAAGCAGAGACTTGGCGTCAGCAGAGAGTGTTCTGGGAAATTTTATTTCCTCCATAAGAATCAGCTCAAACAGCTTCTCATGGTCCTGGAAAAACAAACAAAAACATACACGAATACGGCAGACGAGCGTCTGACTGAACTGCCAGCTAAATACATAAACATACACACAAACATCATCATAAAAGTATGTACAAGTGCCTTTAATTTTGGACCTTACTGGCAATGTTATCACATCACACATGCTCTTTTTTGCTACAGGAAGACTTTCTAGAATTCATTATAACCTGTTTTTTCTTCCTTTTTAGTTAAAAAACACAACACTATATACAGTAATAGTAAATGTAACAGTCATTCTCAAAAAATTTTTTTTGTTTGATTACGCTATAAAATGTACTGTAAATGTATTCAGGTCGTAATCATAAGTCATCATACCTGATTATAAAAGGGCAGTCGTCCACACATCATCTCATACATGACTACACCGAGCCCCCACCAGTCCACCGCTCTGCCGTAATCATTATCCTCCAATACCTGAGCAATAATCAATACAATCACTTACATCAGGACATTGTCCTTCAATACCTAAGCAACAATCAATACAGTCACTTACATTAGTACATTATTCTCCAAAATCTAAACAATAATCAGTATAGCCACTGGCATTAATACATTATGCTCCAATACCTGATTAAAAAATCAACAGTCAATTAAATACTCATTTAGTACATTATCTTCCCATAGTGGATCAATAATCAATACAATTGCTAGTATTAGGACACTGTCCTCCAATAACTGAGCAATATTTAAAGCAATCACTTACATTAGTACATTATCCTCAAATACCTGATTAATAATCAATACAATCACTTACATTGATACGTTATCTTCCAATACCAAACAACGTTCAATACAATCATTTATATGAGGACACTGCCCTCCAATCCTGAGCAGTAATCAATACACTCACTTACATTAGTACATTACCTTCCAATATGTGATCAATAACCAATATAATCACTTACATTAGGTACACTATACTCCAATACCTGCACAATAATCAATACACTTACATTACTACATTATCCTTCAATATGTGACCAATAACCAATATAATCACTTACATTAATACATTATCCTCCAATATGTGATCAATAACCCATATAATCACTTACAGTAGTACATTATACTCCAATACCTGGATCAATAATCAATACAATCACCTAAATTTGTATATTACCCTCTGAGTGTAATGAGTCAGCGGTATTATCCTCAATACCTGAGCAATAATCAATACACTCACATTAGTACATTCTCCTTCAATATGTAATCAATAACCAATATAATCACTTACGTTAGTTTATTACCCTCTGAGTGTAATGAATTAGCGGTATTACTCTTCAATACCTTAGAAATATTCAATATAATCACTTACATTAGTAAAACCTGATCAATAACTAATTCAGTCTTTTAAAATAGTATATTATCTTGTCTCTGTGCTCAATTAGGGACAAACCTAATGTGTGGGTCAGTCAGTTCTCCTCCAGTGCTGCTTTACCCATACAGGGTTCATGATGCACAATGAAGAGAACTAATCCTCCACTCTGCTTAGTAATTCAGGAATAAATCCTTGGTCACCAATAATCAGCGCTGACGTCTGTTTGCATCACCACCCCATTAGATCATCCCGCTTTTACTGCAAAAATACACTTTCGCTCTCACGACGCACTAATGCTATGAATTCTTAATGCTCCTGTATTGACCGGCACGCTGTCCTACATCTACACCTGTGATGTAACCCCTCTGTGAGTCATGCGCGCCACAGTAAACTGTTTTCGGTCTGAGATGACAACTGTGCTTCTGTAATATGTGGAATGAAGTCATCTTATGGTGACATCATCCTCAGAAGCCTTAAATAAAGCAGGCAAATGACAGCATCTATGACAGGGCTGGTGTTTGCAGGTGTTGCCTTGGTTACCTCGGGTGCCAGATACTCGGGGGTTCCACAAAACGTCTTCATGGTGGCGGCGTCGGTGATGCCCTCCTTACACAGGCCGAAATCGGTGATTTTAATGTGGCCGTCTTTGTCCAGCATCAGGTTCTCTAGCTAAACAAACATGTACACAAGTGGGCTTTGTAAGTGTGGCACGAAAACAACATCAACATACTTGATATTTGGACGATACATAATACTTAGTTTTTCTGAAGTTTATGAACAAGTTGGAATGGACAAAAAGTCCCAGCAATGCAGTAAAAAGATTTTTTAATGCAATGTTTGCAAAAGAAAGAACTTAAGAAGAAACAGGAGGAAAAGTCAACAGCTGATTAAAATAAATGAATCAAATGATGTCATTAAGCAACAGAACACGAGAGGGAGTGTTATCGCGATAACACATGACCTCAAGTCTTTTATACAACAGTTCACTCTGCTCTGCTCACTCGCTGCACAGCAGTTCGTTCTCCAGCTCCTTACACTAAACTTACACTAAACTGAGCAGCTTTTTTGTTTTTTTATTGCAGCAGTTTTATGGCTCAGTCCGATTTGGTCAGACTCTGAAGATCAGACTACAGGTTGGCGAATGGTATTGGGTTCATTTCTGGCTAATTCCAGGTTGTTTAGCTGTTCTTCTGTCACAGCTGCCGACTGAAAAGCTGCTCAGTGGTGATGACAGTTTGGGAATTTAGTGTCGTCTCATCTTCAGAGTCTGACCAAATCGGCTGTCGGTCAAATGTGATCTTAAAAGTGTCCATTTTCTGTTTGTGGCAAAGTAAGAAGTGAAAACGTTCAAACGGCTTGAGCGTCTCCTACAGCTGTCAAACTTGTTGCCTAGCAACAGCGTCTCAGCGGAGTGATACAGTGTTTGTGAAAAAATCGTGCTGTTATGGCGAAATAACAGCACGGCTATAACGCCTCTCAACCAATCAGCTTGCGTGGCCGAAACTAACTGTTATATAATTAGTTATAATGCATGCATTTGTTCTGGAACCCATGTGTCAAACACAAAGCCCGCGGGCCAGATCAGGCCCGCCACACAATCCTACCAGCCCACAAAAGTATTTTAATTTTCTATTATTATTAGCCAGTTTAAACGATGTGCTGCACAACAGTCCCCAGCATGCACTGCAACGTAACGTGCTCGGACTCTCCTACCCCAACAGCAGTCTACGGGACAGCGGTTACACCTCCGTCAGCAGCTCGGAAATTGAGCCAAAGTATTAATGAACGTGCAGCAAAGAAAGGATCCCAGGTGTCTAGTTCAAGCAAACAGGTAGGTTTAAAAGACCGAACTCCTGGGAATATTTAAATTTAGAATATGTCCATGTAACTATTTCAAGGTCTACCACTGTATTTTACTGTTGATATTTTCTGCATATTTAAAATAAACAGTGACCAGTTTGGTTGGAGCACAACATTAATTAAAAATTAAATAAAATTTTTACTGGTTGAGTTTGACACCCCTGTTCTAGAGTGAAGCAGTTTTCTAGAATAAGTCAGTTTTCTAGATTGAAACAGTGTTCTGAAGTACTAATGTAACGCTCAGGAAAAAGTTTTATGACATCATTTATCACGATAGCGATAATGTATCATCATGCTGCCCACTTATATCACATATTTCAGTTAGTTAGTTACAGTTAGTTATATATTTAGGCAGCCCACAGCACAGCGTTTGCATCTGAGTTGTGAATGAATAGGAAACAGACCCAAGGGCACCGAACTTTATTGTTCAATATTTCTGTACTGTACAATTCATCCTCCGCATGCATAATTATGTCTGCACCACTAAATCAGGCCCACACCACTAATTTAAAGGCATACTTTTGATGTTCATTATGTTTATGGTTATTTCTCTGTGTAAACTACTACTGTTAAACTGTTTACAAACAATGTGAACAGAGTAACCACAGCATGATTAATCTGGTTACTATTGGTCCCACCATCTAGAGCTCTGTCTATGAATTTAAATGGGTCAATACAATACATACTTTTTTATTTGTCAGCCTTAATGGCAAATGCAGGGGCAGGGACACCTCTTTCCTGTTCTGAATGCCCCTTTCAACATACCTGCAGGACTGTTAAGACACACACTTTGAGATATTAACACCTTAAGGCTGCACAGTTTGGTGGTTTCCTGCTCCAACACTTTGTGGCTCAACTCAGCAGCTAACTGACAGGTGTAGTGGGCGTGTTAGATCTGGGAAATCACCAAACTCTACTGGACTCTGACCTTCAGTTCCCCAGCCCTTCTTTAAATGAACACTCCAGCGTTTTTCAACCTAATCTCTTTTGCATGTGTAACGTATAGTCAGTTGATATTAACAACAATTTCACTGCACTTCCCTGTACTTAGACAAGAACAGAAAACCCCTAGACTCAAACCGCACTTATACTAGAAGCCAAAGGGCAGTTGCTGAACTTCATCAGTAAACATTTATTAGACGCGTACATTTTTGGAAGAACAGAAGTATTTTTAAATGAAGCTACATAGCTTTGGATGGTCCACTGTAGATGCTTTGTAGATGCCCAGTCTACTTTTAACTACCATTTAACTAAATATCTATTAAATGCAACAGAGCTTGAAGTTGCGTGTGGAAGATTCTGTTAAATTTGTCCCTAACCCTAAACGTAGCCCTGACCCTAACCTCAAGGCAAAACCTACACCTACTCCTAAACTTAATCCTAACCATAATGTTGTTGATCATCAACTGGGTATCACCAGAAAGTTTGGTAATAATATAAGCATCTGTAGATCTATAGGCATCTATAGGGGACCATCAAAATAAAGTGTGACCTTTCAATCTTTAGGCTACGTTCACATTACCAGGCTGAAGTGGCACAAATCCAATTTTTTGCCCTAATGTGACTCAGATCTGATGTTTTCAGGGCTGTGCGGACACGCAAATCTGATCTTTACAAATCCGACTTGAGCCACTTTCATATGTGGTCCCAGGTCAGATTCGTATCCGATTTGTGTCCATGCGACCTTAATGTGTCGCTCAGATTGGAATTCATGTGCTTTCTTTTCCACTGCGCCTGCGCCATCATTCAGCGTTACCATGGCAGCAGCGCCAAACAGACATTAAAGCCTGTAAATGGTGGAAAAGCAACACCTCACCTTTTTGTCCTTCGTCTCGCACTAATAATGAAGCTGAGAGCTGATCAGAGTTAATTATCTTCTCAGCGAAGCTCGTTCTGCTCGTTAGTTTGTGCTGATGATGCACGTGATTCATTCACGTGACGTTACTGAGTAGCATGTGCGCATGAGGGTCATTTCAGGACGCCGGTTTGTTCACACTACTGACAGATTTGAATCACTTACCTAAACGAGTGTGAACCATCATGTCAGAGAGATCGGATGTGGGCAAAAAAATTGGATTTGAGCAATGAGGCTTCAGAGATGGGTGTAGTTTACCAGAGGGAAATATTTGTGGTAATTCATCACCGGTGTAGTGGCATCGGCTTTTTAGTTTTAGTGTACTAACTTTAGTGTACTAACTTTAGTGTACACACTTTCTAAACCCCATATCCTTCTGGGTCGCGGAGGGAGCACCCTGGACAGGTCGCCAGTCCATCGCAAACCAGACACACAGACTATCACACACACACATTCACACCTAGGGGAAATTTTGTGTGTCCAATTTGCCTGTATGTCTCTGGACTGTGGGGGGAAACCAGAGCGCCTATCTATGGCGCTTGAAGAATTAAAGAATGTGACAGTAAGCAGAACTGCTTAATTACTTATTTATTACGTAATTTATTTATTTAACTGTGTTGCTCCAGTGTTTGGAAAAACTAGATAAATAACTTTGGTAAGAACACATACTATACAGGTACATACAATATGCAAAGGTTTGGGCACCCCTAGTCAAATTCCATGCTTTGTTGATTTTCTAAGTGAAAATAACTGAACACATCCTCTACTGACTTCTGCATATTGTACTACACAATTACTGCTTATTTGCTAAGTGTGCAAAGTTATGGCACACTTTAGATTTTATGCTTATTCCTTTCAATATTTTAAACTCTATTGTTCTCTGCTATATTCAGACAACTGCCATATTTAAATGTATCTGTAGTGAGGACTTGTTAACCTATTTTCACATAGAATATCAAACAAACAAAACATGTCATTTGACCAGGGGTGTTCAAACTTTTGCAACATACTGTATTTCAAATATTTCTTAATAGAACTCAGCAGCTGCCCCACTGGCTTCTGTTTTAAAAAAGGTTTTCTGTTATTTTCTTACTTCAGTAAAACCCGACAAAGTTACTCTTCTTCAGGAAACGGACAGTACGATGTTCAGTGCTCAAAAGTAACTCTGGGACACTCTCTGAATACGATTTACATCTTGATTGTTACTTTCCAAAAGTTATAACAACCAATAATGACAACCATAGTTACTAACAAGAGTGCATGAATTTGCATAACTGATGCTCAGCCAAGCTTGTTGGATGTTCTCTTATGGATGGCTTTTTTTAATCATGTTTTAGGACACAAGCTTCACAGTGCTGACATTTTTAATGACCGGTCAGGTGGGATTCAAACCCTGCACATTCAGTTTGGAAGGGTAATGTTTTTTATGGTAAACCACAAGTGGCCTATAACGAGACTGGTGGGAACATAGTGTTATAAGCCCAACAAGCGCTTCCCTGTGCTGGAATCCTCATGTGGCAGGTTTTGAACACGTCCCGTCTCTTTCCACCACTTAAACACATTTTTCTTTTCATTACATTTTGGAATTTTCAGTGTTTCTGTACATTTTCTCACAGATATTGTATTACCAAGAGACAATATTTCATTTTTGTCAGATTATTTCATCTGTACATCTAAGTTTTCTTAGATTCTCTCACTTTCAGAATGTTAATGAAATTCAGCTGAGAGTCAGCCATGTTGGAGATCTCTGGTTTGAACGTATGTGCATGTGGATTACCCAGTTTATTTTATTTTTGAAGTGGAGAGTTAAGTGAAAGTTGTCTAGCTTGCTATTGCTCAGCTGGGCTCAAAGTATTGATTGATAAGTCATAATATAGCTGACATTATGTACTTTTAAATATGGTAAAACAGAATTTCCACAATACATTAACAAATCAAATAATCTTAAAAACAAATGAGGATAGAGGTTTACTTTTGAGCTACTTTTGGGCACTGCAGATGCAGCAGATAGAGATTAGGGTGTATTCCTTTAAGGTTACAGTCAGAAACGAGTGAACAACACAACGTTTCCAGTAGTTTTCTTTAAAGATGTCTTTTTTCTTTGCTCAAATGTTGAGGTGTTCCTAAAACCCGCTTTTTCACGTTTCAGAATAAGAAAAGTGTGTTTTTGTTTACCTTCAGGTCACGGTAAACAATCTTAGCAGAGTGCAAGTAGTCCAGTGCAGAGACGATCTCGGCGCCATAGAAACGAGTCCGGTCTTCCGAAAACACACGCTCTCTTGACAAATGAAAAAACAGCTGTGGGGAAAAAAAATAAATAAACAAATGAAAAATAAACAAACATATTTGAAAGTCCGTTTTCACTCCTCTCTAAACATTTTGGAGAAGTCTGATTTTCACAAAAGTAGAATGTAACAGCAGCAGGCCTTACTTCACCCCCATTGACATACTCCATCACAAAACATAAACGATCCTTCGTTTGAAAGGAGTACTTCAGAGACTGTGGAAAAAGGACAGAGAGAAAAAGAGGGGATTTCAGGCGATGGAGGCATGCCCTTCACATTTTTCACATATCTCTCACTGTGGATTTGGGCTTTTTGTGGGTGTTTGGAGTGGCGGGGGGTTTTACAAAGGTACTCACAGTTAAAAACGGATGCCTAGTGTTTTTCAATACCCTACTTTCAGTCAGAGTGTGGGCCACTTCATCCTGAAGATAAAGAAAGAAAGAAAGAAAGAAAGAAAGAAAGAGAGAAACAAAAAAAAGGGACACTTTGAATTAAATTGTGAGGAGATGGAAGGGCAAGAAAAAATTTGCATATATATATATATATATATATATATATATATATATATATGTGTGTGTGTGTGTGTGTGTACACCGATCAGGCATATCATTATGACCACCTCCTTGTTTCTGTGCTCATTGTCCATTTTATCAGCTCCACTTACTATATAGGTGCACTTTGTAGTTCTACAGTTACAGACTGTAGTCCATCTGTTTCTCTGCATACTTAGTTAGCCCACTTTTACACTGTTCTTCAGTGGTCAGGACCCCCATGGACCCTCACAGAGCAGGTACTATTTGGGTAGTGGATCATTCTCAGCATAGTGGATCATTCTCAGCATTAGTGTGTGTTGTGCTGGTCTGAGTGGATCAGACACAGCAGTGCTGGTGGAGTTTTTAAACACCTTGGTGTCACTGCTGGACTGAGAATAGTCCACCAACCAAAAATATCCAGCCAACATCGTCCTGTGGGCAGCGAGGATGACAAACACAAACTGTGCAGCAGTAGATGAGCTCTCGTCTCTGACTTCAAATCTTCAAGGTGGACTGACAAGGTAGGAGTGTCTAATAGAGTGGACAGTGGGTGGACACAGTGTTTAAAAACTCCAGCAGCACCACTGTGTCTGATTCACTCGTACTAGCACAACACACCGATACACAGATCAGGTCATAGTGTTATGCATGATCGGTGTGTATACACACACACACACACACACACACACACACACACTTATATAAAATTCTATATTATTCAAATCAGGGTGTGTTCAGTAGCTCAAATGGCCAATACATCTGCATGTATTTTACTCTGCTGTTACTATGAAACATGAGGGCCCTAACATGCACATGCCACAGATGTGACTGAGAAGTCTGAAGGCATGTGGCTACACCAAGCAGAATAGCTGAACCTAGAAAAGATCTTTCTCTAACTCTGACAAGAGTTCACGTACTGATTTAACCCAAACTGGCAACATGACATCCCTTCGCTTTTAAATGAGGCTGTTTGCACAAAAAAATCATGTTTATGAACATGCTCCTCTGTCTGCTTTCTTTGTGCTACTGAATTTGTTGTAGTCCCTGTTGGACAGATGACTGACAAGATAATTACAGCAATGGTCAGACTAAAATGATTCTCAGCGGCACTCAAAATGTAAACAGCATCTAAAAGAGTTAATTGAGTGGCCTTTTTTCCATGTCAGCTAGCTGGCCTGCGGGAGCTTCTTCCCGCAGGCCATTCAGGCCTTCAACCAGGACAACAACTGGGACTATTTATACAAACACACACATAACTGGACTACTGCACCCAAACACCCTACATACACAATACACATTGCTATATTTATAATATTCGACCCTTTTCAATTCTACTACCTCCTGCTCATTTACACACAACCGCACTTTACATTGCACATATCACTGTATTTTATCATATCCATATGTTTTTATATTTTATATTCTTTTTCCCCTTTTTTAATATTCTTATATTTTTGTATTGCAGTCATGTAACGGACAGTCATTTAAACATGTCACTGCACATTATACTGTGTATGACTGTGTGTGACCATTAAAGCGTTACTTGATTTGAATTCTTTCAACTGAATATCATCTTCCTCTCCAGCCTAACTGAACACAGCACGTTTAGCCACACTGCTGCGTCAACTTTTTAGGCAAGTTTAGTAATATGTACACTGTGCAAGTGCAAACTTCTGCACATGCTAGTTCAAGCTGAAATGAAATGGAAACCAAACAAACAAACAAACAAAAACATTAGGCTGAAGGCTTACTTTTTAAGGAGACGTCACTGATGTCAAGAAACTAACAAAAAAATCTGTAGCATCTGAAAACGTTTTATTATCCCAAAAAAATCAAGGGAAATAAGTATGTTTAGTGTTGGATGAGTAGCGGCGATTGCCTTTTCAGATGCGCTAATGAGCTAACAGAGCTAACCCGATGCTGATGAGGACTCACTGGCTGTGTTTACATGCAAAGATTCTTGCCAATCCGACTGAATACATTCCGATTCTAGATCAAGACTGCGGTGTTTATATGCTCACTCCATTAAACAATCTGATGAAAATCACTGTGTACATGCACACTACAAGTAAGCCGATCCAAAATTACATGCATGCGTAGAGAACCACTTAGTGTAGACGTTACCATGACAACGAGCATCACGTGAGTCCAGTCAGAGTGAGATGAGCAGCAGTGAGCAGTGCTTTTGTTGTTAATTACTTTAAAATGATGTCAGACTCAGGAAAACGTCCTTCACATGTCCTTATTAAAGAAGGCCGAGAGGGAGACGTCGTGTTCTGAGACACATAAGCTGGACGTCCGTCCCACCGCCGTCTTTTAAAGATCAGAGCATAAACTTCGTCTCCTCTGCCATGTTGAACAGTATAAACTTTCACTATGAGGCGACGAACATGATCAGAACGGACTTAAACTTTCCGACTGGGAATGTAATCAGATACAGGTGTTTACATGGATATTATTCTTCTATTTAACGGATTATTTACAGGATTACTCACCTCGTTCAATCTGATAGGAATTGTATAGTCTCAATCAGACTAGTCTTGTCCAATTGAGGTGTTTACATCGACGTATTGTATTCTGATTGAGCTATTAGTCAGATTATTAACAGATTATTAGGCTGCATGTAAACATGGCTACTCAATGGATGATGTGCCAACATGTTAGTTTGTTACAGGAATATTTCCATTGTTTCTGGACCTAGCTAACATCAGCTAGAGCAGTTAGCCTAGTTAGCGATAAACACCCCGTCATCTCTGCTTTCTCGATCGTGTCCTGAACAACGCAACCTTGGAAACATGTTCATGTTCAGACACTCAGCTTTTAGCAGTAAAGTATAAAATAATACACTTACTGACTTGCAAAAACAAGCAAACTGTCACATTTTACAGTCCTGGTAAAACATTAAATGTGCATTTCATTGGGTTGCTGGCTGTATATTTTCTCAGTCTCCCAAAATGAAATGTCTCAATTAAGAGAACAGAAATTTCTGTAATTGAACACTTGCATCTCACAGTTTACCAAGTACCTGAGTACCCGCACACATCCCTAATACAAACTGCTTTAACTTCGTGTGAAATTTTGGAATTATATGTAATACTTTTGGTCTTTTTGGTGAAATTACTGATGTATTAACCTGAAAGAAATTTATAAACAAAGTCACACTACATACGCTGCATCACTGGGTAGCACTGCAGAATCAATAAGAGAGAAAAAATCTGCTAAAAGTGTGATGTTCTTAAAAAAAGACAGGAACTCTACTTTTATACCAGTAAGAGTGTTTGGGCTAGACTACTAACGCTGAAGTCACTTTAAGAGTACATCTTAAAAAAGTATGCATAAAGAGCTGCTGCCTTGAGATCAGCACCTTAAGAAGGGTCTCCCGTCAAAATCATAATTTCAATACTTCTATAAATGCACATAAATACAATTTAAATTATAATTTGTGTAAAATAATTACTCCCATGAAAACATAGTACCAGATGGTTATTTAGAGAGCCTTGATCGGTTTAACATTGGTCTCTAGATTTCTCTCATTTCTGGGGGTCCTGTCTTTGACCTCACCTTGGCGATGATGACCTCCTTCTTTAGAATCTTCATTGCATAATAAGTTCCACTGGCCTTCTCCTTGACCAGAATCACCTTCCCGAATGTGCCTTTACCCAGGAGCTTCAGATAGTCAAAGTCATTCATTGTCTGAGGAAGAAACATTAAGAAAGGTCTAGAATTCTTAACCACAAGTGAACCAGGCAGTGAATGTGCTAAAGGGCCCATTTTCTACAAGTACATTCTACAGGTCCGCTTTTGGTGTTTGTGTGGGTTTATATATTAAACAGCCATAATTAATTTAAGACCGGAAACTGTTCTGAAACTTTAAAAGCAAGGTTTAAAATATTGAAGTGAGGAAATTTTCATTACATTAGTGTTTAAAGAACAGCAACAATGAGCGCTGGTCCTCTGGGGAGACTGTGGGTGTTTGGCTACCTTTCGTTTATGGTGGCTGATAGACGTGTCCATCTCCTCTTCATTGACAATCTCGATCTGGGAAGTCGGGCTACACAGGATTCCTTCCTCTTCCTGTTTGGCTAGCTTGTCCGCCACCATCTGGATCGCCTCCACCCATTCGTCCCTGTCGCCATGGCAACAGACGCACAGTCAAGACCTCCAAATCAAACGCTCCCAATGTAGACGATACATAACACCCGGCATGTGTGAAGTGCTTCTAAAAGGACTGTGAAGCATCAGTCTTCGTTCTACACGGAATCGCCCAAGATCAGAATTTGCAGATTTTTCCTTGAAACACAAAAGTGTCAACTGGCCAGTTTATTGTTTTTATTTTGCAATTTTATGGTGAAAATAAGCTGAGTCAGGTAAGTGTGTTGTGCTGCTTCAACACTGCTGCCACTCAAATACCAAAATATTGTACAAATTTTATACATGACTCATGATAAATAGCCAGTTGCCTCTTACTTTCGAATGTAGCACTTTTTTGATTCATGTTACTTAAACAGGAAACCGATTTAAAACTGAAAACTTTTAAATGTCTATTTGGTCCATTAAAGTTCTTGTTATAATGTTGTTTATATGGTAAATCAGCCATCAGCCAACTGAGGGGCCTCAGGGGAGCATCTTTACCTTTACAGATACAAATATGGACTGTCCATTTTTGCCTTTTCACTGTTACATAACTGACAAGTTAATCAGAGCAAAGAAAATGTGGACACCCTTCTAAATTATTGAGTTCAGGTGCTTCAGTCACACCTATTGCTAACAGGTCACTATTCAGAGTTCCAAACTGCCTCTGGAAGCAACATCAACACAAAAACTGTGCGTCAGGAGCTTCTCAGTGATCAGTCGTCATGTGCTCACCTTTCCTCGGGTGTGTCCACATGGAAGGTGCGCTCGATCACAGTGGTCCACTGCAAACATCTGATGATGAAGGTGTTGGGCTTCGGCCTCTCGGTCTTCATCAACTGACACTCTGAGAGAGAGAGAGAGAGAGAGAGAGAGAGAGAGAGAGAAATGCAGAAAGGGAGGGGGGCATATTAAGATAAAGATAGTATTTGGAGTATCTGATGTTTACTGTGACTGAAATGTGAAGCATTTGTTGTTTGGACCGTCATTGTCCTGGACTGTAACGTGAAGTACTTATTTTCTGGACTGAAGCTGCCATCAGCCTGAACAGTAATATGGAGGGTTTGTTGCTTTAATCCTGTCACTATCCCGGACTGTACGCGTGACTCACGACTCGGTCAGAAAGCGAAGCAGTGTTTGAGTCAGCCTGCTCTGAGCCACATGGATCTGAACCAACAGAAAATTGATTGGACCTTATTATCACTGTGTTCCACTTGGCCCTCTAGAACACTGTACAAAGAACAAACACATAACCGGAGTCATCCATGATTACAGAACATTTTAAAAGAGTACTTCAGCTGTCTTCCCTGTACTTCCCTGACTCAAAACATACTCAAAATAGAAATTCCCCTTTTATGAGAGACAAATCTCTGGAGACCTGTATAAAGACATGACGCCGATCCAATACCAGTTATCTGCATTGGGCTGATATCAGCAGAAAATGCTGGATGGAATATCAGAGTGAAAAAATAACGAATGTGATTAAATCCTATAACAGATCTATCCTGAAACAGTCTCTCACTGTGTGATGTGATACTGTTAGCTGTGTAGTTCTTCCTGTGGGGTCAGTAGAATGACTGAGCATCACAGAATACTTTTCATCTTAAGAGGAAACATTTTACACCATTTTAAAGCAGGGAAGGCAGATTAATTGTTTTTACATCAAAATCACATTTTGAAAGAATGTAATTTTCAGATACTTAGTATAGCCAACATTACGCACAATGGTGTCTCAACAAATTTAAAGGGGAACTCCATCGATTATTCAAAATTTCAGCACCATTTAACCGTTAAGACCTAAACAAAATCATTCAGAGTGGTATGATGTGAAATGCTCGGTTCTGAGTTACTTGCCGAGTCAGAACTGTTGACATTGTGATGGGAACCAGATGGGTTTAGCATTTAATGTCTCTAAAAGTGACTTCATTACATGAAATGGTTATGAATACATTGTGTTTTGTCATTTTTAAAACTCCATTCATGATGGAGAGGAAAATGAAGGGTGTTGTGAGGCAAAATAGTTACAAAAGAAAGCTTATTCTTTTTAGATTAACCACAATCTTGGACAATGGATCAACAGAAGACATGTGTAGGTTCAATGGTGGTTTTGAATAGTAAATAAAATGGCTATATTTATGTTGTAGATACTATGACCCCTGGTTCCTATCACCACCACTGTAAAGAAATCTGAGTCTGGAAGTTTCTCTACAGTGAACCGTTTCACATCAAACCACTCTGAATGACTTTGTGCACATCCCAAAAATTGAATTATGCAGAAATGTAGAAAAATCTGTGTCGCTTCCCGTTAGCCATGAACATTAACCTAATAACACAGTTTGTGAACTGCCTGCAGACGAGTTAGACCAATCAGAAGCAACCAAACACCCATGTACTGTGTACATGACAACACAACCACAGCTAACTGGTAGTTCAGTGTTCAAGCCTCAGGCGAGGAAAAGTGGATGTGCTGGACTTCTTGGCCAAAATAAAGGCCTGTGGTCACTTGTAAAAGAACATCTTCAGTGAAGCTTGGCATTACATTTTCCCTTTATAGTGAGTTGTTTTAATCTTTTCAGGGAAATATATTAAATGGAAAGTTAAGAAAGTTTGTAATGGTAAATTGTAAATTAGATATTTTCCATAAACTGTTCAGCCTTATTTAAAAGCAGACAGTTCTGCTTCTAAAATCTAATGTGTTTTCAAAGCCACTGTAAAATACTCAATATGCTCTGTATTACTTTTTTTCTGTATTAATAAATTTGTTATAAAATTTTTTTAAACTATAATATGACAAGCTATACAGGCAAAACTGCTCATTTCCATTGTGTTAGGCTTTGAATGATTCACTGTAAAACCATAACACAAAAAGCTGGGAATAGGTTACTCGACTGTTTGACACGCTTGTCTATGTTTTTGGTTAGATCTACTTGAGGAAGTACTTGACCGAGTGCGGCAAATCAAACGTGTAGCACCAGTATCTTGATGGTATCACCAAACAGGAAATCACACTGAGAAGCTAACAGAAATTCTGAGGAAATCTGATGAGCAAAAACTACTTATAAAAGATGAGTGTTTCTGCATTTAACTCTGCTGTATTGTAATATTTTCAGTGTTATAATGACAAAAAAAAATTAAATAAGGCTGCAGCATACAATGATAAGCAACTGAAACGTCTTGCTTCAGCAGTCCATGGTTGCTTGGCAACAATAGCATACTGTAAATAAACTTCGGCTGTTTCGGCTACATTAGACATTATTGTGAGGCAGGAAGGCACCCAGTCACGCCTGAATCGAATGTTTGCATAAAAGTCTGCCTGCTAAGGTTCCTCCAATCAGCCGTTTTCTGAAGGCAGTGTAGATGTATCCTTCACTGCCTACATATCCCATAATCCTGTGTGTCGGCATCGATAAGGTTAGGAGAAAAATGCTAGTTCGTACTAATCTTACCTAAACAGCTAGTCTGTTCTTTTAGTGCTTTATTTTATTTTGTCATTTTAGAACAGTGTCTGGGATGTACTGGAATACAAGTATTGGGAATATATTAAGAATACAGATACTAATACTAAGAATACTTTTAGAACATATACTCACTTAAAAAAAAATACACATTATATATATATATATATATATATATATATATATATATATATATACACACACACACACACACACACATATATATATGTAAAACCAGAGGATACCAGAGGACACCTGCATCTGAGTTAGGTAAATAAAATGAGCTTGTTTTTTATACTCAACTTCCCCACTAGCCAGGACTCTTTTTTCGGTACGCACTTACGGACGGCTGTGGCATCGCTGGGGCTCAAACTCACAACCTTCCGTTGGGGTGACAGCTTAGTCCACTGCACCACTCAGGAACACATGAAACATGTCAGATTTTGTGTCTACAAATGTTTAATACACTGGAGAAAATATTTGCTGTTTTAGCTTTAAAGCATGATATCATCTCATGTGGTGTAACTGTCTAATGATTCATCCCAACATCAGGAGACTGTGAGTTTGAATCCCAGCAATACCACGGCTGTCCATATCTGCAAGCCCAAGAGGAAGATATGCCAGATGGGACTGTGTGACATAAGGAGCGCCATCTAGTGGGTGCTGGGAGAACTTGTGACTCAACTAAGACGTTTGAGTTGTGTGAACTCTGGTGTCCTCAAGTTAAGTTACTGGGATGTGGCAAATTGTTTGTTTAGTTCATGAGACGGCAGTGGTGTTATGGGAGCAGCACTGAACCAAAGTAGGTGATGAACGCCAAAATAACGTCGAGCATTTTAATAAGTGAATTATTCATAAAACATATGAAGAAAAGAATTACACAAAAAATACCACTAGAAACAGCAAGGAACCGTGTGAATTAAATAAAAATGACAACAGTAGAGTTTTCCCTATGTGCCTTATCAATATGTATTTTAATTGTGTTCTGCATATATGACTCTTTTATGTTATGTAGCTGAATACACAACTGAACACATTTAGGATAGTTCATCCAGTACTCCTAATAAAACGTAACTTAAGCTAAGGTATGCTAACGCTTAAATAACCCAGAAATACTGGTGTTTTTTGAGCTTTAGAGCTTATTTTTTTGAGATGAATGTAAAACATTACATTTGGCCATAAAAAGTAAATTCTGCTAACCTTCTTGAAGGATATTTTTTCTGGGTAAAAGATGCTAACAGTATCTCGGCAACGTTGTGACATATCGCTGCCTTTGAAACGCGTCTCGGCTGCAGGTACCTTTATTTGTTAAATAAATTACTCATTGAAAATGAGTTTATGTTATTATATTTATATCCTCGCTGTTTGTGTCAATTACAGTTATTTTACTATGAGTAAGAGTGTTTTAAGAACACCCATTACCTATCATAAAATCACAGTAAATCCGTGCCTCTCATAGCTTACTGGTTTATTTGAATGCTTATTCATTTTATAGAAAGAATTCTCCGTATCAGAAAAGAAAAACTGGTACCATGTAATCTCTGAATATAAGCCAGTGGGCTGACGCTTCACACACGCCAACGACACAAAGATAAATCACCTAACTACTAAACTGTGCTAGTCCAGCGCAATGAAACAATGTTAAACCTTCTAGGCTTTCACTTCTTAAAGTTCATATAAACATAAATTCAATCTAAATCAATCTAATTTATTTACAAACGTTGTGTATTCAAATATCAGAAATGGTTAATATTGTCCATTATTACTCCATAATGCTATATAAATCAGCTCTTTTGTGTGACACCAATACCAAACGTAAATACAGTGGTGTGAAAAAGTGTTTGCCCCCTTCCTGATTTCTTATTCTTTTTCATGTTTGTCACACTTAAATCTTTCAGATCACCAAACAAATTTAAATATTAGACAAAGATAACACAAATAAACACAAAATGCACTTTATAAATGAAGGTCTTTATTATTAAGGGAAAAAGAAATCCAAACCTACAGGGCCCTGTGTGAAAAAGTGATTGCCCCCTTAACCTAATAACTAGTTGGGCCACCCTTAGCAGCAACAACTGCAATCAAGCGTTTGCGATAACTGGCAATGAGTCTTTTACAGCGCTGTGGAGGAATTCTGGCCCACTCATCTTTGCTGAATTGTTGAACCGCCTTTTTAAGGTCATGCCACAGCATCTCAATCGGATTCAGGTCAGGACTTTGACTAGGCCACTCCAAAGTCTTAATTTTGTTTGTCTTAAGCCATTCAGAGGTGGACTTGCTGGTGTGTTTTGGATCATTGTCCTGCTGCAGAACACAAGTGTGCTTCAGCTTGAGGTCATGAACAGATGGCCGGACATTCTCCTTCAGGATTTTTTGGTAGACAGCAGAATTCATAGTTCCATTTACCACAGCAAGTCTTCCAGGTCCTGAAGCAGCAAAACAGCGCCAGACCATCACACTGCCACCACCATAATTTACTGTTGGTATGATGTTCCTTTTCTGAAATGCTGTGCTACTTCTACGCCAGATGTAATGGGACATACACCTTCCAAAAAATTCAACTTTTATCTCGTCAGTCCACAGAGTATTCTCCCAAAAGTCTTGGGGATCATCAAGATGGTTTCTGGCAAAACTAAGACGGGCCTTTATGTTCTTTTTGCTCAGCAGTGGTTTTCGTCTTGGGGGTCTGCCATGCCGGCCATTTTTGTCCAGTCTCTTTCTTACGGTGGAGTCATGAACACTGACCTTAACTGAGGCAAGTAAGGCCTGCAGTTCTTTAGATGTTGTTGTGGGGTGTTTTGTGACCTCTTAGATGAGTCGTCGCTGCGCTCTTGTGGTAATTTTGGTCGGCCGGCCACTCCTGGGAAGGTTCACCACTGTTCCATGTTCCCCAAGACTGTTCTGCATTTGTGGATAAAGGCTCTCACTGTGGTTCGCTGGAGTCCCAAAGCTTTAGAAATGGCTTTATAACTTTTTCCAGACTGATAGATCTCAATTACTTTGTTTTTCATTTGTTCCTGAATTTCTTTGGATCGCAACATGATGTCTAGCTTTTGAGGATCTTTTGGTTCATTTCACTTTTGTCAGGCAGGTCCTATTTAAGTGATTTCTTGATTGAGAACAGGTGTGGCAGTAATCAGGCCTGGGTGTGGCTAGGGAAATTGAACTCAGCTTTCCAAAGATGTGATAAACCACAGTTAATTTATGTTTTAATGGGGGGCAATCACTTTTTCACACAGGGCCCTGTAGGTTTGGATTTCTTTTTCCCTTAATAATAAAGATCTTCATTTATAAAGTGCATTTTGTGTTTATTTGTGTTATCTTTGTCTAATATTTAAATTTGTTTGGTGATCTGAAACATTTAAGTGTGACAAACATGCAAAAGAATAAGAAATCAGGAAGGGGCAAACACTTTTTCACACCACTGTATACTGGCATAGACCCGTGTTTCCCAACCTGGTCCTCGGGACCACCAAGACAGTCTACATTTTTGATCCAACCTAACTCACAACACACAGGGGTGAAGAACAAATGTGGCTCATCTGAGAGGCCCTGAGGACTGGGCTGGAAAACACTAGTATACACAACTGGCCAGCCCTACACCAAGCTCTAGATTAGGGGCGTCAAAATCAACCACTAAAAGGGCCATATTAAAAAGTCTCATCAAATCTGTGGGCCAGAGAAAACTTTTTTTTTTTATTTCTTTTTTAAAAAATGTTGTGCTATAACCCAAACTGGCCACTATTTATTCAAAATATGCAAAAACTTCAACAGTAAAATACAGACACTTGTAGTAGACCTTGAAATATTACATGGACACTTAAAATATTCATAATCTAAATGTCCCCAGGTGCTCAGTCTTTTAAACCTACCTATTTGCTTGAACTAAACACCTGGGATCCTTTTTTTGCTGCAAATTCATTAAGCCTTGGGCTCAATTTCTGAGCTGCTGACTTAATGTTAAGCGTTTATATTGGCTGAACTGCAGCTGAAATGCATTTTGGTGATACGACTGGTGTGGAATTGCACAGAATTGAGTAGAATTGAGGTCTAACCACTGTCCCATAGACTGCTGTTGAAGTAGGAGAGTCAGAGCGTACATTACGTTGCAGTGTACGCTGGTGACTGTAGTGCAGCACATTGTGAATCGGGCTAATACTAATAGAAAACTACAATACTTTTGCAGGCTGGAAAGGATTATGTGGGGGCCTTGTTGGACACATGGGCTCTACACAGTCTTATCAAACAACATTTCAACCTACTATCTATCTGCTGAATCTGCAGTGACGTGATCGATTACCATGGACAACAACTACGACATGATTCCCAGTAATCAGAAAGAAACAGAAAATCTACTAATTCGAAACATATTTATAATAGAAGCCAATGGGCTGCTTCACCTGACTATTGATGTCCATTCTAAATGTGTTTTAAGCCTATGGGATTCTTATCGTATTCAAATTAGAGGGAAATTACTATACGTGATTGTCAATATGGATGTGCATTCTGACTAATTTCGATACTTGAGTATCCGTGAGCTCATGAATGGATATCCAGTTAAGCACAGCGGGAAAACAATAGTTAAAAATAATGCAGGGTTTGTCGGTTAATCAAGTACTGGAGCACACATTAACTGCACACTACAGATGCAGCAGATCGATTTTAGGCTGAAAAACACTGAAGGATTCCTGTAAGAACCAATGCTACAAACAGGAAGAATGTGATGGAGAGATGGTGAAAAGCAGAAAGCTGATAAGAAATACAGAGAAGAAGTGATGCTCACTGGCCACAGAGAAGTTATTGAGGGGGTAGGCGAAGTCCGCATCCTGAGGCTTTTCTTTGTAGCCGATGAAGGAGCCATCAGTCTTTAAGAGGAAGTAGCGTGGCCTCCAGTTCTTTATGTACTCTCCTGGAGGGCAGAGGAACAGAGGCATGATCAGACATGATCACATACAAACATACAGGCTGTACTCTTTCTTTATATATTTTCCAGGAGGAGACAGTCATGCACAAACAAACATACTAGGGGTGAGCAATGTGTCAGTAGGTTAATGTTAAGGCTGCAATGATTTCAACAGAGATGTGATATCACTTTTTCTTTTCTGATACCGATATTGATATTATTAATACCAGCTGACATCTACACTGAACTGATATTTTCTTCTTTAAAAACTACTAATCTTTAAAATGAGCTATTTTTAATTGAAGCACTTGACTTAAGATGAGTATCTAAAAGTAGTCTATCACACTCAAGCTACTCATTTACTTGACTGACCCCACTTGGAAAAACTACACAGCTAAGAGCATCACATTACACAGCGTGAGTTGTGTGAGTGAGCGCTGTTTCAGGATAGATTTGTTACAGGATGTAATCCCAATACCCATCAATACCCAATATACTATCTCTGGTATTTAAAAAAAATAAATAAACAATTTAAAACAGTGTATTGAACATAGCTCATGTGCCTGGTCATATTAAAGGGGCATTCCAGTCAAAAACTAGCGTTAAATATGCTATTTGTTTGGTTACTAATTACTCTGTAACATTATATCCCTCAGCCTAGAGCTGGGCGATATGGCCAAAAATGTTACCACGATAAACAAAATTCATATCGTTTGATATCGATACATACCGCGATAAATGTCAAATCATTATTTCTTTCAAGTTTGAAGGCTGATTTGTGCTCCTGGGTGGTTAATTGCTGTTTTAAACTATACTTTATGGTCTGAGCACGATGAACACTCACCAAACAGTGGAACATTTCACAAATCTGTCATGGGAGAGTGGGAGAAAGTGTCTGCTGAGCTGTTTTTATCAGCTGGAAAAGCATGGCTATTTAGTAATAGTCATAATTTAAGAAAGAAAACGATGAGCGTTCGGCTACCCCGTTACGCATGACATCACAGTATTCAGACACCAGCTGGCGACGACTGGATTTCTCTATACTATCGTAGTAGTTTAAGGGGTAAACCGCAAAATATCAACACCAGACAAACAGAGTCCTCCTTTTAGGTATGTTTAAACTGAAAGCGGTGCTTTTGTGTCGTGTTTGATCTACAGTATCATCAATTCTCTGTGTTGTGGAGTGACGGAGCGCTGCTTCAAGTTAGCCAGCTGCTAAAAACAGCTAGCCTGGAAAGCTAACCTAGCGCTCTCCCGCTCTCCAATGCCTCACAGCTTCCTCAGTTTACTTTTGTATAAATCAGGGCTGTAATTTACATGAACTCACTTCTTTCTTTCACTTTCGTTGCTTGTGAATGCACTCATACTTAAATATGACTGTCCGAGCGCTGTAACAGCGCTGTAGTTGTGAGGATTGTGATTTAACGCTGCTAAAGCTGGTTAGGATGTTAGGAAAGAGGTGAGTTCACTGTAGGACAGTATAGTTCGTCACTCAGACTCGGTCACAGGAGAGCAGATCGCCGGTCGCTCCGCTCAGACAGGGAATGTGTAACTCCGCGTTTCAGCTGTTGCTAACGACTCATCTTTCTCGTGGCCCCCTCCCTCTCTAATCATGTCGAAAAACTCTCCTGCGCCCTCTCCTGGCGACAGCAGAGTAGTGTCGCTTTCCTTGCAGTAGAAAACGCCACCAAGGCTTTCGCTGAACGTGGAAGTATGAGAATGGTGTATTATATCGAACATTTATTGAACGACGTATCACTCTATCAAGGAAAAGTTTTATCGTTATCGTTTTATCGCCCAGCCCTACCTCAGCCTCATTGATTTGAACTCGCAATTTTATATGATCATGTGTTTTTTCATCAATGTTCTCTCACTACGATACCACACCAATACCAATCCTGGCTGCTAGCCACTGATCTCTAGGCTAGTAAATACAGCCAATCAAGCATTACTGTAACTCTTACCTGGATGTCAAACAAAACTGTTAAGAAAACTGCGGTTCTCTCTTTATCCGGCAGAAAAAATGGACACCAGAAACAAGATTATTACTCTTTCAGCCAGAGAAAAAAAGCTAAACTGAGGAAATGTACCGAGATAGCCAGGAATCTACCTTTAGCTTGTAGTCTCCCTTATCTGATGAGTCATTTCTGTGGTTTGAGAAATCCATTCTCTCTACTGTGGTAACGATTTGAAGACAGTTACTACAGTTCCTGGCAGCTGCTATGAGATACTGGGCTGTCTAGCAAAAGTGTTAGCTTCCGCACGCACCAGCTAATGTTAAAAAAAAAGAAGAATCAAAACAGCCAGCCCTCCAAAAATACACCCCAAAGCAGTTCCTACCACCTTCAAGATACATCATCAGAATTCATCACACCATTACAAAGACAAAATTCTTGTCTGCCATCAAAATGTAGTGCCTTTTTCCCACCTCTGAAACATCTTTTTTTTGGTAATGCTATCATGTACCAGAGAGCTGGGAAAATAATTTTAATTAATAATTTCACTTCTCCCTCCCACCTCTAACGACTAGAAAACGCTATAGAGTACAAAAGATACCGAGTTTCACTCACAAATACATCCTGGTACAAAGGTAAAAGGATTGTTTTCTCGTTCACACTGACTTTAAAAATGCAGATATCCGAATAGCAAAATAGCTCCATCTGTAATTCCATTTCTAATCCTCTAAAACATAAAATCAATATTATTGTATGGCACAAATACCAATACACTAACACAGATGGACATACGGCCAAGCACTACACCCAGTTCTAGATAGCTGCATATTAAAGGAAGACTCTAGCATTCTTGTGAACCTGATCTCTATCTGCTGCATGTGTACCATGGGGTCGGTTACCAAAGAGGTTACTGTTGACGTGTTTTCCCAACTTCAACAGAACAGAAAAAAACCTAAAACCAATGAGCAACAGTGGGGGAACAATTCACAAAATGTATAATTCGATTCCTCGAGAGACACTGGTGTCTCTATACATCTCTCAAACCAATAAATATGAGTAATGCCTGAAAACATGCCTCATGTTAATATGTTAATGTGTCCATTTTAGTCCACAGAATCATTCAATATGATAAAAATACAACATTTGAGACCGTAGAATGACACCCGATCCATTCAGACTGTTTTTCATCAGCACAGAAACCTTAAAAATACAAACTGCACTGTATAAAGCCCCAATTTAACAAACTGTCACAAGCTAATGTGTTAGCCTGAAGCGCAGATGGCGTATCGGGTATTGATGGGTATCTGTATTGGCCTGATACTGATGGGATATTGTAGGAAATAAATAATGTGATCCAATCCTGTAACAAACCATCTTGAAACAGCACTCGCTCTCACTGTGTGATGTTGTTAGCTGTGTAGTTCTTCCTGTAGGGTTAGTAGCGTGAATGAGTAGTTTCAGCATTATAGAGTACTTGCAGATCTTATGTGAAGTACTTCAATTTGAAGGCTTGGTCGTTTTTTAAAGAAGAAAATACAGGATCAGCATTAGCCAACACTCAGTTTTGATCCATCTCTATCCTGAGCTAATGCACTAACACTAACATTGGCTCATACCCAAAGTTTTGAGCCATTTCTAGCCTAAGCTAATGCGCTAGCAAGGAGCAAACACGCTAACCACAAACAAATAAGGCTTTGCTCACACAGCAGGTAAAAGTGACACAAATCCAATCTCTTCTTCATATGTGACACAGATGAACAGCAGAAAACACACTGAATCTGACATTTTCAATTCCGATTTGAGATGCTTTCATATGTGGTACTGAAATCCGATCCGTATCCGATCTGCGGCAATGCGACTCAGCCTGAACAGACGGATCGGAATTCATGCGACTTTTATGTCAGTCCAGCTCGACATTCGTCATAATTTCGCGCTGCTGAGACTCATAAACATTTAGGCTGATGTTTCTGTACCACAAAATTAGGAGGCACTTATCACAACCGATGCGTGTTTGAAGAGATTTTGAAAGGAACAGCCAAAGACCGAGGCTGTAGTGTCAAAGAACAATTAAAAGTCTGAAAGCAAAGTTTAACGAATCGAGGACATGAACGAAAGAAGTGACCGAGCCCTTTTCACAGCAAGCGCGAACACATTCTGGGTGATGAGCCCCGCTGACAGTCAATGAAGCTTCATGATGGCTCCTGTGATGCTGGCGAAGGTGAAGCTGAACCCTCCGGGGGCTCCGGGATTGGCGTTGGTTCATAGTCATGATTGTTTACCTCTGGATGAGCCACGTGAAGCAACGTGAAACATTGTTCTTTTGTGCATGCAGGTCGGTTTGGGAGCTGGTCGTTCAGACTGATGTCGCATACAGGTCAGATTTAAAAGATAATGTGAACAGCCAAACAAAAAAAAATTGGATTTGGTGAGAAAATCAGATTTGGGGCAACTTTTACCTGCTGTGTGAATGTAACCTATGTTAGTTCAAGCTAATGCATCAGCCAAGAGCAAAAATGCTAGCCATAATACGCTATATTACTATATATTACTGTACGATACAATAGGATACAGTTTGATTCAATACGATGTGATAATATGATAGTACACAACAAAATATGATGCAATACCATATGATGCAATACCATGTGATACAATATAATTCAACACAATTCAAAGCCAAACAATTCAATTTAATATTATACAGTATAATAAAATGCGAAACAATATAATATACTGTGTCCTAAGTAGATGTAAATAATTGCTGATCATCTGTAGCTGAAGATGTAGCAGATAAAGGTCAGGTTGAAAAGCATGACAGTATTCCTTTACCAAGCCTCTGTTTAATTCAAATCTTTCTCTCACCTCTCTTCTGCACCCATCCTTCCTTCACCACGTTCTGGTCATTCATGTTGACTCTGAGTTCCAAGGGTCAGAACTCAAGGGTCAGGGGGTGAGCCCAGCACTCGTCCTCTTGCTGCGGGGTCACTCGTCCTGACCCTGCCACTCTTTTTTCTCTCTCTGTTTCTCCTTCTCTTCTGCTCTCTAATGATGCGTTACTGCTTCCTCAGCCTCCTTCTCCACCTCCCTCTCTCTCTCTCTCTCTTTCTCTCGCGACCCTTCAGACACTTCAGCGGTGACTCAGCCTGGAAGGAAGCAACAAAAGAAAGAAAGAAAAAAATGAGCACATACATACACACACACACACTGATCACTCTCCACTTGCATTTCTGTCGCTCACACACACACACACACACACACACACACACACACACACTTTGCATGAGAAATTAAGTCATTGTTAAAACCCGGAGCGGGTTTCCCGCCCCTCCCCATTCTTCCTCTCTCTCGCTCGCTCTCTCTCTCTCTGGGAGCCAGTGGACTTTAGGCTGAACAAATACAGTAGTATATTCACCTGATCATCTTTTAAGTTGTTTTCACCCGTTGGGTGTGTAAATAAAATGAGGAAAATGAAGAAAAATGCATTTATTGAGACAAGTCATGAGTTTGGTGGTGTTATAACTCCTTTAGAGGGCAGCAGTGAGTAATGTTTGTTTATTTGATGTTTGTTAGTAAGGCCTTTAGAGGGCAGCAGTGAGTAATGTTTGTTTATTTGATGTTTGTTAGTAAGGCCTTTAGAGGGCAGCAGTGAGTAACGTTTATTTATTCGATGTTCGTTTGTAAGGCCTTTAGAGGGCAGCAGTGAGTAACGTTTATTTATTCGATGTTCGTTTGTAAGGCCTTTAGAGGGCAGTGGTGAGTAACGTTTGTTTATTTGATGTTTGTTAATAACGTTTTCAGGTAGCAGCGTTGAGTACTGTTTATCTGAGTTCGAGTTGCGTCTGTTGTCAGTTGTGATCCAGTGAGTACTTACAGCTAGGAAGCAAGACAGCTAATAGGGCCACAATTTAGCCACTTCAGACTTAAACAATGATAGTTACATACAAAAAAATTTAATTATTAATTGCAAGTATTTATATAAGTACACTGGCAGATGTTTTATACATATATATGTGTATATGTGTGTGTGTGTTTATACATATATATATAAATATATATATATATATATATATATATATATATATATAGACACATAGACATATATTACATATGTATCTCTCTCTCTCTTTCTCTTATATATATATATATACATTTTTTCTGCAGTCAAAACAGTGGGATCTGCATTTGAATTCATCACAGTCCCTGTAACATCATATCACTACTTTTTTGTGTAATCTGAACAATGTATCTTCACTTAACTTGGGTTGTCGTGCTGTCGGAACGACAGGAAGCCTTGTTCTGACACACTGTGCTGCCTTGTTGAAATGTCCAACCACAGGGCACAAATATAAGCAGCTCCCTACATAAAACTGTAGGTTGATAGCCTAAAACACACAAAGCTGAAGTCAGCTTCCTATTCGCCTATTAATTTCCTATTACTTTTCCTGTTCCTCCTTAAATGGTGCAGCAGTTATTATTACGAAGCCTTAGGAGCCACAGTGTAACTACTGAATGTGACTACTTTGTCACAAAAAAGGCAAATGAATGTAATTGTATGTCCATCAGGACCAGTCTGGGAATTTAAACAGTGACATTATGTAACCATTTTACCTCACAATAACAGATTCAAAATCATTTTCATGGTACACTGACTTACAGTAGGGAGAATGGTGTCTCTGTCATCGCCACTGCGGGCCAGAATGCCTGCTAGAGCGCTATGTAACTTTGGAGGAGCGGGCACAAAACCTCTCGCGAGAACTGCGTAACGCTTTACGGCACCAAGTCGCACAACAACTCAGTTAGCTATTAGAAGCTAGCTCAGTATTCCCAGCATGGACATCACGGCAGAGGCTGTGAAGAGAATAAAGATGTTACTGGAGGAAGTGAGGAGAAAAAAAGAGAGCGAGACCGAGCAAAAGACCAGACAAAGGTAAATCTCAGATTGGCTTTTACTCGTTGGCAAGAGCTAAAAGACATAAAATGACTCAAGACATTTAATTTATACATTTTTTCAACTCAATTGCATTATCATGACATCCCTAACTGCAACTGCAGTACTTACAACATATGACAGACACACTGGCAAACCAATAGTGTCACAAGGACAAAGACTGGAACTGTGTTGACCAAAATAATTAACTTCTGTTGGATAAGATGAACACCTCACTTCATCATAGCACCCTGGAGACGTTCATCTGGAATAGTGGTTGGTCAGGATGCTCCCAGCACACTGTGACTGGTTAAAGAGCTCATTTACAATACAATTAAATATCTTCCAATATTTGATAACATTAACAATGTTAATGAGCCACTTCTTCCTGGGTCCTGCTAGTCTATGCTAAGCTAATATCTTACAAACCTGACACAGCTTGCTTTGATTAGTTTTCTTCTCTTAAAATAACCCCAAAGGGAACTTAATGCAATGTATTTCTACCGGTGTGGCTAATCTTTGAAACATTATCATGAATATAACACACGACCTCGAGTGTTTTATTGCTTTTATACAACAGTTAAATAAATAAAGTAAGAAATAAATAAACCGGGCAGTGGCATTTAATATGTTTTAATGTTCGCAGTTCCTTCAGCCAAATTATAGTTCCTTATCGAGCAGCTTGTTGCTACGTCAGAGTAACGAACTCCGCTCACTCGCTGCACAGTCTGCTGTAAACCTCGCCTTTTGAAGCACAGACTGAGCCATGAAACTGCCGCAATATCAGGTTTAGCTCAGTCTTGTCATTTTTTGCCAGATCAGTATTAATGTTGTTTTGTTCCAGCCAGTCTGTAAAGCATCTTACAGCCCATTTTGTTTGGCGAATGGTATTGGGTTCATTTCTGGCTGATTCCAGGTCGTTTGGCTGTTCTTCTGTCACAGCTGCCGACTGAAAAGCTGCTCAGTGGTGATGACAGTTTGGGAATTTAGTGTCGTCTCATCTTCAGAGTCTGACCAAATCGGTTGTCGGTCAAATGTGATCTTAAAAGTATCCATTTTCTGTTTGTGGCAAAGTAAGAAGTAAAAACGTTCAAATGGCTTGAGCGTCTCCTACAGCTGTCTCAGCGGAGTGATACAGTGTTTGTGAAAAACCCGTGATGTTATGGCGAAATATCAGCACGGTTAGAGCGCTTCTCAACCAATCAGCTTGCATGGCCGGAACTAACTGTTGTATAATGCTCATTTTCTGTCAATACTAACAAAACTACATATCAACGGACAACATACTGTCCAGCACTACTGTATTTTTTTTTGCAACCTCAGTACTGCAAATGAGATACTGCTCAGGCCAGCCGGAGAACAGTCTGGGCCTATACTTGCTGCCAGTGGTTTGACACACATTGTAGAACATTGAGCAGTCTAGAATGTGTTCTAGGTCAGTGTTCTGGCACTTTTCACCAGCAGACTTGCCATTAGGGGTTACTCTGATATTGGAATCGTATTCTTATCAGCAGATAACTAATTTAAAATGATCAGCATCAGACGGATGTTTAGGTTTGACTGATAGTCATATGTGATGGCGTATTTACTGTACCCTGGCAGAGCAGAATGTTTAGGTGACGCAATGCTAATAATGCTAAAATGTCTGCATCTGTAACCGCACGCTTAAAAATGATGGTTCTTCCAGTATTCTTCAGTAGAGAAAAGAATGAATGAAGACGCAAAGAACCCTTTGCATGATTAAAGGGTTCACTGCATGGTGAAATGGTTCGTCAGCTCGATGGAGAATGTGCTGTAGATGGCGAGCTTGTAGCAACAGAAGAACCATTTTGGGTTCTTCTATTGTTACAAGCTTGACATTGTAACAGCGGAAGAACGCTTTTTGGTGCTACATAGAACTATTTTCAAAAATCTACAGCACATTCTGAAAAACCCTTCCACCGTGCAAAGAAGCCCTTAATCATGTAAAGAGTTATTTGAGTGTTTATGGTTCTATGTAGAACCATTTTCTTTACTAAAGAACCCTTGAAGAGCCATCATTGTTAAGAGTGTACACAGAAATAAAATAATATTTCTCAGTAATTCAGGTAGATTTAAAAAAATGTATTGGCATCGGCAGATACAGACATGAAAAATATCACATATCAGCATCGGCCCACAGTTTCCATCTCGGTACATCCCTACTTACGATGCCCGTTTGACTCAACACTTAAATGTACATAAGCTCAGGACTGTAACCTTTGTTTGGGAATGTAATCAACCCAAGGGAGTTTCTACAACCACAATAACTAAAGCTATCTGTTTAGCTCCTTCAAGTCTAAACAGCAGGAATCACATTTAACAAGGGCCCATAATCTAAAAACTGTTCTCTTACATTCAAGTACATGGATATCACCCTTGATGAGGTAAACATGGGCCAAGCCTTTCTGATTTTGGTTATTCATAGCGTTGTTCATTCTACTTTTGCAAATTCTGTAAACGCTAACAGTTTTTCTCTAATAAATATACATTTTGCACAGTCCTTTTTTGCTCCCTAATTCATGCAAGCATATTTGGGTCTAATAATGTTAATAATAATCTATAATCTATATTATATATACACTATATATTCAAAGGACATCCAGCCATTTCAGCAAATTACACTTTGATGCAGTTTCAAAGACCTGAAATCAACCCAAAATCTCTACCAAAGAAGGACAAACAAACCGATCCTCAGCACCTCGGTCATGTAAACACAGTGCTTGATCCCTATTCATGTACATCAACGTATGCTGACGCGATGCCAACGCTATAGCAGGAGTGTGAAAAGGAACAAAAGCCGGCCTAATGCCCCCAAAAACACAAGGAGCTTCTTTTCATGGGTTTGCCAATGTCTAGACAACAATCAGTTCCTGGCTTCTCCTCATTTCATGCAAATCAGTGTCTGTATCTCCACATCCATCCTCCATGTTTACCAGCCAGCTCCATCCACAAACACAGAAACCAAAACAGGCATGAACTGTGAGGCTGATGACAACCTTACAGGGAAAAGAAAATAGCTACCATTCAGATTGATGGTATTCCAAGGTAACGCTAGATAGCTTGGTAGATACCATGAAAAACACAGCTGCTGGGTAAGATGTGTTGATGCCTGAGCACAGAAAGGCAAAGGATGGAAGCAAACAGATTCGCAGCCAAAAAAAGATGAGGCTTTAACGTTTAGCTGTCCTGTTCAGCAGCCCAGGCCACAGTGTGCAGCATCATGAATACAACATGAACAACACAACACCAAAAACACAGTTAGCAGGCTAGCAGGAAATAAAAAAGAAAACACAACATACACGTTCATTGGCTTATTTTCCTGCTGAATCTCTGAAGGAGCGCCAAAAAACCCGCAGTCAGTCAGAATGAAGACGGGTTTATTAAGGAAACCGAGCAAATGTCAACAAAAAAGCAGCCCTGGGCTTGAGGAGCAGGAGCAGGAGCAGGAGCAGCAGGAGGAGGAGGAGGAGGAGGCTAGTGGCATTCCCGAGCTAGCGTTAGCTCCCCGTCTCCCACGCTGCGTATCCTATTTCCACCCGAGGAGAGGAGGACAAAAACCCAGAAAGACGGATGTGCCATTGACTTAAAGATGTAAAGGAGGTGATAGAGAGAGGCGAGGAGGTGCAGTGAAGGAACTACCCGAACTGCAACGGAGCTTTTTTTCCGCTCCAAGGGCGTGTGGTGTCATTTAGGCTCTGGTTATATAACAGCAGCAGCAGCAGCAGCAGCACCGCCGCCGCCGCCACCGCAACATCCTAAAAAGGAGACTGAGATTGACGGGGCTAGCCGGTCACGTTATTTAGGCTGGAAAAAATGAACAAAACCTCACAGGGGTGGTCGTTCTCGAGTACGTTTGGGACGTGAAAGGCCACGGCGTAGAAGCCTGGGTGTCGAAAGAGACGAAGACGGAGGAAAAACGGGGTTAAAAACAATGAGATTCGTGCGAGATGTGGCGTTTTTCCCCCCTCTTCCCCTCGCTCGTAGCTGATTACAATCAAAATGGAGGACCGAGAATCGCTGTCAGGAGTCAAGACGAGCTTGTTTTGGTGCAAATAAACAACAAGCGACAGCTAAAAGAGAGGGAGAGGATGGTTAAACGTGTCTGGTTTGGGAGGGGATACCGTGCTAACCTGAGCGCGTCGAGGCCTCACAGAAAACGGAGTGACGGTTTAACGGTTTGTTTTGAGGCCGAACGTTCGAAGCATCAGCGCGAGAGTGCGCGCGCGCGCGCGCACCCCGACTACACACATGCATACATACGTACATACATACATAGTCAAGAGCGCGAGAGAGCGCGCGCCAGCCAAGCCAAGTCAAGCTAACTCGCGCCACCACCCAGCCAACATCACCACCGCAGCTGACGAAGCTGAAGTCGGCTTCCTATTCGAACTCGCCCGGTCCACCTTAAATGGCGCAGCAGTCGCATGTACTGCGTGCAGCGGTTACATTAGGTTGCATGTAGCTGCTGCACCATTTAAGGTGGACCGGGTGAATTCGAATAGGAAGCCGACTTCAGCTTCGTACCGCATCCTCCATCTCTCGCGCACACACACACGCACACATTTGGGGCGCCTGCTATGTGCGTTAACTTACCTGTCAGGCCGAGCGAGCGCGAGACGACACGGTCTCTGCTGTAGGTAGGGTGGGACGGGTGCTCGCGCTCAGGGTGGTGTTGGGAGTAGTAGGATGTTGTTAGAGGGGGGTAAGCTCGCAGGGTTCCTCCCTCCCTCCCTCTCTCTCTCTCTCTCGCTCTCTCTCTCTCCCTCTCCCTTCAGCTCGAGCTCCTCTGCTCCGCTCGCGCGTCCACCATGCGGGGCTGCTGGCTCGAGCGGATGGGCTGCTGTTGTTTTCGCGCACGCAAGTGAAGAGAAGAAGACAGAGGAGCGCCAGCAGCGGCTCATGAGGAAGAGGAGCGGGTCGAGGCTAAGAAAGAAGACCCGCGCGTCGCTCGTGAAGCTGCCATGCTCGCTCGTTTCCCCCGGTGAACCGAATGACCCCCCAACCAGGCAGGCTCGAGCTGCTGCTGCTGCTGCAGGAGACGGAGGCGCTGGGTTGCCAGATTGCTCCAGATAATTGCTCCAAATTTTTTGATTCTACATCAAAAATCTTTCACTGATCATAACAGAGACCGCAGATCGCTTCAGTACAATATTCGAGTTAAATATTTTTTTTAAAAAAAGATTTTAAAAAAAAAATTACACGCCACGATTTTCACCCAGGAGATTGCTTTAATGCTACCCACCCAAAAACGTTTATGTGCATATATATATACATACATACATATATATATATATATATATATATATATATATATATATATATATATATGTTGGGATGCTGTGCAAGATGTAAATAAAAACAAAATGCAATGATGTGCAAATCATTTAATCCCTATATTTAATTGAAAATAATACAAACAAAGACAACATATCAAATGTTGAAACTGAGAAATATTATTGTTTTTTGAAAAATATATGCCCATTTTGAATTTGATGCCAACAACACTTTCCAAAAAAGTTGGGACGGGGGCCTGTTTACCACTGTGCTTCATCACCTCTTCTTTTAACAAACTCTGTAAGCGTTTGGGAACTGAGGAGACACTGCTGTAGTTTTGAATGCGAAATGTTATGCCATTCTTGTTTGATGTTGGATTTCAGCTGTTCATCAGTTCGGGGTCTCCTTTGTCGTATTTTTCATTTCATAATGTGCCAAATATTATCAGTGGTGACAGGTCTGGACGGCAGGCAGGTCAGTTTAGCACCCAGACTCTTTTAATATGGAGCAATGCTGTTGTAATACATGCAGAATGTGGTTTGACATTGTCTTGCTGAAATAATCAAGGCCTTCCCTGAAAAAGACGTCATGTAGATGGCAGCACATGTTGCCAAAACCTGTATATATCATTCAGCATTAATGGTGCCTTCACAGATGTGCACGACACTCATGACACGTACACTAATGCACCCCTATACCATCATGAATACTGTCTTTTGAAATGTGCACTGATAACAAGCTAAGTGGTCTTTAGCCCAGAGGACACAGTGTCCATGATTTCCAAAAGAAATTTCAAATTTTTATTTGTCGGACCGCAGGACACTTTTCCACTTCCATTTCACATCCATTTAAAAAGAGCTCCGGCCCAGAGAAGGTGGCAGCACTTCGGATCCTGTTTAGATTTGGTTTCTTCTTTGCGTTTTAGAGTTTTGATTGGCATTTGTGGATGCAGCGACAAACTGTGTTCACAGACAGTGGTTTTCAGAAGTGTTCCTGAGCCCATGCAGTGATTTCCACTACAGAATCATGTCTGTTTTTAAATGCAGTACTGCCTGAGGGCCTAAAGATCACAGCCAGCAAATACTGTTTTTTTGGCCTTGTCCCTTGCATACAGAGATTTCTCCAGATTCTCTGAATCTTTTAAAGTTATTATGTATCGTAGATGATAAAAAGTTCTTTGCTATTTTACATTCAGAAACATTATTTTTGAATTGTTGTACTGTTTGATCGTGCAGTCTTTCACAGAGCGGTGAAACACTCCTCATCTTTACTTCTGAAAGACTGGATTTAAAAGATGCTCTTTTTACACCCAGTCATGTTATTGACCTGTTGTCTATCAACCACCAGGTGTTTTTTTTTTAGCATTACACAACTTTACCAGCCTTTTGTTGCCCCAGTCCCATGTGTATGCATTAAATCTGTTAACATTCAGCCTTTTTTCACCTCTAATGCAGGCAAAGTTGCCAGACTGGTTTACAGTCAAATTACTATACATATATATATATATATATATATATATATATACACCAAAATTTTGCACATCAAAAAACAGCTGAAAGCTAGCATTTCAAGCAGCAGGGTTGCTAGACTAACACTTTCAGTCAAATAATTAGTTAATAATTAAATATTGTAAATAAATCCAGCATTTCCACCATGATACAGAGGAAAACCAGCTGCAAGATTCCTTTTGTTGTTCTGCAGCAAAACAATTGTCTAAAACTGCCTATATGCATGAACGAGTATATATTAAAAAACAAATAAAAGTCACCATTTTCACCCCAATAATACAGCAGAGCATTTACAACATGACGCCAATAATAAACTGTCCATATTCACATTTATGCACACATATAATTATAAAATGCCTCTTCTACTCTGTACAGTAATACAGAGTCCAGATCAGTTTGGGATTATTATTTTGAGTCTCCATTGACACACTGTAACCTTAGCACAGTATTTCAGTTATTTAAGTTATATTACTTCAATATATATTTAGTATAACGTGTTACTCTTAGGTACTACAGTATAATATTATCATATATCTTTTTCCTTTTTTGTAAGAGAATCCAATCAGAAGCCCAATTTCGCCCAATCTGGCAACCTGCGCGCTGACGGAGCAGCTCGTGTCCACTAGCAGCCATTCAGCTGCCGCCGGTGGCACGGAGGAAATCTCGTGACGTCACGCGGAGCCTCCCCGTCCTTATTACCCCCCTCACACACACACACACACACACCCCTCAAACTGCCCCTTCTTACCCCACTTACCCCTTCAACCACCACTTTATGCTCATTTTTTACTACCCCTTCTTCTCTTAAACTCCCTCTTAATACCCTTCACACACCCCCCCCACTCCCCATCCTTTCTGCCCCCTCTCCCCCCCTTTTTTACCCCCCCTCCCGCCTCCCTCCCTTTTCCTGGCTTTATCTCTTGCCAAGCTTTTGTCTCTCTCTCTCTCTCTCTCTCTCTCTCTCTCTCTCTCTCTCTCTCTCTCTCTCAGTGTGCTTGAATGATGAATGGGACACTCCTTAAAAAAATCAATCCGCCACAGTTTTGCCTCGCCTTTCACAAACTGCACGTACCTTCAAATCAGTCCTCAAAGCTAGTGCACTTTACATGGTGTAACATTAAACTCTCTGAAATGATCTGCTTTCCTTTTAATGAGCTGCGCTTGAAATTAAAGGCTTTTGTTTCACTTTAAAGTGCATGAAGCTCAGCAGCCCTCAGACATCAGCAGCGGGGGAGGCTGTAAAACACGTCCCTCCAGAGTGTAGATCTAAAATACTCAACTCCATGAAACCTGCCGTTTAAGCATTTCCCTCTCCATGTAAACCCGATGTATATATGGACAAATGTATGGCAATCGGAGTCTCATCGTGATAAAAGCAGCAGAACGGCGCCCTCTAGTGGTCGTCTGGCCGTATGTCGTGTCGTGCAGATTCAGGCAGCAAGTTCAGCCTTTTTTTCAATGAAATATAACAAGGTATTAATACACAATCGCAAATAAATCGATGTTATTGAAAGATTAAGGTTTTAAAATGCCAAACACACTGTGGTAAATGTGTAGCACTTCGTTCCCAATACATTTCTACAACTGTGGAGAATCTGGCAATAGACGGCCACTAGAGGGCACTGCAATACAAGGCCTTAACCAAATGTCCATATAAGAAGAGTGAAATCTAAAGAACATTCCTTATTTCTTGGGCACAAATATGTGTATGTGGATGTATGTCATAGAGATCCCCTTATACGTTGTTTGTAAGAGAGAGAGAGAGAGAGAGAGAGAGAGAGAGAGAGAGAGTATTAGATGTCTGGGCTCAGGTAACTAGAGCAGGGCCATAAACCCACTGGGTCATTCTGCTGATGTCCACAGAGGAGATCAGGGCAAGAAGGACCAGAAAACAAAGCCAAAGCTGCTTTCATCTGATTATAAACAGGTAAAATGCACCTTGGATATATAGAGTAATCAGACATCTTTTCCTATGTAGTGGTATGTAGAGATGGCACACATCTGATAGCAGGTATCGTGAGGCTGATATCAGCAGAAAATGCTGGATGGGATGTCTTGAAAATTAAATGAATGTGATTAAATCCTGTAACAAATCTGTCCTCAAACTGCCCTCACTCATTCTGGGTATTTCTTCCTGTGAGGGAATTAAAAGGGGGATTTGTCTTGAGTTGAGTCAAAATTCCTGCTTAATACAGATGTGAAATGTAAACAAAGTCATTGAGAGTGGTTTGATGTGAAATGGTGCATTGTAGAGAAACTTACTTTACAGTGGTGCTGATAGGAACCAGGGGTCATAATGTTTACCACACAAATATAAGCATATTATATACTATTCAAAACAACTAGTAAACCTATATATATATAGGTTTATATATAGGCTTCACATTGTCTGCAAATTTCATGATGAATGGACCAAAAGAAAAAACTGCTTCCATTGACTTACATTAAAGGTAAAGTAGGTTTTTTCCTTCTCCTGTAAAATACCATTTTGGAGATACAAGGTTTTGTTCCGACAGCAGCACCCTGCATGCACCTCTTCACAAAGGATATATTTAAAATATATTTTGAGCACCTTTTTTCAAAAAAGTTGGTCAACATATTCATAACCATTTCAAGTAATAATGTCCTGTGAGGTAGAATTATGCATTATACTCTTCAGACATCTGGTCACCATCACTGTGAACAATTTAATGTTGGTATCACACCATCTCTATCTATATCTACTTTACAGAATTAGATTCTGTGGCTTAAAGTCTGTGGAGGCGTCTGGCATTTATGCTCAAACTTGTAACTACAGAACCTGACAGCTTCATCCACTCAAGTTATTAAATGTTATTAAAGTTATTAAAAGTTATCGATTTTTAAAAAAAATTCTACATAATTAAATGATTGATGTAAAGAGAGTCATTCAGAGTGGTTTGGTGTGAAATGCTCCATTCTGGAGAAACCTGCCGAGTCAGAACTGTTTACAGTGGTGGTGATAGGAACCAGACGTCTGAAGAGTTTAATGCCTATAAAATCTTCCTCACAGAAAATTAGTGAATGAAATGGTTAGATATGCTGCCTGGTGTCTGAAACATTGTTTTATGATAGTGTTGGAATAAGATTTGGGCTTAAAATGTATCTTAATCCATTCATCATTATCTATTTAAGGCGGAAGGACACTGTGAGGCATTGTGAGGCAAAATAGTCCCAAAAGACAAACTTTTTTTCACATTTACAAAT